CCAAAGCCCCCCTTATAGCAGCCCCCAGGCCCAGCCTGGCTGCTTAGAGACCCCTGGCAATTGGGCTGTGCCCACAAACACTGCTCGAACGCCTGTAGCAGCCCCCATGCCCACCCTGGCTGCTTAGGGACCCCCTGACTAGGTGTCTGTGCCCACAGCCCATGCCAGAGTGCCCGTAGCAGCCCCCAGGCCAACCATGGCTGCTCAGGGACCCCTGGCTGGATCGGTGTGCTCACAGACCCCACCAAAAAGCCCAGAGCAGCCCCCAGGCCCGCCCTGGCTGCTTAGGGGTCCCCTCGCTTGTGGGCTCTGCCCACAGCTGCTGAGGCCCAGCTATTTTGCAAATCTGGTGTAATATGATACTGGCAACCATATTATATAAAAATGATAATCTTATTCTGTTTTTTTGTATATTAGGCAATAGCTCCAGTTACACCTCTACCATATTGACAAAAATGTCATCTTCACCCTCATTGACATTAGAATTAAAATCATAGGGGAGTTTCATTCCTTGCGATGTTTAATTCAATATAATTGGTTTTTTGCTTACATTAGTGACCATATCAAAGCATGGTGTACACCTCTTGCCGTATTAAGAGTATTTCCCTATGGGCAGCAACATTTTCCTCTCCTTCTCTGGATATTAGGAACAATATTCCAGGACAGGAGTACAGCCCCAGTCACGTCATGGGTAATGTCATCTGTAATTCTCTAGTTATTAGAAACAATATCACGGGGGGCTTGTGTGCTTTCTGAGATATTTGGAGTAATATCCTTTCCGTTTTTGAACATTGGAAACAATACTACAGTGGTGGTGTACACTTCCTGCGATATTCAGGGTATGGTCATCCTTTGTCCTCAGGATATTATTAACTACATCACAGACGAGTTTTAGTTTGCCTTGTTATTGGAGCAATCCGAGAGTGTAAACCTGCTTTCACAATGAGAGAAATACCTACTCAGGATATGATGGATAATATCACGAAATGGACACACATAAGTGTATACCCACTTTGATATTGAAAGTAATTTTTATCTAACATACTAAAAATCATATCCCAGAATATACTTATAATGTGTACTCTTACCGAAATATTACAAACAATGCACAGAATATGTACCATATGTATGTTGACTGTGATGTACATATGTGTACACCATACAGATGTACAATACATATACATAATCTGTACAACATGTACATTTATGTGTACATAATATGTACACAATAGGTATGTCCATAATGTGTACAATATGTACATTTGTCATGTCACAATGATATCAGAACAGCATATACAATCACAATACACATGTAATACATAATATAAATGTACGTATTTCACACATTATGTACATTTCCATTTATTGTGGTATGACGATGTGTTTACATGTACAGCATAGACCCATTATGTACGGATGTACAATAAGTGCACGTGTAGATATATGTACATAGTATGTACATATGTGCGCTATGTACACATATGTACATATAATGTAGATATTTACCTTCTGTACACAAGTACATAATATGCACAGTATGTATATGTACAAAGTATGTGCACACATAAGTTTACACCCACTTTGGTAACCAGAGTAATTTCTATCTTATATTCTAAATGTCATATCACAGAATGTACTCATAATGTGTACATTTATTGGCATATCACAATAAATGTATAAAGTAGGTACAATCTGTACATTTACTCTGCTGTACATATGTGTACCCAATACACAAGTAAATAAAATGTACATAATCTGTAAAATATGTTTCTTTATATTTCTATAGTCTGTACACAATGCATAGGTACATAATGTGTACAATATGTACATTTGTAATGTCACAATGATATCATATCACAACAGCATATATAATCACAATAAACGTAATACATAATATAAACGTACATATTGCAAATATTATGTATATTTACATTTATTGTTATATCATGTGTACACATGTACATCATGTACCCATTATGTACAGATGTACAATATATGCACGTGTACATATGTGTGCACAGTATGTACATATGTATGCTACGTACACCTATGTATATATAATGTTAGACATGTACATTCTGTATATGAGTACATAATATGCACAACATATACATGTATAAACTATGTGCGCACCTGGGTGTAAACCCACTTTGGTCACCGGTGTAATTCCTATCTAATAGGCTAAAAATTATATCCCAGAATGTATTCATAATGTGTACATTTATTGACATATCACAATAAATGTATAAAATAGGTATAGTCTGTACATTTACTCTGCTGTACATATGTGTACAAAATACACATGTAGAGAAAATGTACATAATCTGTAAAATATGTACCTATTTATTTCTATAATGTGTACACAATGCATAGGTACATAAAGTGTACTCTATGCACATTTCTTAAAATTTCAGTGGTAACATACATATTATCACAATAAGATATATAATCAATAATATGTAGATATCACATAATATCACCAAAAAGTACATATTGTTTATATTAGGTACGTATAAAGTACATATTTATTGTGCACATATTATGTACATATATGTTTATTGTGATAATAACATATGTACATGTGTACAAATATGTGCCCATTATGTAAACGATCTACACATGTAGAAATAGGTGCAAACTGTGTACCTGTGAAGAGCAAGGTATCCCCACACCTTCCGCCAAAGGGCCTGTAGCAGCTCCCAGCCCCACCCTGGATACGTAGGGACCCCCTGGTTAGGTGGCTGTGCCCATAGCCCCTGCCAGAGTGTCAGTAGCAGCCGCCAGGCCCTCCCTGGATGCTGAGGGACCCTCTGGCTATGTGGCTGTTACCGCAGCCACCGCCAGAGGGCCCGTAGCAGCCCCAATGCCCAACCTGGTTGCATAGGGACACCCTGGCTTGGCTGCTATGCCCACAGCTGCTGGGGCCCAGCTATTTTGAAAATGTGGTGTAATATGATACTGGCAACCATATCATATGTAAATGATAATTTTATTCTTTTTTATTATATAGTAGGCAATAGCTGTAGTTACACCTCCGTCATTTTGACAAAAATGTCCTCCTCACCCCCCTTGAAATTAGAATTAAAATCGTAGGGGGGGTTAACACCTTGCAATATTTAATTCAATATAATTGTTTTCTTGTTTACATTAGTGACCATATCACAGCACGGTGTACTCCTCTTGCCATATTCAGAGGATTTGCCTATGGGCAGAAACATTCTCCTCTCCTTCTCTGGATATTAGAAACAATATCACAGGACCGGCAAACAGCCACAGTCATATCGTGAGTAATGTCATCTGTAATCCCCTAGTTATTAGAAACAACATCACGGGGGTCTTGTGCGCTTTATGAGATACTTAGAGTAATATCCTTTCCGTTTTCGGATATTAGAAACGATACTACAGTGGTGGGGTACACTTCCTGTGATATTCAGGGTATAATCATTTTTGTCCCAGGATAATAGGAAGTACATCACAGAAGCCTTGTACTTTGCCTGTGATACTGGAACAATCACAGAGTGTACACTTGCTTTCAAAATGAGAGAAATACCTACTTAGAATATGATGGATGATATCACAAAATGGACACACATAGGTGTATACCAACTTTCATATAGGAAGTAATTTTAATCTAATATGCTACAAGAAATATCCCAGAATGTACTCATAATGTGTACATTTATTGGCATACCACAATAAATGTATAAAATAGGTAAAATCTGTACATTTACTCTGCTGTACATATGTGTACCCAATACACAAGTAGAAAAAATGTACATAATCTGTAAAATATGTTCCTTTATATTTCTATAATGTGTACACAATGCATAGGTACATAACGTGTACAATATGTATATTTATTGTAATATAAAAATGGTATCATATCTCAACAGCATGTATAATCACAATAAACATGTAAAATATAATATCAATATAAATGTACATATTGCAAACATGTAAATTTACATTTATTGTCATATGATGTGTACACATGTACATCATGTACCCATTATGTACAGATGTACAATATATGCACGTGTACATATGTCTGCACAGTATGTACATTCTGTACACGAGTACATAATATACACAATATGTACACGTACAAAATATGTACACACTTGGGTGTACACCCACTTTGATAACGGAGAAATTTCTAATACGCTAAAAATAATATCCCAGATTGTACTCATGTGAACATTTATTGGCATATTGCAATAAATGTATAAAATAAGTATAGTCTGTACATTTACTCTGCTGTACACATGTGTACACAATGCACATGTACAAAAATGTACATAATCTGCAAAATACGTTTATATTTCTATAATGTGTACACAATGCATAGGTAAATAATGTGTGCACTATGCACATTACTTAAAATACCAGTAATAAAATATATATAATGACAATAAGATATATAATCACAGTAATATATACATAATGTGTACTATCACAGAAGCGTACATATTGCACACATTACATATGCATTAGATACATATGTATTGTGCACATATTATGTACATATATATCTATCATGATAACACCATATGGACACGTGTACAAATATGTGCCCACTATATAAACTATGTACACATGTAGAAATAGGTGCAAACTAAGTACCTATGCACAGCACGCTATTACCACAGCCCCCCTTGTAGCAGCCCCCAGGACCACCATGGCTGCTTAAAGACACCCTGGCTATGGGGTTGTGAACACAGCCCCCGCCAGAGGTCCGATAGAAGCCCCCAGGCCCACCCTGACGTCTGAGGGACCCCTTGGGTAGGGGGCTTTGTCCAAGGCCCTGCCAGAGAGCACCTAGCAACCCCCAGGCTCATCCTGCTGCTTACAGACACCTTGACAGGGTGACTCTGCCTAGAACCACACCCAGAGGGCCCGTAGTTGACCCCAGGCCCACCAGGGCTGCTTAGAGACACCCTGGCTAAGAGGCTGTACACACAGCCTCAGCCAGAGTGCCCATAACAGCCCACAGGCCCACCATGGCTGCCTCGGGACAACCTGATGAGGGCGCTGTGACCACAGCCCCCACCAACGAGCCCATAGAAGGTCCCAGGCACCCACCCTGGTTGCTTAGGGAACCCCTGGCTTGGCGGCTATGCACACAGCTGCTGGGGCCCAGCTATTTTGAAAATGTGGTGTAATATGATACTGGCGACCATATCATACAGAAATGATAATGTTATTCTGTTTTTTTATATATTAGACAATAACTCGAGTTACACTCTGCCATATTGAAAAGAATGTCATCCTCACCCCCCTTGACATTAGAATTGAAAGCATAGAGGTGTTTCACCCCTTGCAATGTTTAATTCAATACAATTGTTTTCTTGTTTACATTAGTGACCCTATCAGAGCATGGTATACACCTCTTGCCATATTCAGAGTATTTCCCTATAGGCAGCAACATTTTCCTCTCCTTCTCTGGATATTAGGAACAATATCTCAGGACCGGTGTACAGCCCCAGTCACATCATGAATAATGTCATCTGTAATCCATTAGTTATTAGGAACAATATCACGGGGGGCTTGTGCGCTCTGTGAGATATTTAGTTTTAGATATTTAATATCCTTTAAGTTTTTGAATATTAGAAACAATACTACAGTGAGTGGTGGTGTACACTTCCTGTGATATTCAGGGTATGGTCATCCTTTGTCCCTCGGATATGATTAACTACATCACAGAAGCATTTTACTTTGCCTGTGATATTGGAACAATCAGAGTGTACACTTGCTTTCACAATGAGAGTAATACCTACTCAGGATATGATGGATAATATCACGAAATGGACACATATGTGTGTATACCCACTTTAATATTAAAAGTAATTTTTATCTAATATACTAAAAATCATATTCCAGAATATAATCATGTGTACACTTACTGGGATATTACAAACTATGCACAGAATATGTACCATATGTACGTTGACTGTGATGGACATATGTGTGCACAATACAGATGTACAATAAATGGGCATAATCTGTACAATATGAACAATTATATGTACACAATGTGTACACAATAGGTATGTACATGTGTACAATTATATGTACACAATGTGTACACAAAAGGTATGTACATAATGTGTACAATATGTACATTTATTGTAATACCAAAATGATATTACATAATCACAACGGCATATAAAGTCACAATGAACATGTAATACATATCAAAATGAATGTACAAATTGCAAACATTATTTACATTTACATTTATTGTAATATTATGATATGTACCTATGAACATCATGTACACATTTTGTTCACCTGTACATCATGTACCCAGTACGTACACATGTACATTATGTACCCATTATTTACACATGTATATCATGTACCCATGATGTACAGATGTACAATATATGCACGGGTGCATATGTGTGAACAGTATGCACATGTGTAAACTGCATACCCATATGTACATTCTGTACATGAGTATATAATATGCTCACGTAAAATATGTACACACATGGGTGTTCACCCACTTTGGTAACTGGAGTTATTTGTAATATGCTAAAAATAATATCCCAGATATTATTCATGATGTGTACATTTATTGGCATATCACAATAAATGTATTAAATAAGTACAGTCTGTGCATTTACTCTGCTGTACATAAGTGTACACAATGCACATGTACAAAACATGTACATAATCTGTAAAATATGTACCTATATGTTTCTATAATGTGTACACAATGCATAGGTACATAATGTGTGCACGATGCACATTCCTTAAAATATCAGTGATAAAATATATATAATCACAATAAGATATATAATCACAGTAATATATACATATAATGTAGTATCACAAAACAGTTTATATTGCACACATTAGGTATGCATTAGGTACGTATGTATTATGCACATATTATGTACATATATATTTATCATGATAACAGCCTATGTACACATGTACAAATATGTGCCCACTATATAAACTATGTACACATGTAGAAATAGGTGCAAACTATGTACCTATGCATAGCATGCTATTACCACAGCCCACCTCGTAGCAGCCCCCAGGCCCACCCTGGCTGCTTAAAGACACCCTGTCATAGGGGCTGTGACCACCACCCCAGCCAGAGGGCCCGTAACAGCTCCCAGGCCCACCCTGGCTTCTTAAGAATCCCCTGGCTAAAAAGCTGTGCCCACAGCCACATCAGAGGTCCCGTAGCAGCCCCCAGGTCCACCCTGGCATCTTACGGACACCCTGACTAGGTGACTGTGCCCACAGTTCCCCCCAGAAAGCCCGTAGTCAACCCCAGGCACACCATGGCTTCTTAGAGACACCCTGGCTATGTGGCTGTACCCACAGTCCCCGCCACAGTGCTTGCAGCAGCTCGATGGCCCACCATGGCTGCTTAGGGACTCCCTGGCTAGGGCACTGTGCCCACAGCCCCCACCGTCAGGCCCATAGCAGGCCCCAGGACACCCAGGTTCTTAGGGAGCCCCTCGTTTGGCAGCTATGGCCACAGCTGTTGGGGCCCAGCAATTTTGAAAATTTGGTGTAATATGATACTGGCGACCATATTATATGGAAATGACAACGTTATTCTGTTTTTCTATATATTAGGCAACAGCTCTAGTTACACCTCTGCCATATTGAAAAAGATGTCATCCTCACATCCCTTGACATTAGAATTGAAAGCATAGGGTGGTTTCACCCCTTGCAATGTTTAATTCAATATAATTGTTTTCTTGTTTACATTAGTGACCATATCAGAGCATATCAGAGCATGGTGTACCTCTTGCCATATTCAGAGTATTTCCCTATGGGCAGCAACATTTTCCTCTCCTCCTCTGGATATTAGGAACAATATCCCAGGACCGGGGTACAGCTGCAGTCACATCGTGAGTAATGTCATCTGTAATCCCCGAGTTATTAGCAACAATATCACGGGGGGCTTGGCGCTCTCTGAGATATTTGAAGTAATATGTTTAAGTTTTTGAATATTAGAAACAATACTACAGTGCTGGTGTACACTTCCTGCGATATTCAGGGTATGGTTATCTTTTGTCCCCAGGATATGATTAACTACAACACGGAAGCGTTTTACTTTGCCTGTGATATTGGAACACAGAGTGTACACTTGTTATCACAATACGAGTAATAACTTCTTAGGATACGATGGATAATATCACGAAATGGACACACATGTGTGTATACCCACTTTGATCTTGGAAGTAATTATTATCTAATATACTAAAAATTATATCCCAGAATATACTCATGATGTGTACACTTATAGGGATATTACAAGCAATGCACAGAATATGTACCATATGGCCATTGACTGTGATGGACATATGTATACACAATACAGATGTACAATAAATGTACATAATCTGTGCAATATGTACAATTATATGTAGACAATGTGTACACAATAGGTATGTACAAAATGTGTACAATATGTACATTTATTGTAATACCACAATGATATAATCACAACAGCATATAAAATCACAATACACGTGTAATATATAATATCAATTTAAATGTAAAGATTGCAAAAATTATGTGCATTTACTTTTATGGTAATATTACGATATGTACACAAGAACATCATGTACACATCATGTTCACATGTACATCATTTACCCAGTATGTACACATGTACATCATGTACCCAATATGTACAGATGTACAATATATGCACGAATTCATATGTGTGCACAGTATGTATATTCTGTACACGAGTATATAATATACACAATATGTACATGTATAAAATATGTACACACATGGGTGTACACCCACTTTGGTAACCAGAGGAATTTCTAATATGCTAAAACTAATGTCCAAGATTGTACTCATAAAGTGTGCATTCAGTGGCATATTGCAATAGATGTATAAAATACAGTCTGTACATTTACTCTGCTGTACATATGTGTACACAATGCACATGTACATAATCTGTAAAATATGTTCCTATATTTTTTTATAATGTGTGCACAATGCATAGATACATAATGTGTGCACTATGCACATTCCTTAAAATATAAGTGATAAAATATATATAATCACAATAAGATATATAATCACAGAATAAATACATATTGTGTACTGTCACAAAAGAGGACATAATGCACACATTTGCTATGCATTAGGTACATATGTATTGTGCACATATTATGCACATATATATTTATCATGATAACACTATATGTATATGTGTACAAATAAGTGCCCACTATTTAAAATATGTACACATGCAGATATAGGTGCAAACTATGTACCTAAGCACGGCACGCTATCACAACAGCCCCCCTTGTAGCATCCCCCACGCACACCCTGGCTGCTGAAAGACACCCTGGCTAGTGGGCTCTGCCCACAGCCCCTGCCAGAGAGCCCATAACAGCTCCCAGGCCCACCCTGGCTGCTTACAGACTCCCTGGCTAAAAGGCTGTGCCCACAGCCATGCAAGAGGTCCCTAAGCAGCCCGCAGGTTCACTCTGGCGTCTTAGGGACCCCCTGGCTAGGGGGCTTTGTCCAAGGCCCTGCCAGAGGGCATGTAGCAGCCCCCAGGCCCACCCTGTTGCTTAGGAACACCCTGACTCGGTGACTGTGCCTAGACCCCCCCCAGAGGGCCCGTAGTAGACCCCAGGCCCACCATGGTTGCTTAGGGACACCCTGGCTATGTGTTTGTACCCACAGCCCCCGCCAGAGTGCCCGCAGTGGCCCAAAGGCCCACCATGGTTGCTTAGGGACACCCTGGCTAGGGAGCTGTGCTCACAGACCCCACCAACGCGCTTGTAGCAGGCACCAGGCACACCCTGGTTGCTTAGGGACACAATAGCTTGGCAGCTATACCCACATTTGCTGGGGCCCAGCTATTTTGAAAATGTGGTGTAATATTACACTGGCGACCATATCATACGGGAGTGAAAATGTTATTCTGTTTTCTTATATATTAGGCAATAGCTCTAGTTACACCTCTGCCATATTGACAAAAATGTCATTCTCACCACCCTTGACATTAGAATTTGAAGCATAGGGGGGTTTCACCTTTTGCAATGCCTATTTCAGTGTAATTGTTTTTTTAATTATTTTGAAAGAATTAGTGGGACAGAATCTTCTTTTTTTTTTTTTTTTAAAGAAAAAAGGAGTTAAGGAGAGAAAGAAAGAGGAAGAAAAAGAGGGAGAGAGAACGGAAATATTGCTTTATTCTAAAAATGGGTATTAATAATGGCCGATCAATATTTGGTGTATTTAAGGTGGAGAATGTATATTTTGTTTATTTAAAATGGAGAGCTCTATAAATATTTATTGAGTTTACTTGTTCCGGATCTGAGTTCAAGTCCTGGATGTCCTTATTAATTTTCTGTCTCGTTGACTCTAAATCTCTTTATGAGTCTTATATATATGGGTATTAAAATTGTTAGCTCTTATTGTTGCATTGATCGTTTTGCCACTATATCTTTGTTGCTTTGAAATCTATTTTACCAAATGCAAGAATTGCAACTCCTGCTTTTATTTATTTATTTATTTTGCTCTCCATTTGGTTGGTAAATCTTTCTCCATCCCTTTGTTTTAAGTCTTTGTATATCTTTGGATGTAAAATGGGTCTGTATGTAGCATATCATTAGGTATTGGCTCTATCTTTTGTTTGGGGGATTAGTCGACTTAAATTTAGGGTTACTGCCATTTGATGTAATTGTTTTCTTGTTTACATTAGTGACCATATCAGAGCATGGTGTACACCTCTTGCCGTATTCAGAGTATTTCCCTATGGGCAGCAACATTTTCCTCTTCTTCTCTGGATATTAGGAACAATATCCCAGGACCGGCGTACAGCCCCAGTCACATCGTGAGTAATGTCATCTGTAATCCGCTAGTTATTAGGAACAATATCACGGGGGGCTTGTTCGCTCTGTGAAATATTTGGAGTAATATCCTTTAAGTTTTTGAATATTAGAAACAATACTACAGTGGTGGTGTACACTTCCTGCGATATTCAGGGTATGGTCATCCTTTGTCCTCAGGATATGATTAACCCACATCACAGAAGCGTTTTACTTTGCCTGTGATATTGGAACAATCACAGAGTGTACATTTGCTTTCACAATGAAAGTAATACCTACTCCGGATATGATGGATAATATCAGTAAATGGACACAGGTGTGTATACCCACTTTGATATTGGAAGTAATTTTTAACTAATATACTAAAAATCATATTCCAGAATACACTCATGATGTGTACACTTATTGGGATATTACAAACAATGCATAGAATATGTACCACATGTACATTGACTGTGATGGACATATGTGTTCACAATACAAATGTATAATAATTGTACATAATCTGTACATTATGAACAATTATATGTACAGAATGTGTACACAATACGTATCTACATAATGTGTACAATATGTACATTTATTGTAATCCTACAATGATATGATATAATCACAACAGCTTATAAAATCACAATACACAGGTAATACATAATATAAATGTACATATTGCACACATGTACATTTACATTAATTGTGATATTACAATATGTGCACATGTACATGTACCCATTATGCACGAATGTACAATGAATGCACGTGTATTTATGTGTGTGCAGTATGTACATATGTACACTATGTGCACATATGTACATATAATGTAGATATGTACTTTCTGTAAATGAGTACATAATATGCACAGTATGTACATGCATAAACTATGTACACACATGCGTGTACACCCACTTTGATAACCGAAGTAATTTCTTTTTTTTTTTTTTTTTTTTTTTTGCCAATCAGTTTGAGCTTATGAGGTTGCTCAGGTTAGCCTTGAACTGATGACCTCGCCTTCGCAAGCGCCATGACCTCTGGCGGGAGCCACTTTGGACCCCAACCAAAGTAATTTCTATCTAATTTGCTAACAGTAATATCCAAGAATGTACTCATAATGCATACATTTATTGGCATATCAAAATAAATGTATAAAATAAGTACAGTCTGTATTTTACTCTGCTCTACATAGGTGTACTCAATACACAAGTAGAAAATATGTACGTAATCTGTAAAATATGTTCCTTTATATTTCTATAATGTGTACACAATGCATAGGTACATAATGTGTACAATATGTACATTTATTGTAATATCACAATGATATCAATCACAACAGCATATATAATCACAATAAACGTAATACATAATATCAATAAAAATGTACATATTGCAAACATTATGTACATTTACATTTATTGTAATATGATGTGTACACATGTGTATCCTGCACCCATTATGTACAGATATACAATATATGCACGTGTACATATAATGTAGACATGTACATTCTATATACGAGTACATAATATGCACAATATGTACACGTATAAACTATGTACACACCTGGGTGTACACCCACTTTGGTCATCAGAGTAATTTCTATCTAATATGCTAAAGATTATATCACAGAATGTACTCATAATGTGTACATTTATTGGCATATCGCAAGAAATGTATAAAATTGGTACAGTCTGTACATTTACTCTGCTTTACATATGCGTACACAATACAGATGTACAATAAATGTACATAATCTGTACAATATGAACATTTATTATAAGTACATAATGTGTACACAATAGTTATGTACATAATGTGTACAATATGTACATTTATTGTAATATAATGATATCACAAGAGTATATAAAATCACAATACACATGTAATACATACTATCATATAAATGTACAGATTGCAAAAATTATGTATATTTACATTTATGGTAATATGATATGTACACAAGAATATCATGTCATCATTATGTTCACATGTACAGTATGTACACATGTACATCATGTATCCATTATGTACACATGTAAATTATTTGCACGTGTACATATGTGTGCACATTATGTACATTCTGTACACGACTATATAATATGCAGAGTATGTACACGTATAAAATATGTACACACATGGGTGTACACCCACTTTGGTAACTGGAGGAATTTCTAATATGCTAAAAATAATATCCAAGATTGTACTCATAATGTGTACATTTATTGGCATATTACAATAAATGTATAAAATAGGTACAGTCTGTACATTTACTTGGCTGTACGTATGTGTACACAACACACATATACAAATAATGTAAATAATCTGTAAAATATGTACCCATATATTTTTATAATGTGTACTCAATACATAGGTACATAATGTGTGCACTATACACGTTCTTTAAAATATCAGTGATAAAATATATATAATCACAATAAGATATATAATCACAGAAATATATACAAATCGTGTAGTATCACAAAAGAGTACATATTGCAAACATTAGGTATGCATTAGGTACATATGTATTGTGCACATATTATGTACATATAATCATAACACCATATGTAAATGTGTACAAATATGTGGCTATCTAAACAATGTACACATGTAGAAATAGGTACAAACTATGTACCTATGCACAGCACGCTATTACCACAGCCCCCCTCACAGCAGCCCCCAGGCGAACCCTGGCTACTTAAAGACACCCTGGCTAGGGGGCTGTGCCCACAGCCACCGCCAGAGGGCTTGTAACAGCTCCCAGACCCACCATGGCGGCTTACGAAACCACTGGCTAGAAAGCTTTGACCGCAGCCCTACCAGAGGTTACGTAGCAGCCCTTAGGCCCACCCTGGAGTCTCAGAAAACCCCTGACAATGGGGCTTCTTCCAAAGCCCTGCAAGAGAAAGCATAGCAATTCCCAGGGCCACCCTGCTGCATAGGGGCATCCTGACTAGGTGACTGTGCCCAGAGCCACCCCAAGAGTGCTCGTAGTAGACCCCAGGCTCACCATGGCTGCTTAGGGACACCATGGCTATATGACTGTACCCACAGCCTTTGCCAGAGTGCCGGTAGCAAACTGAAGGCCAACCACGGTTATTTAGGGACCCCCTAGGTAGGGCACTGTGACCACAGCCCCCACCAATGGGCCCATAGCAGGCCCCAGGCACACCCTAGTTACTTAGGGAACCCCTCGCTTGGTGGCTAAGCCCACAGCTGCTGGGGCCCAGCTATTTTGAAAGTGTGGTGTAATAGAATACTGGCGACCATAAAATATGGAAATGATAATGTTATTCTGTTTTATAATATATTAGGCAATAGCAAAAGTTACACCTCTGCCATATTGACAAGAATGTCATCCTCACCTTCCTTGACATTAGAATTGAAAGCATAGGGGGATTTAACCCCCTGCAATGTTTAATTTAATATAATTGTTTTCTTGTTTATATTAGTGACCCTGTCAGAGCATGGTGTACACCTCTTGCCATATTCAGAGTATTTCCCTATGGGCAGCAACATTTTCCTCTCCTTCTCTGGATATTAGAAACAATATCCAAAGACCGGCGTACAGCCCCAGTCACACGGTGAGTAATGTCATCTGTAATTCCCCTAGTTATTAGGAACAATATCACAGGGGGCTTGTGGGCTCTCTGCGATATTTGGAGTAATATCCTTTAAGTTTTTGAATATTAGAAACAATACTACAGTGGTGGTGCACACTTCCTGCGATATTCAGGACATGGTCATCCTTTGTCCCCAGGATATTATTAATTACATCACAGAAGGGTTTTACTTTGCCTGTGATATTGGAACCATCACAGAGTGTACACTTACTTTCACAATGAGAGTAATACCTACTTAGAATATGATGGATAATATCACAAAATGAACACACGTGTGCATACACACATTAATATTGGAAGTAATTTTTAATATACTAAAAATTATATCTCAGAATATACTCATGATGTGTACACTTATTGGTATATTAGAAGAAATTAACAGAATATGTACCACATGTAAATTGACTGTGATGAGCATATGTGTACACAATACAGATGTACAATAAATTTACATAATCTATACAATATGGACAATTATATGTATACAATGTGTCCACAAGAGATATGTAGAAAATGTGTACAATATGTACATTTATTCTAACACCACAACGATATCATATAATCACAAAAGCTTATAAAATCACAATGCACAGGTAATACATAATATAAATGTACATATTGCACACATTATGTACATTTACATTTACTGTGATATTACAATATGTACACAGGTACATCATGTACCAATTAGGTACGATGTGCAATATATGCAGGTGTAGATATGTGTGCACAGAAGGTACATATGCACATTCTATACACATACGTACATATAATGTAGTTATGTACCTTCTGTACACGAGTACATAATATGCACAGTATGCACATGTATAAACTATGTACACACATGCGTGTACACCAACTTTGGTAACTGAAGTAATTTCTATTTAATGTGCTAACAGTAATATCCCAGAATGTACTCATAATGTGTACATTTATTGACATATCACAATACCTGTATAAAATAGGTACAGTCTGTCCTTTTACTCTGCTGTACATATGTGTACCCAATACACAAGTAGAAAAAATGTACAAAATCTGTCAAATATGTTCCTTTCTATTTCTATAATGTGTACACAATGCATAGGAACATAATGTGTACATTATGTACATTTATTGTAATATCACAATGATATATCAACAGCATATGTAATCAAATAAACATGTAATACATATCAATATAAACATACATATTGCAAACATTATGTACATTTACACTTATTGTGATATGACGATGTGTACACATGTACATCATGTATGCATTATGTACATATGTACAATATATGCACATGTACATATGTGTGCACGGTATGTACATGTGTACAATGTGTACACATATGTACATATAATGTAGACATGTACATTCAGTTCCTGAGTACATAATATGCACAATGTATACACGTATAAAATATGTACACACATGGGTGTACACCCACTTTGGTCACTGAAGTATTTTCTATGTAATATGCTAAAAATAATATGGCAGAATATACTCATAATGTGTAAATTTATTGGCATATTGCAGAAAAGGTTTAAAATAGGTACAGTCTATACATTTACTCTTCTGTACATATTTGTACACAATACAGATCAACAATGAGAGTACATAATCTGTACAAAATGTACATTTATTATGTGTACATAATGTGTACACAATAGGTATGTAAATATTGTGTACAATATGTTCATTTATTGTAATATATTGACATCGTATAATGACAACATATGAAATCACAAAACACATGTAAAATATAATATGAATATAAATGTACAGATTGTAAGCATTATGTACATTTCTATTTATTGTAAGATTTCGATATGTACACATGAATATCATGTACACATGTTCACATGTACATCATGTACCCAGTACATACACAAATGACTCATGTACCCCTTATGTACACATGTACATCGTGTACCCATGATGTACAGATGTACAATATATGCACATGTACATATGTGTGCACAGTATGTACATTATGTTCATGAGTATATAATATGCACAATATCTAAATGTATAAAATATGAACACACATGGGTGTACACCCACTTTGGTAACCAGAGGAATTTCTAATATGCTAAAATTAATATCCCAGATTGTCTCAGAATGTGTACATTTATTGGCATATTGCAATAAATGTATAAAGTAGGTACCATCTGTACATTTACTCTTCTGTACATATGTGTACACAACGCACATTTACCGAAACGTACATAATCTGTAAAATATGTACCTATATATTTCTATAATATGTACACAATGCATAGGTACATAATTTGTGCACTATGAACATTCCTTGAAATATCAGTGATAAAATATATAATCACAATAAGGTATATAATCACAATAATATATACATATCATGTAGTATCACAAAAGAGTACATATTGCACACATTAGGTACATATGTGTTTTGCACATATTATGTACATACAGATTTATTATGTTAACATTATAAGTACACGTGTGCCAATATGTGCTCACTATTTAAACTATGTACACATGAAGATATAGGTGCAAATTCTGTACCTATGCACAGCATGCTATTACCACAGCCCACAGCGTAGCATTCCCCACACCCCCTCTGGCTGTTTAAAGACATTCTGACTATGAGGCTGTACACACCGTTCCCACCGGAGGGCCCGTAACAGTTCCCAGGCCAACCCTGGCTACTTACAGATGCCCTGGCAAGAAAGGTGTGCCCACCGCCCCATCAGAGGTCCTGTAGCAGCCCCCTGGCCCACCCTGGCACCTTAGGGACACCCTGGCTTAAGGGCTTTGTCCGACGCCCTGCCAGAGAGCACGTAGCAGACCCCAGGCCAAACCTGCTGCTTAGGAACACACTAACTAGGTGACTGTGCCCTGAGCCTCCACCAGAGGGCCCAAAGTAGATCCCAGGTGCACCATGGCTGCTTAGAAACACCCTGGCTATGTGGCTGTACTTACAGCCTCTGCCAGAGTGCCGTAGCAGCCCAGTGGCCCAGAATGGCTTCTTAGGGGCACTGTGGATAGAGCACTGTGCCCACAGCCCCCACCAATGAGCCCGTAGCAGGCCCCAGGCACACCCTGGTTGCTTTGGAACCCCCTCGCTTGGTGGCTATGCCTACAGCTGCTGGGGCCCAGCTATTTTGCAAATGTGGTTTCATATGATACTGGCAACCATATCATACAGAAATGATAATGTTATTCTGTTTTTCTATCTATTAGGCAGTAGCTATAGTTACACCTCTGCTATATTGACAAAAATGTCATCCTCACATCCCTTGACATTAGAATTGAAAGCATAGGGGGGTTTCACCCTTTGCAATGTTTAATTCAATATAATTGTTTTCTTATTTACATTAGTGACCCTATCAGAGCATGGTGTACACCTCTTGCCGTATTCAGAGTACTTCCCTATAAGCAGCAACAGTTTCCTCTCCTCCTCTGGATATTAGGAACAATATCCCAGGACAGGCGTACAACCCCAGTCACGTCGTGAGTAATGTCATGTATAATCGCCTAGTTATTAGAAAAAAGATCACGGGGGGCTTTTGCACCCTCTGAGATATTTGGAGTAATATCTTTTAAGTTTTTGAATATTAGAAACGATACTACAATGGTGGTGTATACTGCCTGCGATATTCAGCGTATGTTAATCCTTTGTCCCTTGGATGTGATTACACTACAGAAGCGTTTTACTTTGCCTGTGATATTGGAACAATCGCAGAGTTTACACTTGCTATCACAATGAGAGTATCCTACTTAGGATATGATGGATAATATCACGAAATGGACACACATATGTGTATACCCACTTTGATATTGGAAGGAATTTTTATCTAATATACTAAAAATCATATCTCAGAATATACTCATGATGTGTACACTTATTGGTATATTACAAGCAATTAACAGAATATGTACCACATGTAAATTGGCTGTGATGGGCATATGTGTACACAATACAGATGTACAATCAAGTTACATAATCTATACAATATGGACAATTATATGTATACAAGTGTACACAATAGATATGTACAAAATGTGTAAAATATGTACATTTATTCTAACACCACAACGATATTATATAACCACAACAGCTTATAAAATCACAATGCACAGGAAATACATAATATAAATGTACATGAGATGGTGTATATACTCGAAAAGAACGTAGAAAAAAGCATTGTATATTTTTTGTAACACAGTATCTCCAGAGCAATTTTGTTTTTAACATTGGGGTACATAGATAATATTTATATTTTTTGTAACCACGTAAAGTTAGAATTTCTGTATTTTACATGAGAGAGAATATTGAGATGGTGTATATACTCCAAAAGCGAGTAGAAAAGGGCATTGTGTATTTTTTCTAACAGAGTATCTTCAGAGCAATTTTGTTTTTAACATTGGGGTACAAAAGAATATTTATATTTTTTTCCATTCCAGTAAAGTTAGAATTTCAGTATTTTACATGAGAGAGAATATTGAGATGGTGTATATACTCCAAAACAGAGTAGAAAAAAGCATTGTATATTGTATAAAAATAGCCACGCCCAGCTATTTTTTGTATTTTTAGTAGAGAAGGAGTTTCACCATGTTGGCCAGACTTGTCTCGAACTCCTGATTTCAGGTGATGCACCTGTCTCGGCCTCCCAAAGTGCTGGGATTACAGGTGTGAGCTACCACGTCCAGCATTGTTTTTAACAGCAGCATAGTATTTCTTTCTTATCCATTCACTCCTAATGAGACTGACAACATGCTAGGTGCTGGGGCTACAACTGTGACCATGTAGACAAGGTTTCTCTCTAATGGAGTTTACAGTCTGATAGGAGAAGTCAAACAAATCAACACAAATGAGCAAGGTAATTGTAGGTGATGGCTAAATACTATGAAAAAAGATAAAGTAACTGTCAGGGCAGAATGACGGGAGCTACTTACTCTGGATTGGTGATGAATAAATGCTTCTCTCAGAAAGTGACATTTAGACTTTCAAATGAATGATGGGCCAGAAGCAGCCCTGGAAAACTAATTTTTTGAATCTTCTCTTTGTTCCTAGGACCTGTAGTCAGGAAGTAGTAACAATCCCTTGTGCTTCTGACAGTGATTCAGGAAGTGTGGATTTGCAGCTGAGCAACTTAGAGGCTGTTAAAAAAAAGGCTCAAGTAGCATTGAACTTACAGGTAAAAAGGGGAAAGGACCTGAAAGGGGAGGGAAGGGAAAAGAGAACCTATTTTCAACTCAGGCCAAGAGGTATTATTGAGTAATTGCTGGGTGACTAGCCCTTGACTAGACTTTGATGATGAATTTGGTCCCTGACTTTGATACTTTGAAATACAGTTGGAAAAATCAGATGAGATACATGGTTCCTGATGTACAGGAAACAAAGCTTGGTCCTGAGACAGACAGTTCTGGAGAAGAGTCTGAGTGCTCGAGGGATTCTGAGGAGGGAAAGGGTGGTGTGGGATGCCTTGGAGTGGGAGGACTTCATGCACAAGGTGGGATCTGAATTGGGCATCAGAATGGTTTTCATTCTACAAAACATGTATTGAGTACCAGGAGCTGGGAATACAACAGTGAACGTGACCGACATGGTCACTCCCCTCATAGAACTTACATTATTGTGCAGAAAAGAGACCCATAAGAGTAAACAGACAGTCACTAAAGTAACTACAACTTGTAGTAAGCAGCATGGAAAAAAAGGCTGAGACCAAAAATAAGGGAAATGGGAACCTACTTGAAACTCTGGTTGTCAGAGAACACCTGTATGAGATAGTGAGTGTTAATTAAACCTAAAGGAGGTCTGAAAGATAGCAGAGTAACCCATGTGAGTAGAGGGGGTACTACAGATAGACGGGACCACATGAGCATGACACAGGAAAAGATCTTGGCGGGTTTGAAGAACTCTCTTCATTCATTCATTCATATACTCATTCGGCAAATACTTATCGAAGTCCTCCTGTGCTCTAAGCTTAATCTAGCAGCTAGAGATAAAGCCGCTAACAGAACAGACACAATATACTTATAGATGGGCCAGGCACAGTGGTTCACTCCCAGCACTTTGGGAGGGCAACACGGATAGATCAAGAGGTCAGGCATTCGAGACCAGCCTGGCCAACGTGGTGAAACCCCATCTCTACTAAAAATATAAAAAATTAGCCAGGCATGGTGGTGAGCACCTGTAATCCCAGCTACTCTGGAGGCTGAGGCAGGAGAATCACTTGAACCCAGGAGGCGGAGATTATGGTGAGCAGAGATCACACCACTGCACTCCAGCCTGGGCAATAGACCAAGACTCCATCTAAAGAAAAAAAAAAAAAAAAATATATATATATATATATATATATATATATTTACCAATGAACAGGCAACTGGAGCTCAGTGTAATTAGTGTGATGGGGGTAGGGGAGCTAGAGTGGATACAGACCAGTTTATTAGTGACTAGGGGATACTTAGCCAAAATGGATAAAAAGGGAATACAGGAAAGGCATCCTAGAGCTGAGACTTGAAGGATAAGTAGGAGTTAGCAAGGCAAAGGTAGGTAAGGGAAGGTAGGGGAGAAGAAGGAGAAAAATGTAGGCAGAAGGAACCGCCTGTGCAAAGATGAGAATGAGAACATAGTTTCAATTATTGCAATTAGTGGATGATAGGATTGTGGCAGGAAGTGGGTAGAGTTTGCAGGAGAGGCATTCAAGAAATAAAAAAGAATACAAAAAAAAGAGTGGCAGCTCATGCCCATAATCCCAGCACTTTGGGAGGCTGAGGTGGGTGGATCACCTGAGGTCAGGAGTTCAAGACCTTGCCTGGCCAACATAGCAAAACCCTATCTCTACTAAAAATACAAAAATTAGCGAGGCATGGTGGCATGTGCCTGTAGTCCCAGCTACTCGGGAGACTGAGGCGCAAGAATCACTTGAGCCCGGGAGGAAGAGCTTGCAGTGAGCAAAGATCGTGCCACTGTACTCCAGCCTGAGTGACAAAGTGAAACTCCATCTCGATAAAAAAGAATGGTAAAAATCTTCAGATGAAAGATGTGTTAAGGGGGGATATTACTGGAATCAGTTCTTTCCATGTGTTACCTCATTTAACCCTTATAGTAACCCTGATTTACAGATGAGGAAACCTAGGTTTCAAGATGCAAACTAACTTGACAAAGGTCATACAAGTAGTAAGTGATAGAACCAAGATTCAAACTGGTCTCAAACTGAGATTAAAGTCCACGCTCCTAACCATTCTGCTACAGCTCAGTCCCAAAGGTTCTTGTAGCTTAGGAGGCCCTTAGAGAATATTGAATTTATAATTGGGAAAACTGAGTCTAGGAGAAGGGATGGGACTTGGTTAAGGTCATAGAGCAAGTAGTAAAGGTAAGAGCCAGTGGTACTCCTCACTAAACCTCATCACTTTGCACAGTACAGAGGCATTATCTAGTGTCTTTCTCTCAATGTTAGACTCAGACATCCTTGACATCCCTAGACTCCATTGGGAGTCCCTGTCAGATAGCCCCAGACACCTGACCCACCAGAACCCGCTCAATGAGGCCATTGTTGAGAAGCTGATCCAGTGCACCCAGGAGGTTTTCAATGGTGAGCTAAAGCTATGCACAAGCAATTTTTATGAGTTATTTAACTTATTCCTCCATTTTAACAAAATTTTAAACATATTATTTCTTTATTATGCAAATAATTTTATATTATAGGTTATAAAACATATTTGTACATTTGTTTTATATTTGTATTTATAAAATATATTTATATGTATATGTTATATTTACTTATATATTTACAAAGAAAATAATAAAAATTAAAAGCTATAATCTCAGTCTCCTCAGATAACTAGTGGTGACATTTTGGTTTATATTTTTTTAGGCTTTTTTTTTTTTTTTTTGAGATGAAGTCTCGCTCTGTCACCCAGGCTGGAGTGCAGTGGCGCCATTTTGGCTCACTATAACCACTGCCTCCCAGGTTCAAGCGATTCTCATGCCTCAGCCTCCCAAGTAGCTGGGATTACAGGCACGTGCCGCCATTGCCCAGCTAATTTTTGTATTTTTAGTAGAGACGGGTTTCATCATATTGGCCAAGCAGGTCCTGAACTCCTGACCTCAAGCAATACAAAGTGCTTGGATTACAAAGTGCTTGGGATTATAAGCATGAGGTACTGTGCTCAGTCCTCTATAGCTTTTAAATCCCATTCACCCAATCAACAAGTAATGAATAAACAGTTACCATTTATAATGCATTGGGCTAGATGCGTGGAAGAAGTTGGAGTAATAAGATTCAAGTCTATTCACAGATAAACTGGGCCACAAACAGAGTGAGACACTGTCTCAAGAAATAGAATTTATGAGACCCTGTCTCAAGAACTAGAATTCTTGAGATAGGGTCTCATAAAATAGAATACTATTCAGCAATAAAAGGTGGGAACTATTGATACAATAACATAGATGAATCACAGAGGCATTGTGTTGAGTAAAAGAAGCCAATCACAGAAGGTTACAGACTGTATGATTCCAGTTGTGTGACTTTCTTTTTTGTTGTTGTTTTGGTTTTTTTTGAGATGGAGTCTCGCTCTGTCACCCTAGCTGGAGTGCAGTGGTGCCATCTTGGCTTACTGCAACCTCCACCTTCCAGGTTCAAGCAATTCTCATTCATCAGCCTTCCAAGTAGCTGGGACTACAGGCGTGTACCACCGTGCCTACCATGTTGGCCATGCTGGTCTGGAACTCCTGACCCCAGGTAATCTGTCCACCTTGGCCTCCCAAAGTTCTGGGATTACAGGCATAAGCCACTGTGCCTGGCCTAGGAAGCTTAATCAGAACAACACCCTCCAGAGAGGAAGGTGGAAAGCAAAGACTAAAGGTGGGGAGAGCCAGGCTGGAACATGGAGCTGAGAGCAGAGCTGAGGTCCCAAAGCAAGGCAGGACCAGTGGACAAGGAATTTCACTGAAATCTCTGTCATTTACTCATTCCTTATAATAAAAGACTGATACTGAATTGAAAGAGATGTCAGATATTTAAAGCATTCCAAGAAACTTTTCAAAAGGTCTCTACAGTTATCAAATAAGAGTATAACATATAATTGTATTTTTATCATTTTTCCACAAATTCAGGGTAAATTTGAAAAGCTGACATTCCTAAGATCTCTGTCTTCTCTCAGCCGACCTTTACCTTATGATGAAACCACAGAATCATTCATTCATTCGTGGCCACATCACAGATATTATGCATACCTTACATGTAAGTATTATGACCTTACCACAAATGACTGGGATCACACAAATTCAGTGACGTGGCCAAAACATTTTTTAGTGGCTTCCCCTATGTTATCAATCCACTTGAACTCTTCTTGTATCAGTATCTTTACATGGAGGAGAAATACTCAAGGCTACCCCCACACATGTAATCACCCTTGAAAACCAATTACAAGAAGAATAGAAAGGACAGCATTTGAATTTCTCAGCAAGGCCAATGCTACATTCTCATGAATCAAGCAGTAGTTCCCAGACAGTCACCATAATCGAATGTCTGGGTTCAGGCGACAGTCCTGCCTCTTTATAGCTATGTAACTGTAAGAAATTACTTCACTTCTCAATGCTTCTGTTTCCTCATCAATAAAATAAGAATAGCTATATTGGCCAGGCGCGGTGGCTCATGCCTGTAATACCAGCACTTTGGGAGGCCGAGACGGGCAGATCACCTGAGGTTCGGAGTTCAAGACCAAGCTAACCAACATGGAGAAACCCCGTCTCTACTAAAAATACAAAATTAGCTGGGCATGGTGGCGCATACCTGTAATCCAAGCTACTCAGGAAGCTGAGGCAGGAGAATCACTTGAACCCAGGAGGTAGAGGTTGTGGTGAGCTGAGATTGAACCACTGTACTCCAGCCTGGGCAACAAGAGCAAAACTCCATCTCAAGAAAAAAAAATAGCTATATCTACTTCACAGAGCTATTGTGACCCTTAAATAAAAATAAATATAAGCCATGTACCATGGTACCTAACACACATGATGCATTTTAGAAATGGGACTCTATTATCGTTATTGCATTTTGTTCTATTTGTACTTACTCCAGCCATGCTCTGCCACCAATTTATCCATTCATTCCCTCATTAATTGCCTGACAGTTCCAGGAACTGTCCTGGGAATTTGGGCTACAAAGACAAAGAGGACAAAATTCCTGTTTATGCAGCCAAGCAAAGTATAATGAAATGTGTCAGGGACGGTTAGAAGTTTAAATGGGCATATGGAGAGCACACAGGAGTGACTGGTCAGTTCCATGTCAAAGGATCTAGAAGGGCTTTGCAAAGAAGCCGATGCACTCAGGCAAGTACCGGATGGCGCTTTAGTTTTCTTATCTGCGAAATGTCTCCTTCAGTTTCTCTAAAGCTTTAAAATTCTGATGTTGGGATTTCTTACATGCTCCAGGAATATGAGTTGTTCTTTCTCATATCACAGATCTATAAGGCTGATTAGATTGATGGCTTTTGAAATTCAAGGCTAACCGGCTCACAGTTTACATAATGGACAGCTACTAGGATTTTCTATATCTAAGTACACTGTGGTGCTTCAATAAAGGTTACCCATTTCCTGGTAACTATAACCCTTGCCCTTGAAGCGTTTACAGTCCATCTGTAAGTGTCCGTACCTCAAAAAGTAAATAGGTTGAGAATTATTCCAAACAATACATTAAGAAGAACAGGACGGTAATACAGGTTTAAGAACAAATGTAGGAGCTGAGCGCAGCAGCTCATGCATGTAACTGCAGCACTCTGGGAGGCCAAGGTGGGCAGATCACTTGAGGTCGGGAGTTTGAGACCAGCCTGGCCAACATGGTGAAACCCTGTCTCTACTAAAAATACAAAAATTAGCTGGGTGTGGTGGCAGTCACCTGTAATGTAAGCTTCTCCTGAAGTGGGCAGGAGAATTGCTTGAACGCAGAGGTGGAGGTTGCAGTGAGCCGAGATTACACCACTGCACTCTGGCCTGGGCGACAGAGCGAAACTCTGTCTCAAAAAAAAAAAAAAAACGAGTTTGAGACCAGTTTAGGTAATGTGGTAAAACTCAATCTCTGGGAAAAAAAATACAAAAATTAGCCAGGTATGGTGGTGTATGCCTGTAATCCCAGCTACTAGGGAGGCTGAGGTGGGGAGATCAACTGAGTCCAGGAGACAGAGGTTACAGTGAGCCGAGATCATGCCACTTCACTCCAGCCTGGGTGACACAGTGACACCCCATCTCAAAAAAAAAAAAAGAACAAATGCAGCTTTCTGCTTGGCTAGCCTCCTTGGGAAAAGGGACAGGATGTAGGCAACTGTAGGATCCTAGGACCCGGCCAGAGTGGCATGTTTCTAAAGCTCTGTTTTCACCAGACTTGGCAACAATGGGTTGCCATGTGGTTCAACCAGCCAGCTCATAAAATCCACAAATGCAAGTCTGAACAACAAAAATACACTGAATTGCACACTGAGTCTGCATTTGAATCTGTTTACCCAGTAATAAAATGCCCGCATTAGATGTCAAGGTATAGACTGGCAAGGGATTCGGCCCAGAAAAGTTAAAGGTAGCTAGTCTCATGAGAAAACTGCATGCATGACTGCAGCACTAAGTCTATGAAGTTCCCGCAAGCCCACACATGGGGGCTGAAAAAGCACAACTCCCAACAACCAAGGGGAGAGGTGCCCAAGAGGAGAAGAAGTTCTGCTGAAGACCTGACAATGAGGAAAAAGCCGGGGTCATCACAGAGAAAGAAAACTTTGAGGCATGTAGCAGTCCTCCTGACCCAAACCAGTGCGTGGCTCCAAATAGCCAAATAAAAAAAGCCAAGGAAGCCCACGACAGAAAGTGGAAGGAAGAAGAAAAAGTTGGGATGGCATTTAACCAAACATTTCTCTTTTTTTTGAAACAGAGTCTCATTCCATCACCCAGGCTGGAGTGCAGTGGCACAATCTCAGGTCACTGCAACCTCTGCCTCCCAGGTTCAAGCAATTCTCCTGCCTCAGCCTCCCGAGTAGTTGGGATTGCAGGTAACTGCCACCATGCCCAGCTAATTTTATGTGTTTTTAGTAGAGACAGGGTTTCACTATGTTGCCCAGGCTGGTCTCGAACTCCTGATCTCAGGTGATCCATCTGCCTCAGCCCCCCAAAGTGCTGAAATTACAGGCATGAGTTTACCAAAAATTTCTAAATAAGCACCTGAAAAGATGCTGATTATTGTGATCAGGGAAAAGCGAACTAAAATGACAGTAAGCTTCAACTATACTCCTACTAAAATGGCTAAAATAAAAAAGAAAGGCAATACACTGTTGAGAACTTTAATGAAAAAGAAAAGAGGCTGGGTATGGTAGCACCTGCCTGTAGTCCCAGCCACTCTGCAGGCTGAGGTGGGAGGAACACTTGAGCCCAGGAGTTGGAGGCTGTAGTGAGCTATGATCATGCTTATGAATAGCTACTGCACTGCTGCCTCAGGAACATAGTGAGACCCCCATCTTGAAAGAGAGAGAGAGGTGGGAGGGAGGGGGGAGGGGAAAAAGAGAGAGAGAGAGAGAGAAAGAGAGGGGGGAGGGAGGGGAGAGAGAGGGGGAGGGAGGGGAGAGAGGGAGGGGGAGAGAGGGAGAGAAGGAAGGAAGAAAGGAAGGAAAGTTGGTTGTGGTAACTGGGATGAAGGAAGGAAGGAGGGATTAGGGTGAAGTTGTGTTTGTAGGGGGACCACAATTAACTAACTTTAATGCCAAAATTCTGGGGATTTTAGTGGTTGTGCCCTTGAGATAACCCGGTGCGGGCGAGTAGAGCCCTTGGAGAGCTGTCAGGACTGAAGACAGAGTCTTAGGCTTTGTCCCTTCCAGACTATAAAGCCACAAAAATAAATGTGCTCTTTGAGGAAATAAGGAAAGAAAGCAGCAGCCTACCAGCAAGAGCTAAGTCAGACCAGGGCTGGAAAGTAAAAGGAGAAAAACTCAGAGAGGGGCAAGAAAGGGAACCTTGTAGTGTTTATTGAGCACTCACTGCATCCTAAGTTTTTTTGTTGTTTTTGAGATGGAGTTTTACTCTTGTTGCCCAGGCTGGAGTGCAGTGGCACTGTCTCAGCTCACTGCAGCCTCCGCCTCCCAGGTTCAAGCGATTCTCTTGCCTCAGCCTCCTAAGTAGCTGGGATTACAGGTACCTGCGACTATGCCTGGCTAAATTTTGTATTTTAGTAGAGATTGGGTTTCACCATGTTGGCTAGGCTGGTCTCGAACTGCTGACCTCAAGTGACTTGCCCACCTCAGTCTCCCAAAGTGCCAGGATTATAGGAGTGAGCCACCGTGCCCAGCCTGCATCCTAAGTTCCTAGTGAGGTCTTTTTTATTAAAGATAAGAGAAATCCTCTAGAAGCCCCTGAAACCCAAAAGGTGAGATTTTTTTCTAAGGATGGCTGATTGTTTCTCAGGGCCCCTTGACAGGAGGAGCAGCCTGACCCAGGAAGGGAATGAATCTAGAAAATAAAAATCTTCCACATACTCAAGGTTAGCTTTCTCTCCTTCTCTTATTCTTGCTCCCTTGTATGAATTTCCATTTCTACTCTCTCTGTCTGTCTTCCTCTCCCCCATCTTCTCTCCCCAAAATCCGCCCTCTTAGTTGCCTTATCCATAGGGACCAGTGCTTCCAAATTTTAAATTTTTTTTCCTTTAGAAGACCATCCAGAATGAGATTGAAGCTCTTTGTCCCAATTCCAGATTCCAGAGAGAATGTAATTGACCATCTAAGGGCATACCACCACTCTGAACTCGCCAGATCTTGTCTGATCTCAGAAGTTAAGCAGGGTTGGGCCTGGCTAGTACTTGGATGGGAGACCACCTGGGAATACTGGGTGCTGTAGGCTTAATAAGATCAAGAAAAGAAAAAAAGAATCTCATTGACCTTGGTGTCCTTTGGGACAGATGAGCTGTGGCCAATGGGACTTAGCAGACACATGGCTTTGAGGTGCCCATTTCTCCGGGCTGGGGACAGTTCCCAGAGAGGCCTGGTAGACAGTCCAGCGAGGCTTCTGCTACAGTTATTATTTTTTTTTTTTGAGATGGAGTTTTGCTCTTTTGTTTTTTTAGAAGCACCAGAGTCCATGAGGCATTTTATTTGTAAATCTATGTATTATATCGCTAGAAAAAGAATCCCAGGATTTTCCCTCCTGTGTGTTTTCGTCTTGCTTCTTCATGGTCCATGATGCCAGCTGAGGTTGTCAGTACAATGAAACCAAAGTGGCGGAACAGAAGCAGATTATTCTGCCATTTTTCTAGATCTTTGAGTTGCACATCAGATCTGGGGCTGATCACTCCACACTTATTTAGCCTGCCTGTGAGGTTCACAACAGGTTTCCCAGCTCTGTGATCGTCAGTAATTTCAAATTCGCCAACGTAACCGTGCTTTGTCATCACAGTGAGAAACCAGGCAATGACTTTGGAGCATGGCCTAATAAGCACATGGCGTTTGCCTCTCTTTTCGGCATTGTTGATGCTCTTGAGAGCATCCACCAGGACATTCATGCACACCATTGTGGCGGCGCGGAAGATGGTGGAAAGAGAGAGTTTTGCTCTTTCACCAAGGCTGGAGTATAGTGGCACGATCTTGGCTGACTGCAACCTCCGACTCCCAGGTTCCAGCAATTCTCCTGCCTCAGCCTCCCGAGTAGCTGCGATTATAGGCATCTGCTCTTGAACTCCTGACCTCAAGTGATCCACCCACCTCGGCCTCCCAAAATGCTAGGATTACAGGCATGAGCCACCGTGCCAGCTAAAATCATTTACATCAGCTCATTTTCTCCATACAGATAAGGCAACGAAGGCACAGGGAGTTAAATGACACATTCAGGCCCGCACAGTGAGTGAGCGGCAGAGCCAGTGCTCAGCCCAGGGACTGTCCTGCTCCAAAGCCCCCACTTATCACTCCACGGGTTTTTCCAGCACAGCAAGGCAGCTTTCCCTCTGCCAGTTTGGAATTTGGAAAATTATTCTTTTTCCATGACAAGTAACTCAGAATAATATTAGATGTGATCGAAGAGATAGCTGGTTTAGCGGAGAGATGATTCAGAATGCCTAAACTAGAAATAATCACTGGTGATTAAAATGATGAATAACAGACACTAACAATGACACAGGGCTGCCGGGTATCATGAGTTTGCTCAGTGAGTACTCACAGCCACCCCATGAAAGTTAAGTATTACTGTTTTCTGGTTTTACAGATGAGGAAACCAAGGCACAAGGGGGTTAAATAATTTGTGTCAGTAGGACCAGGCACAATGGCTCACGCCTATAATCCCAGCACTTTGGGAGGCTGAGGCAGGTGGATCACAAGGTCAGGAGATTGAGACCATCCTGGCCAACATGGTGAAACCCCATCTCTACTAGAAATACAAAAATTAGCTGGGCATGGTGGCGTAGGTCTGTAATCCCAGCTACTCAGAAGGCTGAGGCAGGAGAATCACTTAAACCAGGGAGTCAGAGGTTGCAGTAAACCGAGATTGTGCCACTCCACTCCAGCCTGGCAACAAAGTGAGTCTCAAAATATAAAATAAAATAAAAATCATTTGTGTCAGCTCAAACAGCTGGTAGAGACAGAGCCAGGGTCTGGGATCTAGCTCAAGAGAATAAACCTCTGACCCACCACTGTCCTGCTGCCAGTCGTCCAGGGCCTCAGAGCAGGGCTGGCTAGAAGGACCTGCTGTGGTTCTTGCAGGCCACCCAGTCTCTGATGGCCAGTGGCCTAATGAATGGGTACTTTCTCAACTCTCAAGTTCTTCCCTCTCATTGCAGGTACTGGTACAAGAGGAGCACCTGCGTTCCCTGTTAAGTCCTTTGCGCCAGGAGGTCTTCATTACCATATCTGATCTCAGGTGATGCCCACATGCCCCTTACAGGGGCATCCTGGTTCCTCTCAGGGCCAATGCCAGGTCCAACTGGCATGACCCTTTGTTTTTGTTTTGTTTCTCTTTTTGCGATGGAGTCTCACTCTGTCACCCAGGCTCACTGCAATCTCTGCCCCTGGGATCAAGCAATTCTCCTGCCTCACTCAGCCTCTCGAGTACCTGGGATTATAGGCGTGCACTACCACGCCTGGCTAATTTTGTATTTTTAGTAGAGATGGAGTTTCGCCATGTTGCCCGGGCTGGTCTCGAATTCCTGACCTCACATGATCCTCCCGCCTCGGCTTCCCAAAGTGCTGGAATTTCAGACGTGAGCCACCACACCCAGCCATGAGCCATATTTTTAATTTTTGAAAATGGTTATATAGAAAAGCGGGAGCCAAATTCATGTTTTTGCATAAGCACTTTGATTTCATATATGCTACTATCCATGTCTGAAAACCCTTGCTAGAATCTCTTTAGAGTTGAGTTTTGTCCCAAGTGTATTTGGTAGGAAGTTACTCCCATATATGCCACATGACTTTAGAGTTCCGACTTATAAGACATTTGGAAGGGCTGCCTGCTATTTACCTGTCAGAGATTTGTGTTGTAGTGATTAAGCTGATCAATGGTCCTGAGAAGTCTTGCAGTTAAAAAGTTTTTTAACTAGATTCAACCCATGATTCCCAAACAAACATTCAGCAGAATATGCTTTGGAAAATTGTGGCTTACCATGCTAGGCTGTAGCAGGCTTCCCTCTGTGGCTGAACTGAAGGGAGCCCTGAAACGATATTACTACAGTAACTACTTGGGGGAAACTCTTCCTCTAACCTTTTGTGAGATTTATCTGAACAGACTGACAAGCCATGCCATTTATGTCTCCCATCAGAACAGTGCACTGGCCTGTCTACCCTTTCCTTTTTAGTTCCATTGCTCTGTGCTTATCAATATCAAATCAAACCATCTTCCCAGCTTGCTGTTCCCAAACTGTCTTTTCAAGATGAAAAGATGATAACTGTAGTTACCAAGATGTCCATTTGCTGCCTGCCTCTGAAGATCGAGCCGAGTTGTTCAGTCTTATCATCAGGACTATAATCACTCTGCCCTCTGTAAGGACTTTTACCAGGATGCGGGAAATTGTGCCCAGTGGGACCTGCAACACAGAGGTAACTCACGCTTTGCTTTAGCCACTTTCCATCCACAGGGTCAGCTGATCTTGGCCTTTTGAGAGTGCATTTGATTTTTTGAAACTAGCCCAAAACCATAAGCCAAGTCTGGTGAATAAAATAGGTGGTTAAATTAGAAGAGAGCTTTTTCAAGCCTCCATTTTGTCTTCTTTCCTTTTCCCTCTATTCTTTCCTTCCTTTTGCCTTTAAAATAAGGTGGGAACACTCATTTAAGGGTCATCATATGCCAAACGTGATGATAGGCAGTGTTAATACAGCAGCACAGTCCCACTCAAGGAGCTTACATTCTAGTGCAGAGAGACAAACTGTTGATACATAAATATAATATGTCAGCTGATAATAAGTGTTACAAAAAAAATAAAGCAGGGGAAGAGCAGGATAGAGAGCCCTGTGGTTGGGAAGCGCATGGGTGATCGGGTAAAGCCTTCATGATGGGTTATAACTGAAAGGAGAGAAGGTGTGTAGTGTATATGTGGAGAAGGCTTTCAAGCAGAGGGAAGGGTACATGCAGGCCTTGATCTCTTTTTCAGTGGCTAAGAAACTGGTTGGTAAAGCAGTTACACAAGAGGACTCTATTGCCCTCTGTTTCAAGATGTCAGAAAGAGTCACAAGTCAACTTTAAAGAACCTTGGCTGGGCGCAGTGGCTCATGCCTATAATCCCAGCACTTTGAGAGGCCGAGGTGGGCAGATCACAAGGTCAGGAGATTGAGACCATCCTGGCTAACATGGTGAAACCCCATCTCTACTAAAAATACAAAAAATTAGCCAGGCATGGTAGCAGATGTCTGTAATCCCAGCTACCCAGGAGGCTGAGGTAGGAGAATCGCTTGAACCCAGGAGGCAGAGGTTGTCATGAGCCTAGATCGCACCACTGCACTCCAGCCTGGGCAACAGAGTGAGACTCCATCTCAAAAAATAAAAAATAAAAGAATCTTGATAATGACCCTTAAGCAATTTCCCAGATGTAGTAAGACTCAGTCAGCTGTGATCCCTCTCGTGCCAAGGCATCCATTTGAAATGAAGATGTATTCCTTTTTATCTCATGCCACAAACTGTCTACCAGTAATTTTACACTGGTTCTGCAACTTGGAGTGAAATCTTAGGATCAGAAGAAGAGCCTCCAAAGCATCCCATGCTAGGCGAACTTCACATGAGATTGGGAGCATCGCTGATCCTGTGCCTTCTCAGTGTCTTTACAGGCAGACGTTTCAGGCGTTCTTTGAGATGCTCCAGAGTTTGGTGGTAAAAGACCCACATTTGGAAAATCTTGACACCATTATTAAGGTAAACAAGATATCAAGAGAGAATGAGAAATGATTCCTATTAACTGGTGAAAGTAGGAGATGAAAGTGTGGAAGGACTCAGTTGTAAGAGGCAATGTAGTAAAGAGTATCAGCTGTCAACTTTGAGTCAGAGGCCTGGGTTCAAATTCTGGCTCTGCCATTCATTGGTTATAAGTTCTGCTAGAAATTCTGCAAGGAATTTGCTCTCTCAAAGACACATTTCTTCACGTTTACATGGAGATAATAATTACTGTGGGCCGGGCACGGTGGCTCATGCCTGTAATCCCTGCACTTGGGAGGCCGAGGTGGGTGGATCACAAGGTCAAGAGATCAAGACCATCCTGGTCAACATGATGAAACCCCATCTCTACTAAAAATACAAAAAATTAGCTGGGCATGGTGGCGCGTGCCTGTAATCCCAGATACTCAGGAGGCTGAGGCAGGAGAATTGCCTGAACCCAGGAGGTGGAGGTTGCGGTAAGCTGAGATCGTGCCATTGCACTCCAGCCTGGGTTACAAAAGCGAAACTCCATCTCAAAAAATAATAATAATAATAATTACTGTGAATACTGAATAAATGGCCTTCAATCATTTGTTTATTTATTTTCAGAGACAGGGTCTTGCTCTATTGCCCAGGCTGGAGTGCAGTGGCACCATCATAGCTCCCTGCAGCCTTGAACTCTTGGCCTCAAGTTATCTTCCCACCTCTGCCTTGGGAGGCCAAGGTGGGTGACTCATTTGAGGCCAGGAGTTCAAGATGAGCCTCACCAACATGGCAAAACCCTGACTCTACTTAAAAAAAAAAAATCCAAAAATTAGCCAGGCATAGTGATGCCCACCTGTAATCCCAGCTACTTGGGAGGCTGAGGCACAAGAATCACTTGAACCCGGGAGGCAGAGGTTGCAGTAAGCAAAGATTGCACCACTGCACTCCAGCCTTGGTGACAGACTCTGTATCAAAAAAAATTTTTTAAGATATTATTCCTTACTAGTATAGAAGGGTTTTATTCAGTGATGAGGGAAGGGTCAGCCCCAAGAGTTACTAAGGCCAGGCGCAGTGGCTCATGCCTGTAATCCCAGCACTTTGGGAGGCCAAGGCCGGCGAATCATTTGAGGTCAGGTGTTCGAGACCAGCCTAGCTAACGTGGGGAAACCCTTTCTCTACTAAAAAGGCAAAATTAGCCAGGCGTGGTGGTACATGCCTGTAGTCCCAGGTACTCGGGAGGCTGAGGCAGGAGAATCATTTTAACCCAGTAGGCGGAGGTTGCAGTGAGCCAAGATTGTGCCACTGCACTCCACCCTGGGTGACAGTACAAGGCTTCTTCTCAAAAACAAATGAAAAAAGAAGAGTTAGTAAATAAGCGGCTTCCTACCAGAAGATACTCAAAGTTCATAATAACCAACTGCTCTGACCTGCACCTGCTTCTGTATATGCCGTTCCATCACTAGAGGTTTATTCATTTGAGTTCATTCACTGCAGTTCAGGTATCTTGTTCTCTTGCCCTTTTTTGTTGTTGTTGTTGTTGTTGTTATTTTTATTTTTCTTACCCTTTTTTAAGGTGTAAATATCCCTGAAAGGGATAACCCTTTAAGCTATTATTAATCATCTGCACCCTAATGATCCATTTATTCTTGTCCTAACTGACAAGCAAGGCACAAAGACTTAGGCAGTTGGGTACTTTGGCTGCTAAACGAGCTTCTTTTTCTTTCTCTCTCTCTCTCTCTTTTTCTTTCTTTCTTTCTCTCTCTCTCTCTCTTTCTCTCTTTCTTTCTTTCTTTCTTGATGGAGTCTGGCTTTGTCGCCCAGGCTGGAGTGCAGTGGCGCAGTCTCAGCTCACTGCAACCTCCACCTCTCGGGTTCAAGCAATTCTCCTGCATCAGCCTCCTGAGTAGCTGGGATTACAGGCGTGCACCACCACACCTGGCTAATTTTGTATTTTTAGTAGAGACAGGGTTTCACCATGTTGGTCAGGCTGGTCTCGAACTCCTGACCTCATGATTCACCTGCCTTGGCCTCCCAAAGTGCTGGGATTACAGGCATGAGCCACTGCGTCCAGCCCAGGAGCTTATTTTCTAGCTCATTTTCTGTGCTTCTGTACAGAATAATTAATTGAAGAATTGGGATGAAGGGAAAAATGATAAATAATAACAAATAATAAATGCTCTGATGGGCATTTATTCTTGTCCTAACTGACCTTATTACTATTTCTCATTCCTCTTCTATTTATACATTAGCATACCAGCCAGATTGGGTTTCTCCTCTTTATTCAGTTGTACTTTGTACTTTCCTGCCTTGGTAGCTTAATTCAAGCCTTTCTTTTTTCTCTCTCTTTGAGATGTCTCACTCTGTCACCCAGGCTGGAGTACAGTGGTACGATCTCAGCTCACTGTAATCTCCACCTCCCAAGCTCAAGCAATTGTCCCACCTCAGCCTCCCGAGCAGCTGGGACTACAGGTGCATGCCACCATGCCCAGCTAATTTTTGGATTTTTTTGTAAAGATGGGGTTTCACTATGTTACCCAGGCTGGTCTCCAACTCCTGGGCTTAAGCAATCTGTAATTTCTCCCAAAGTGCTGGGATTACAGGCATGAGCAACCACACCTGGCTGTTCTCATAATTCTTTAATATTAATAGTATGTTGTTAACTTTATTTCTTTTCAAGGCAGATTTGAAAGGGCTAAAACCATTCAGAAGTACAGAAAAACTAATTGCAGAATTGGGCTGAAGGGAAAATAAGCTCTAACCAGGTGCAGTGGCTCACGCCTGTAATCCCAGCACTTTGGGAGGCCAAGGCGGGTGGATCACCTGAGGTCAGGAGTTTGAGATCAGCCTGGCCAACATGGTAAAATCCCGTCTCCATAAAAATACAGAAATTAGTGGGCATGGGGTTGGGTGCCTACAGTCCTGGCTACTGGGGAGGCTGAGGTGAGAGAATTACTTGAACCCGGGAGGCTGAGTTTGCAGTGAGCTGAGATTGCACCATTGTACTCCAGCCTGGGCCACAGAGCAAGACTCCATCTCAAAAAAAAAAGAAGAAGAAGCGCCTATGAAGCAGCCAAATCACCCACTGCCTAGGTCTGTGCCTTGCTTATCATTCTACCACTTTCATTTCCAATCCGAACTATAACAGTATTTAGCAAAGTATTTTCAGATCTGGTAGCAGCTTGGAACTTCTCTCTCTGCATTTTTTTCTAAACACAATAAAGATGGTACCCCAAATCTTCCTGATAAATCAGTTAGCCTCCTTTTATTTCACACAGCACATGGACCCCTGGTTACAGTCAGTCAAAGACCATGAGCGGAAACGGGCCACAGCCAGCATGGCTCAGGTTCTGAAGTGCTTATCCAGACATCTCAGCTTGGAGGTGAGCAGCCCCGTAAAAATCCAAAGCCGTTCCCCCACTGTCTGTTTGCCCTCCTCTTTAGGACTCCCCAGACTGCTCCTGTGTCCCGTTCATGCTCACGGAGTGTCACAGCATCATAGCGCTTAGCATCATCTTCATATCTGCCCTTCTCCTAAGCAGCTTGGGGCCAGGTACTATGTTGATTCATCTTTGCATCCCAATTGCTTAGCACAGCAGCTGAAACATAATGATACAGTAAATATAACCTGAAAATTCCTGAGGGCCCCGGTTGCCTAATCTCTGTATAGTGTTGTATTTGAGTCCAGGAGGCAAGTTTAAATAAATCCGCTTAATTATCTCCCAGCAACTCAAAGAGAATGGTGCTATGGCACCTCTTTTTAGATCTTCATTTTTCTCTTTCTCTCTCTCACTTCTCAGTTCTGAATCTTCTCCATATGGCATCTCATTATGATGATGATGATTATTCAAGCCAGGGTCCTGCTCCGTCACTCAGGCTGGAGTGCAGTGGCGCCATCATAGCTCACTGCAGCCTTGAACTCCTGGCCTCAAGCAATCTTCCTGCTTCAGCCTTCCAGGTAGCTGGGACTACAGTCACACACCACCATGCCTGGCTAATTTTTAAAATTTTTTGTAGAGACAGGGGTGTCATTTTGTTGCCCAGGCTGGTCTCCAACTCCTGGCTTCAAGTAATCCTCCTGCCTCAGCCTCTCAAAGCACTGGGATTACTGCCATGAGCCACTGCACCTAGCCATATCTCTTTTAAAAACATCTCCTCTCGTCTTCACTCACTCACTTCTCAGTTGAAAATCCTCTCCATAACTCCTAACAAGAATTCCTCAAAACTTTTTTCGTCTTTCCTGGGTCTACACTTTTTTCCATCTGATAATCTCTCTTTGCCCTTCCCTAAGCAGGTTTTCTAGCCATTGGTGCATCTCCTGTCCCCACACATTATTTCTCCAACTTGTATAATAAGGCCTGGGAATTGGAAGAGAGGCTGGTAGGGTAGGAATGGTCTTTATACCAAAATTTTCCTTAGATAATCTGTTCTTTCTTTCTTTCATTTCCCTTTCTTTTTCTTTCTTTCTTTCTTTTTTCTCTCTCTTTTTCTTTCTTTCTCTCTCTTCTCTCTTTTTTCTTCCTGCCCAAAGCAAAAGAGGAAAAATAATATGTTCCTGATAGAAATATTCTAACAGTCATGTTTAAAAGGACTGCATTCCAGTCAGTCCTTTACTTCTCGCATTGAAAAGATATCCTAACTTATTAAAATAAGGGCAGTCCCTCCAACTATGCTATTTTCTTTTTTCTCTTTAGTGAATGAAAGCAAGTAACGTCTGGCCGTCACTGACTGCCCTATTATTTTGATACCAACAATGCATTGTTCTTCCTTCCACAACCCTCAACCTCTACTTTTGGCTACAGACTAAAAAATAGAGTTTCAGATGATTCCCTCCTGTAGGTTATTCTCTCTCCAGGTCCTGGAGACCTTCCTTAGCATATGCTTTTCCTAGAGAGAGTTGCAAATATGGATCTGGGCACGGTGGCTAAGTCTGTAATCCCAGCACTTTAGGAGGCAGAGGCGGGTGGATCACTTGAGCTCAGGAGTTTCAGACCAGCTGGGCCAGCATGGTGAAACTCTGTCTCTATTAAAAACATAAAAGTCAGTCAGGCATGGTAGCAGGCGCTTGTAATCCCAACTATCCAGGAGGCTGGGGCAGGACAATTGCTTGAACCTGGGAGGTGGAGGCTGCAGTGAGCCGAGATCTCACCACTGCACTCTAGCCTGGGCTACAGAGCAACACTCTGTCTCAAAAAAAAATAAAATAGTGTTGCAAATATGGGAGTGGTTAACCTAGGTGCCATTGGGGTCTGTGAACATTCAGAATGTGCAGAATGTGGTGTGATGTAGTCTTCTGGATTTTTTTTTTTTTTTTTTTCGAGACAGGATCTCATTCTGTCACCCAGGCTGGAGTGCAGTGGCATGATCATGGCTCATGCACCCTTGACCCATCCTGGGCCCAAGCAGTCCTCCTGCCTCAGCCTCCCTAGTAGCTGGAACTACAGGCACACACCACAACAACTGGTTAATTTTTGTATGTTTTGTAGAGATGGGATTTCACCATGTTGCCCTGGCTGGTCTCGAGCTCCTGGGCTGAAGTGATCCACCTGCCTTGGCCTCCCAAAGTGCTGGGATTACAAGCATGGGCCACTGTGCCTGGCCCCTTCCAAGTTCTTTTTGGTACATGAGTGTGTTGGGGTGGGGTCTTCCCTTCCAATTTGTTCTCTACAAATAGCCAGAGGCATCCTCTTCAGACCCATGTCATTCTTTTGTTTTTGTTTCTTTGCTTTTCCCCCTTATCTTTTATTTATTTTTCTTTATTTTCTTTTTTTTTCCCATGCCACTTGTTTGATCCAGTGATTTCCAAACTGCTCTTAGAATATGGGGTCATGTCTGATGTAGCTGTGCCTGCCTCTCTACACCTGTCCTCTGGCTTAACCGCACAGCATCCGCCTTTCTGTTTCTTCCCACATAAGACTCTTCTTGCTGCATGGCCTTTGCATTTGCTGCCTTCTCTGCTTGGAATGACCTTCCCTAGCTCTGCATAGAGCCAGCCCCTCCTGGTTCTTTTTTTTTTTTTTTTTTGAGATGTAAAGAACAAATTGGAAGGTTACATTGCAACCTCCGCCTCCTGGGTTCAAGTGATTCTCCTGCCTCAGCCTCCCTAGTAGCTGGGATTACAGGCGCCCACCACCATACCTGGCTAATTTTTGTGTTTTTAGTAGAGATGAGGTTTCACCATGTTGGCCAGGCTGGTCTCCAACTCCTGACCACAAGTGATCTGCCCGCCTCGGCCTCCCAAAGTGCTGGGATTACAGGTGTGAGCCACCACACCCAGCCCCCTCCTGGTTCTTTAGCACTGTGTTCAGATGTCTTCACCTCAAAAGGGCCTCTGCTCACCACAGATAGTAGAGATGGGGTTTCACTATGTTGTCCAGGCTGGTCTCAAACTCCTGACCTCGTAATCCACCCACCTAGGCATCCCAAAATGCTGGGATTATAGGCCTGAGCCACCAAGCCTGGCCAGATACTTGGTTTCTAATGGTTGTATTCATAGACTGGTTGTACCATAATTCTCTTTACTATTGTCATGCAGTTATTTCCAGAGTGTGTGGGGGGTTTTTGTTTTGGTTTGGTTTTTTTGTTTTTTTCCTTTCTTTCTTGAGACAGAGTATCACTCTTATTGACCAGGTCGGAGTGCAATGGTACAATCTCAGCTCGCCGCAACCTCTGCCTCCCAGGTTCAAGCAATTCTCCTGCCTCAGCCTCCCTAGTAGCTGGGATTACAGGCATGTGCCACCACGCCTGGCTAATTTTGTATTTTTAGTAAAAACAAGGTTTCTCCATGTTGGTCAGGCTGGTCTCAAACTTCTGACCTTAGGTGATCTGCCCACCTCAGCCTCCCAAAGTGCTAGGATTACAGGCATGGACTACCACCCCCAGCCAAAAGTGTGGTCTTTAGACCACCTCTGGGTTTATACCCCAAAGAAAGGAAATCAGTATACCGAAGAGATATCTGCACCCCCACGTTTGTTGAGGTGCTCTTCATAATAGCCAAAGTTTGGAAGCAGCCTAAGTGTCCATCAGCAGATGAACAGATAAAGAAAATGTGGTACTTATATTCAGTGGAGCACTATTCAGTCATAAAAAGAATGAGATCCCAACAGTATGACTGGAACTGGAGATCATTATGCTAAGTGGAATATGCCAGGCACAGAAAGACAAAGATCACATGTTCTCATATATTGTGGGATCTGAAAATCAGAACAATTGAATTCATGGAGATAGAGAATAGAAGGATCATTATCAGAGGCTGGAGAGAGATGGGGATGGTTAATAGATACCAAAAAAATTGTTAGAATGAATAAGACCTAATATTTTGTAGCACAACAGGGTGACTATAGTCAAAAATTATTTACTTGTGCATTAATAATTTTTAATATTAAAAATTTAATATATTTTTATTTAGTAATATTAAATATACATTTATTGGCCGGGTACAGTGGCTCACACCTGTAACCTCCGCCTGAGGTCAGGAGTTTGAGACCAGCCTGGCCAACATGGCAAAACCCTATCTCTACTAAAAATACAAAAATTAGCTGGGTGCAGTAGCTCATGCCTGTAATTCCAGCTACTCGGGAGGCTGAGGCAGGAGAATCACTTGAACCCGGGAAGCCGGGGTTGCAGTGAGCCGAGATCAAGCCATTACACTCCAGCCTGGGCAAAAAGAGCAAAACTCCATTTCAAAAAAAAAATTAATTAAAATAACTAAAGGAATATAATTGGACTATTTATGACACAAAAGATAAATGCTTGAGGGGATGGATACTCCATTTTCCATAATGTGATTATTACACATTGCATGCCTGTATCAAACATCTATATATCCCACAAATATATAAACCTACTATGTGCTCACAAAAATTAAAATTAAAAAATAAAAATAAGCCAGGCACGGTGGCTCATGCCTATAATCCCAGCACTTTGGGAGGCTGAGGCAGGCGGATCACAAGATCAGGAGTTCAAGACCAGCCTGCCCAATATTGATGAAACCCCGTCTCTACTAAAAATACAAAAAAAAATTAGCCAGGCTTGGTGGCACATGCCTGTAATCTCAGCTACTCAGGAGGCTGAGGCAGGACAATTGCTTGAACCCAGGAGGCGGAGGTTACAGTGAGCCAAGATTGTGCCACTGCACACCAGCCTGGGTAACAGAACAAGACTGTCTCAAAAGATGAAAAAGAAAAGAAAAATAAAAACAGTGCTAGAATTAACATCTTTATGCACAAAGCTTTTTCATTTTTCAGATTGTTTACTTAGGTTAGAATTTTCCTATTTATTAATAATACCATCTGCTGGCTATACCATGTCTACCCATGTTAAATATGAACCCTACAGAGATCCACAGGCTGATTGTGACCCTTGCACTGTCTTGAGTTGGAAGTAGAATTGGGATTAATTCTTAACAATTCAAATTGAAGGCACTAAATGCACGTGTATTCTGATGACACTTTTCTTTCTTTCTCAATTAAGCTTCCACTGTGATTCCAAAGACTCGGACACCTAGTGGCTCTGATGGCACTGCTCTGTGGGGACCCACATGAAAATGTGGCCAAGGAGGCTGGAGAGGGCATTCACTACCTGCCGGATATTACCCTGTGGCTGAAGTGTAAGGCACTGCTGAAGGCCGCAAGGTCCTGAGTGAATTCTCCAGCACAACATAAGCACCAGCCCTCCTTACTCACTCAGTCCCCATGTTCTAGAAAGCCTTTTTACAGTAGTTCAAAAAGAGAAAGATACATGGTCTATAGGCAGAGATCAAGCAACATTGACTAAGTAATTAGAATCCTAACACTGGATCAGACCTATCATTGTCATCCATCTGCATAGTCAGGGAGTGGCTAAACATGTGGCCCTGTGGACAAACTAGAGTGTTTAGTTTGGTCAGAAGTAGGAGTAAGGCTGGATGCAGTGGCTTACTCCTGTATTCCTAGCATTTTGCCAGGCCAAGGCAGGAGAACCGCTTGGGCCCAGGAGTTCAAGACTATACTGGGCAACATGACAAAACCCCTTCTCCACAAAAAATTTTAAAAATTAACTGGCATGGTGAACTATACCTATAATCCCAGCTGCTCAGGCGGCTAAGGGAGAATCACTTGAGTCCAGGATGTCAAGGCTGCAGGAAAATTAATTTCTTTATGGAGAGAAATTACAGGGGCCATGAGTAAGAATCAAATCTAGTTGCAGGATTCAGAAAATGTAATCTGGAGAATAAGGAGCAATTTGCCAGCTAGAGAGGTAAGAAAAGTGTATTAGACAGAAGGAATGGCTAAGGAGAGGATCCTTGGTAGGCATGAGCTTAAGGAGTTTGAAAAATAGAGGGCCGGTGTGGTCAAGGAATGAATCATTGACTTCTGTGGTTAGAAAGGACTTGAGAGGATATCTAACCCAGCATCCCTGCAGTGTTTGAAGCTCAATCTACTCTATCCCTACCAAGTATACTCATGCACATGTAATGACATTTCAGCCAATAGCTAATCATGTATATGACAAGGGTCACATAGATTAGAATAGAGCTGGCTGGGCACGGTGGCTAACGCCTGTAATCCCAGCACTTTGGGAGGCTGAGGCGGGTGGATCACGAGGTCAAGAGATCGAGACCATCCTGGTCAACATGGTGAAACCCTGTCTCTACTAAAAATACAAAAAATTAGCTGGGCATGGTGGTGCGTGCCTGTAATCCCAGCTACTCAGGAGGCTGAGGCAGGAGAATTGCCTGAACCCAGGAGGCAGAGGTTGCGGCAAGCTGAGATCGTGCCATTGCACTCCAGCCTGGGTAACAAGAGCGAAATTCTGTCTCAAAAATAAATAAATAAATAAATAAAGTTCTCCTAAAAAAAAAAAAGATTAGAATAGAGCTGAAATTTTTCTTGTTCTTTTCCTTTTTTTTTTTTTTTTGATATAGTCTCACTCTGTTGCCCAGACTGGAGGGCAGTGGTATGATCACAGCTTACTGCAAACTCCACCTCCCAGATTCAAGTGGTTCTCATGCCTCAGCCTCCCAAGTAGCTGGGATTACAGGTGGCCACCACCACACCTGGCTAATTTTTGTATTTTTAGTAGAGATGGAGTTTTATATCTCTACTAAATGTTACTTAATGTGGCCAGGCTGGTCTTAAACTCCTGACCTCAAGTGATCTGCCTGCCTTGGCATCCCAGAATGCTGGGATTACAGGTGCGAACCACCACACCCAGACTTATTATTTTTTTTTTTAAGAAATGAAGTTTCCACCAGGCACAGTAGCTCATGCCTGTAATCCCAGCACTTTGGGTGGCCAAGAGGAGAATTGCCTGGACCCGGGAGGCGGAGGTTGCGGTGAGCCGAGATCGCGCCATTGCACTGCAGCCTGGGTAACAAGAGCGAAACTCCATCTCAAAAAAAAAAAAAAAAAGTAGTGTAGCACCAGCTGCGCGAGGTGGCTCACACCTGCAATCCCAGCACTTTGGGAGGCCGAGGCAGGCTGATCACGAGGTCAGGAAATTGAGACTATCCTCACCAACATGGTGAAACCCCATCTCTCCTAAAGTACAAAAAATTAGCCAGGCACCGTGGCATGCGCCTGTAGTCCCGGCTACACGGGAGGGGGAATCACTTGGACCCAGGAGGCGGAGTCTGCAGTGAGCCGAAATCGTGCCACTGCACTCCGGCCTGGTGACCGAGCGAGACACCATATTAAAAAAAAAAAAAGTATGCTCTATGTGATGTTTGTGCAGGGACCCAATAGCCTAATGGGGCATTTCTCAAAACATATACCCATTGCTAAGCTATGCATAACTGTAGTAGCTCTGCCTGGGTCTGCGCTTTACATGGATGCAGAAGCTCCATGCTTCTCAAAGCAGCTGTCCTGTCTTTGGGCACCTCTGAATATGAGCAATGTCTACCAGATATACAGCCAGAGAAATAGTCTATTATTGATTCGGCTAATATTTATGAAGCATTTATTGTTCTCGTGATGCATCAGTAGACAAAACAGATAAGGTACCTTCCCCCAGGGAGCTTATTTTCTTGTTGGAGAGAGAGTATCCTCCGCCAAGGGCTCAAAGATAAATTTTCCATCTACAAATTTCCAGCAAACATGAGATCATGATAAAACATGAGAAAAACAAGATACTACAAGTAGCGTTGGCATCCTCAATGATCAGCAGAACTAGCCATGTGATGAAGAGTTCTGATATCAGAATTATCATACACAGTATAAAGTTGGGCATTTTTTTCTGGAAACCTAAGCTTTATAGGGAGACTCCTCAAAATTCCTCACTAGCAGGGAAATGAGGTAGCACGCTTTGGTTATATTCACAAATCACTCAAATGCTCTGCTCTTACAAAGAGCTCTTTGCTTTTTTTTTCTTTTTTTTTAAGACAGGGTCTGTCACCAAGGCTGGAGTGAACTGGCATGATCTCAGTTCACTGCAATCTCTGCCTCCTGGGTTAAAGTGATTCTCCCACCTCAGCCTCCTGAGTAGCTGGGACTACAGGAGAGCACCACCACGCCCGGCTAATTTTTTAAATTTTTGGTAGAGACAGTTTCACCATGTTGGCCAGGGTTGTCTCAATCCCCTGAATTCAAGTGATCCGCCTGCCTCAACCTCCTCTTTGCTTTTTCTTTTGGCTCTTTTTATATATTGTTCCACAAGAAAAGAAAAATAAATCAGCCTTCAGATGAACACACACTCCCTCCTTTAGGCATTTTTTGTTCAAATGATAAAGAAGAGTGCGATCTTGGGATCCACTTTAAACTGGAGATCAACCAGGCCTGTAAAATCAAGAAGAAAAAAGAAGCCAGAAAGTATTAATATTTTATATTTTCTTCCCAGATACCACTCGTGACAAGAAAAATCAGCAAAACTTGAAAAGAGCATTGACAAAATTTCGAGAATTCCTGGAGCTCTCCAGCTCTGCTGTTAAATGCTTCTGCAGCTGTCCCTTCAGAATTGCCCAGGTAATCAGAATGGCTAAAATTATAACCACAGCCGGAAGTGTTGGCGAGGGTGGGGAACAACCAGAAGTCTCCTGCATTTATTCATAGAAATGTAAAATAGTAAAAACCACTTTGGAAAAAGTTCTGGTCATTTCTTATTAAATAAAACTGGCTAGGCATGGTGGCTCACACCTGTAATCCCAGCACTTTGAGAGGCTGAAGTGGGCGGATCACGAGGTCAGGAGATCAAGACCATCCTGGCCAAGATGGTGAAACCCCATTTCTACTAAAATATAAAAAATTAGCTGGGCATAGTGGCATATGCCTGTAGTCTCAGCTACTCGGGGGGATGAGGCAGAGGAATCTCTTGAACCTGGGAGGCGGAGGTTGCAGTGAGCCGAGATCACACCATTGCACTCCAGCTGGGTGACAGAGCAAGACTTCAACTCAAGAAATAATAAATAAAACAAAACCATACACAATTGTCCAGGGAATGTGGCCCAAAACATTCCATAGTTTGGAGACAAGGCACTATGTCCCTGGCTCCTATACACTTTGCCCTGTTAGTTTGGGGATAAGGTCAACCTGCCCTTGAGGCCAGTATCCCTGGATTTCACTTCATACCAGCTCTGCTCCTACTATTAATAATTGCCAGCCTCTTGCAAAGATATACGCTGGTCACAAAAAGGAGCTGCCAGAGAGTATGGTTGATCCACCAAGCCAGACTTTTTTAAATTAATCTAGTTATTCATTATTCAATAAACACTTATACAACCGCTAGGTACTAGGCATGCTAGCGGGTAGGGGAAAATAAGGAAAACCTACAGCTCTTACTCATGTAAGGTCAAAGGTATCAAGTAATTTCATCTCTCTGTACATCAATTTTCTCATCTGTACAATGGAGATCTGTAAAAATTGGGACAGTTTTTATAATTTACACTGTTTACAATTCAGTTGTGGTTAAATGAGGCTGGGCGTGGTGGTTCACGCCTGTAATCCCAGCACTTTAGGAGGCCATGGCGGGCAGATCACTTGAGGTCGGGAGTTCGAGACCAGCCTGACCAGCATGGAGAAACCCTGTCTCTACTAAAAATACAAAATTAGCTGGGTGTGGTGGCACATGCCTGTAATCCCACCTACTCAGGAAGCTGAGGCAGAATAATTGCCTGAACCCAGAAGGCAGAGGTTGCGGTGAGCTGAGGTCACACCATGGCATTCCAGCCTGGGCAAAAAGAGCGAAACTCCACCTCAAAAATAAATAAATAAATGAAAATTAATTAATTAATGAGATAGTGTATGGAAAATGCTTTGCTAAATGCCTGTCACATAGTAAGTGCCCAGTAGATTGTACCTATTATAATCATATGAAGGACTTTATATACTGCCAAATGCAATGAGAAACAGAATGACATATTCTTTTAGTATGTTGTCTCCTGACAAGGCATTTTAGTTATGCCTGGGGACCTGTCAGCTGTGTAACATAATAGGGCTTTTTTTTTTAGTCCGACTCCTATAAAAGTGTGACTTTCTTTTTTTTTTTTTTTTTTTTTTGAGAAGGAGTTTAACTCTGTCACCTAGGCTGGAGTGCGGTGGCATGATACCGGCTTACTACAACCTCCACCTCCCAGGCTCAAGTGATTCTCCCCCACAGCCTCCCAAATAGCTGGGATTACAGGCATCTACTACCATGCCCAGCTAATTTTTGTATTTTTGTAGAGACAGGGTTTCACCATATTGCCCAGGCTAGTCTCGAATTCTGGGCTCAAGTGATCCTCCCACCTTAGGCTCCCCAAGTGTTGGGATGACAGGTGTGAGCCACTGCGCCTGGCCAATAAAGCTTCTTTCTAAACATCACAGCAGCAGATTGGGTGTGGTGGCTCACCCCTCTCATCCCAGCACTTTGGGAGGCTGAGGCGGGAGGATCACTTGAGCCCAGAATTCAAGACCAGCCTGGGCAACATAGCAAGACCTCAGCTCTACACATAAAAAAGTTAGCTGGATATGGTGGTGCACGTGTGTAGTCCCAGCTACCCAGGAGGCTGAAGTGGGAGGATTATTTGAACCTGGGAGGTCCACGCTACAGTGAGCTGTGATCGCACCACTGTACTCCAGCCTCAGTATCAGAGCAGTAAAAGGCCATGCACAGATGCTAGCAGTGGATATTTAGGTTGCTTCCACCTTTTCACCTTTGTAAACAAGACTGGGCTAGGTGCATGGCTCAAGCCTATAATTCCAACACTTAGGGAGGCTGGGGCAGGAGGATCGCTTGAGCCAGGAGTTTGTGGCCAGCCTGGGCAACATAGTGAGACCCCTGTCTCTACAAAAAAAAAAAATTAATTAGCGGAATGTGGTAGCATGTGCCTGTAGCCTCAGCTACTCAGAAAGCTGAGGCAGGAGGATCGCTTGAGCCCAAGAGGTTGAGGCAACAGTGAGCCATGATTGTACCCCTGCCTGGATGACAGAGTAAAATGCTATCTCCAAAAATAAAACAAAACCACAAGACTCAAAACAGCATTGTACATCTTTGTCCACTTCTCTGATTGTAAACTTAGAATCAAGTCCTTGTTCAGGGCACTTTCTATCATACCGTATTTCCATATTTCTTGGACGTTTATTTTCCTTATCTTTTCAGATTTTTGAAGGTTTTCTTGATTCCAATGAGCTCTTCCAGTTTGTAACAACTACATTTGCTACCCTGAGAAACCCGAAACATTCCTGCACCCAGCAATCAGCAGGAGAATTACTGCTAACTTTGGCAAAAAATGCAGAGTCCCGATTTGAGAAGGTAAACTTTCAGTGGCCATTTCCTTCCTGGGTTCAAAAAGCCAGTAAGACCTCTTTATTCCCGGAGCTACTGAGGTCTCTACTTGTCATATTGAGCTGAGAACAGCTACTGATAGGTATAGGGTCAAAGCCTTATTCTATTTAGTCACAAATATCCATTCTATAAACATATACCAAACAACCACTGTGTATGTAACTAGGGAGGGAGTTTTTTGTTTTTGTTTTTGTTTTTTTTTTTTGCAAATAGGCCTCAAAAATGGAGGTCTCCCACTTTATTGGTATCAGAATTGCTTGGCAAGTTTGTTAGAAGGGTAGATACCCAGAACCCCCCCACCTCCAAAGTCCTGAGCAGCTGGAGGTACAGTCATGTTGAAAGGGGAGGAGAATGGATGGATTCTACCTGAGGCAGAAAGATGAGAGGGAAAGGAACAAAGAAAAAGGGCTGAAAAAAAGGTCTATGAATACATGGGTAGAAATGAGCAAAAGCACAGAACCACCATGAAATAACAAACATGGCTCATGCAACTGGAACAGCAGCAGCCAGGCATATGACCTTGCTGAGAAAGCACGATGTTGGCATGAGGCTTCATAAATCCTGGTTCTCCCTGGAGTCTCTGCTTCTAGAACACCACGCTAGCTACACAAAATTCTCAAAAAAAAAAAAAAATTCCGGAATATCAGGCTGGGCAAATGGGTCAAGATATAAGAAAGAATGATTGCAAGGCAGGCCAGGTGTAGTCCAGCAACACCCTATGGATGCCGCACCTAAGGGGGTCTCAAGATCAGACAAACTGGTCCTGATACCCCCAAACTAAGTATGAGCTCCCTGGGCAGAATTCTTCCGAGTGCAGTGAATCCAGCCTGGAGAGAACGCCTTCAGCCTTCAACATGGTCAGTGTCGGCTCTGGCGCTTTGCAATCTCCTCCTGGAAAAGCAACTTGAGGGCTTCGCGGATGGGTGGATCCAGAGGCGTGTGTGCTGACACCTCCTCACTCACCCTTCCCGGGTCATCGTCCTGATATACGATAACTGATGTGACATCTCCACTGTCTGCCTCGTACTCTAAGCAGAAGAGCTGATGGCCAGAAGGCTCCAGCTCGGAGCCTCCACTACTGCTGCCTTCACTGGATTCTTCAAAGTCTGGGTTGCGTGGGTGGGCAGAGACATCTCGGTGTCACGGCAGGTACACCTGCAGATCTGGCTTGCGGGGCCACGTCAGCGCGGCCGTATGCTGCCTCCTCACCTTCTCCTTGGCCACCTGCTCCACCTCTTTGTTGTTGTCGTCCCGGGCGATCTGGTTCCGTAGGATATGGTGCACGAAGCCGTGGTTCATGTCCAGCCGCCCGCCAGGCTTGCAGCAGTGCCCAGGCCGGGGATGCGGCCCCGTCTCCATCCGGAAGCCGGGGCGCAGAGTCGCCACTGCCCCGACGGCCCCAACAACCGCCACCCGTCCACAGAGGTCTGCGTCGCCCCTCCGATTTTGTTTTTTATCTAAGATGTGGTCCGTATTTCCTAGAAGAGTAGAGTTTTTCTGGGGAGACATAACTAACATACATATGAGAATGACTTTAATTTAGAGACTCATCCAGATAGATTAAAGGTACCAAGATTTAAAAAGCTGTAAGTGGCTGGGCATGGTGGCTCATGCCTGTAATCCCAGCATTTTGGGAGGCCGAGGCAGGCAGAGGCTTGAGCTCAAGAGTTCAAGACCAGCCTCAGCAACAGCGTGAAACCCTGTCTCTACTAAAACTGTAAAAATGCAATCCCAGCTACTTGGGTGGCCGAGGCAGGAGAATTGCATGAACCTAGGAGGCAGAGGCTGCAGTGAGCTGAGATTGTGCCAGTGCCCTCCAGCTTGGGCAACAACGTGAGACCCTGCCTCAAAATAAATAAATAAATAAATAAATGTAAATAAAAAGCCGTGAGTGACCCTAGAAGGAAGCAGACTTAGAAATCTTAAAATTAAGAGAATTTATCTAAATGTATTTAAAATTAACACAACAAGAAATACCTATACTATTATGTAATTTACAAATAAAGAAGGCCATGCCAGCAGAGATAAAAGGGATGAAAGTAGTTGTCTCTGGAAAGCAGACCTGGCGGAGAGGAAGGAGAGCACCTTGAAATACCACTGGGCTTTTTAAATTGTGTGCATGTTGTTCTTGGGTACAAATCAAAAGTAATTTAAGAATGATAAGAACCAGCCGGGTATGGTGGCTCACACTTACAATCCCAGCACTTTGGGAGGTTGAGGCAGGTGTATTGCTTGAGCCCAGGAGTTCAAGACCAGCCTGCGCAACATAGTGAGATCCCATCTCTACAAAAAAATTTTTAGAAATTAGCCAGGCGTGGCTGCACACACCTGTATTTCCAGCTACTTGGGAAGCTGAAACAGGAGGATTGAGTCCGGTGAGCCATGATTATGCATTTACATTCCAGCCTGGGCAACAGAGGGAGCCCTTGTCTCAAAAACAGCAACAAATAAAACAAGTTATAAAACAACAACAAAAAAAAAGATGATCACCCTTTATTTTAGCCTGTTAAAATAACAAAGATGCAAAAAGAATGACAGGATAAGAGCATGGTGAGCTGGGCACTTGTATCAGTTGGGTGCCTTTAGCAGCAAAAAAAACCCAGTAGGTATAAGCTTAAATAAAGGATTTATCCTCTCACATAACAAGTCTGGACATAGAGTATTTTCCAGGATTGATTCAGTGATTCAACTGTGTTATCAAAGACCCAGGGGTTTCTTCATCTTTCTGCCTTGTCTGTTCATGTGGTCATAGGGCAGTCAGAGCAATTTTGGACATTCTGAGAAGAATAGACTATGTCCAGAAAGAAGAAAGATGTTGCCTTCCTTTTTATGTCTTTATTCAGGGAAGAAAATCTTTCCCAAAAAAACCCCAATAAATGTACCCTTGTGTTTGTTAGCCAAATTTTTTTTTTTTTTTTTTTTTTTTTTTTTTTTTAGACAGCGTTTTGCTCTGTTGCTCAGGCTAGAGTGCAATGGCACAATTTTGGCTCACTGTAACCTCTGCCTCCCAGGTTCCTGTGATTCTTTCACCTCAGACTCCCAAATAGCTGGGATTACAGGCACCCACCAAATGCTCAGCTAATTTTTTGTATTTTTAGCAGATACAGGGTTTCACCATGTTTGCAAGGCTGGTCTCAAACTCCTGACCTCAAGTGATCCACCCGCCTCAGCCTCCCAAAGTGCTGGGATTACTGGTGTGTGAGCCACTGTGCCTAGCCTACCGGTGCTGATAACGGCCATTTTATATTAAGTGGTTGAGGTGTGCTTCTCTGAGAAGTTGACATTTCCACAGAGACAGGAACCCACGCGTCTGTGGGTGAGAGGAGTAGTCCAAGCAGAGAACTGGATCAAAGCCCAGTGGCTCCTATTTCCCTTACCTGAGCCTGATGGACATCTCTGGGAAGAAGAGAGGTAAGGAGTCCACTGCCATTCTCAGAGTCACCGTGGGAAAAAGCCCAGCTTCCTTGCAACGCTTTTATTAGTTTGTCTTGTTATAAAATCAATACATCATTATTAAGGAAAAATTAGAAAAAATATAGACACAAAAAAATCTAATATTCTATCACTCAAAAACACATTATTGACAGTTTTGATTATAAATCTTTCCAAATTCCTTATATACACACATACAGATATATTTTAAGTAGTTTTCATCAGAAACTAAAAAATAATGAACAGGGCTGGGCACGGTGGCTCACGCCTGTAATCCCAGCACTTTGGGAGGCCGAGACGGGTGGATCACAAGGTCAAGAGATCGAGACCATCCTGGTCAACATGGTGAAACCCTGTCTCTACTAAAAATACAAAAACTTAGCTGGGCATGGTGGTGCGTGCCTGTAATCCCAGCTACTCAGGAGGCTGAGGCAGGAGAATTGCCTGAATCCAGGAGGCGGAGGTTGCGGTCAGCCGAGATCATGCCATTGCACTCCAGCCTGGGTAACAAGAGCGAAACTCCGTTTGGAAAAAAAAAAAAGAAAGAAAAAATAATGAACAGTTAATTTAAAAGTCACCCCCTAGGGGTCGGGTGCAGTGACTCATACCTGTAATTCCAGCACTTTGGGAGACCAAGGTAGGAGTATCACTTGAGCCCAGGAGTTCAAGACCAGCCTGGGCAACATAGAGGGACCTTGTCTCTACAAAAAATTATCTGGGTGTGGTGGTGTGCGCCGGGAGTCCCAGCTACTCGGGAGGCTGAGGTGGGAGGATCACTTAAGACCAGGGGTTCAAGGCTGCAGTGAGCTGTTTGTGCCACTGCATTCCAGGCTAGACAAAAGAGCAAGACCCTGTCTTTAAAAAAAGTCACCCTCACCCAGGACCTTTCAGAAATGGCCACAATATCCTCAATAACCATCAGTGTCCTATAGGATTACAGTCTTAGTAATTTCTTTTTCCTTGTCAGGTACCAGAAATCATGAGAGTTATCTGTGCCTATCTATCCATAATCAGCCAGCCTAGAGTCCGCCAACAAATCATAAGTACCGTGACTTTATTTATATCCAGGCCCAAGTACAAAGATGTAGTGCTCAGCTTCCTTCTATGTCATCCAGTGCCATATGACAGATAACAGAACCCTGTACAGCCTCTGGATTAAATTGGAGTATGTGACATAGCTCTGGGTATTGCAAAACCTGGTTGTCTTGAAAAATCTAATGATCCTCTTGTAAAGAAGACACGATATAGATAAAGCTGGTGATATAATTCAGAACATAATGTATAATCCTCAGGAAAGAATCCCACAGATTCCAAATGAAGAACATCTGTAAGATAATTGAACTGGACTCTTCAAAAATGTTAACATCATGGAAGTAAAACTAGTGGTGGGGGAACTGTCCTGGGTAAAAAGGTACTCAAAAACATACCCAAGTGCATTGTGTGACCTTGACTGGATCCTGGTTCAAAAACAAAAGCTATAAAAGAAATCTTGGAGAAAATTTAAATACGGAATACTATACTAGAATATTACTATAATTTTCTGGCCAGGCACAGTGGCTGACATCTGTAATGCCAGCTCTTTGGCCAAGGTGAGCGGATCACTTAAGGCCAGGAGTTCAAGATCAGCCTGGCCAACAGGGTGAAACCTCATCCCTACTAAAAATACAAAATTTAGCTGGGCATGGTGGCAGGTGCCTCTAATCCCAGCTACTTGGGAGGCTGAGGCAGGAGAATTGCTTGAACCCAGGAGAAGGAGGAAGTTGCAGTGAGCCAAGATCACACCACTGCACTCCAACCTGGGCGACAGTGAGACTGTCTCAGACAAACTAACAAAAGTTAGTGTAATTTTCTTAGGTGTGAAATACTATGGTTATGCAGAAGGATGTCTTTATTCTTAGTAGATAAAATACTCAAGTTATTTAGGGGTAAAGTGTCATAATGTCTGCAACTCACTTGAGAATGGTTTTGCCTAAAAATAAGGAAATAAATATATACATTGAAAAAGTAGGGCCGGGTGTGGTGGCTCACGCCTATAATCCCAGCACTTTGGGAGGCCGAGGCAGGTTTATCACAAGGTCAGGAGTTCAAAACCAGCCTGACCAACATGGCGAAACCCTGTCTCTACTAAAAATACAAATATTAGCCAGGCATGGTGATGTGTGCCTGTAATCACAGCTACTCAGGAGGCTGAGGCAGGAAAATCACTTGAACCCAGGAGACGGAGATAGTAGTGAGCCAAGATCACGTTGCTGCACTCCAACGTGGGTGACAGAGAGAGACTCCATCTTGAAAAAGTAAATATGTATACATAAAAAAGTATGGAATCAGAGAGAGGATCAAACAGGATGGGTTTTTCTGCGTATTTTTGTGGGCACATAGTAGGTGTAAAGAAGTCTTTTCGAATAGTGCTTTTCACATTTGGAGGCACCTGGAAAATTCCAGAAAGATGCCTATGGAGGAGGCAGGAGGGCTTCAGAATAAAGTCCCGTGCCCCCACCCACTTTAACCAGAGCAGCGCCTCTCTTAATCTGCTTTTTCTGTTGTGATTCTGGGCAACTATTTTATTTAAGAAGAGATTTCCCTGCTTTAAACTATTTCAAAACTATTAAGTGAATGGCTCTCACGTAATATCTTGGTGTAGTGTTTATTATGTCCTCTATACTGAACTAAATCAACTAATAGAAGACTTTTACCCATTCAGAGAAAAAAAATACAGATTTTTTTTCAAAGCTGGGTGTGGTGGCACACACCTGTAATCCCAGCTACTTAAGAGGTTGAGGCAGGAGAATCGCTTGAGCCCAGGAGTTTCGGGCCATGGTACATGATGGCTGTACTTGCGAATAGCCACTGCACTCCAGCCTGGAGTAACAGTCTTACTTTTTTTTTTTTTTTTTTTCTGAAGAGACAGCAATTCAAGCATAGCTCACTGCAGCCTTGAACTCCTGGGCTCAAGCGATCCTCTCGCCTCAGCCACTTGAGTAGCTGGGACTACAGGTGTGGACCACCATACTCAAGCTTTTTTAATTTTTAAAATATTTTTTAGCTTACTTTTGTATATTCCTCTAACAAATTGTTCTTAAATGTTTGGTACTTGCTATAGCTTATCTGTACTTGACTCTTAAATAAAAATAAATATTTTGTAGGCCAAGGTGGGCCAATCGCCTGAGGTCAGGAGTTCCAGACCAGCCTGGCCAACATGGTGAAACCCCATCTCTACTAAAAAAAAAAAATACAAAAATCAGCCAGGCATGGTGGCGCGTGCCTGTAATCCCAGCTACTTGGGAGGCTGAGGCAGGAGAATCACTTGAACCCAGGAAGCGGAGGTTGCAGTGAGCCAAGATTGCACTACTGCAATCCAGTCTGGGAGACAGAACAAGACCCTGTCAATAAATAAATAAACAAATCTAAGTACAAAATGTTAAATATATTTAGTTTTGTTTTTTGTGAGAGTGAAACAGGGATTTTCTTTGTCACACAGGCTGCAGTGCAGTGACATAGAGTTCACTGCAGCCTAGACCTTCCAGGCTCAAGAAATCCTCCCACCTCAGCCACCAGAGTAACTGGGACTACAGGCGCACACCACCAGACCCAGCTAAATTTTTTATTTTTTTGTGGTTTCTCAGTGTTACCCAGGCTGGTCTCAAACTTCTGGGTTCCAGCGATCCACCTGCCTCAGCCTCCCAGAGTGATAGGATGACAGACATGAGCCACCGTGTTCTGCCCTATTTAATTAAGTATACTTTCAGCATTATTCTGTTGTGTGTATTTGTTCTACCTCTGGGAGGCCTTTCAAAACTGCTGTAGATCAAATGCAAACTACGGAATCTTTTAGAAATGTAACCGACTTAGGAAATGTTATTCTGATTATGTTTTTGTCATTTACTTGAAGTTCATTGTGTCACAGGACAGTGACGGCTGGACCGGTGGTGCTGGGGTGAAAGAATTTACCAAGACAGTTGTGAGTAGAGGAAGGCAGATTTATTAGAGAAAGTAGGAAAATAACGGTCCCAGAGAGACAGTGGGGAACCTACAGGAGAGAAGTCGACTCTGGGGAGACAGAGGCTTGCTGGAGATTTGATAGGATCATGTCCATGCTGTATGTTGAAGAGGGCTTTGTGCAGTACTGATAATGTCAAGTTGCAATGAGCTAACTTGCAGGCATCTGGTGATAGCTGGGCACAGGAGGATGGTGAGTTAATTGCGCAGGAGGGCTGTGTCCTGGATCATGAAGAGAGGCGGGCTTATAGCTTATCTGCTTTTTCTTTTTGCATTTCCCTGCTCCTGCCAGCCTGGCTTCCTTTCCCTAATTAGGACTCCACACGTTAGTTGGTTTACATGTAGATTGGGGTGATTGTTCTTAGGAAGCTGTTTGATGCATCAAGTGGCCTCATGTAATGTCTCAACGTCTGTAATCCCAGCACTTTGGGAGGCTGAGGTGGGTGGATTATGAGGTCAGGAGTTAAAGACCAGCCTGGCCAAGATGGTGAAACCCCGTCTCTACTAAAAATCCAAAAATTAACAGGGTGTGATGGCAGGCACCTGTAATCCCAGCTACTCGGGAGGCTGAAGCAGAGAATTGCTTGAACCCAGGAAGTGGAGGTTGCAGTGAGCTGAAACCGTGACACTGCACTCCAGCCTGGAGTGAGACTCCATCAAAAAAAAAAAAAAAAAAAAAAGCATCAACTATGTGTGAGGTGCTATTAGGCCCTATAAGTAATGGACAAGACATGCATCCCACCCTTAAGCAGCACAGTCTGGTAGCCACATAGATGAATAACTATTCAAAACCTAAGTAGGGAGTTCTGTGGAAGCCCCTAGGTCTGGACTTGATTAGATGAAGGGTCAGGAAATGACTTCTGAAAGCAGAGCTGCCCCCAAGCTGATGAATGCTAACAGCCAGATGGTAGGTCAAAGTTGCAGGAGAGAAAAACGGATAGTAAGAAGCGCTCAGACACCAGGGATCTTTTTGCTGTGATAGAAATGTTCTAACAATGGATTGCGGTCATGGCTGCACAACCTTGTAAATTTACTAAAAGTCGTGTATGCTTAAGACAGGTAATCTTTATGGTGGTATATTATAACTCACTAAAGCTCCTTTTTAAAAATGGTCAGAAATTAGCAGCGATTGATTGGGACCAACTTATAATTGGGATAGCAGACTTTATACTACAGGAGTTGGGAAGCCACTGACGAACTTTAGTTAAGGAACTTACATCATCAGTTGTGCATTTTTAGTGTGACTCTGACAGAGATGTATTAGAGGCTGTTCTGCCAGACAGCAGGAAGGACAGGCAGTTAAGCAGGTGCACCTTTTTAGGAAAAAGATGATGATGCCCTGATTAGGGCAATGACTCCAGAGATGGAAAGGAGGAAGGAGTAAAGAAACAGGAGCAGCCAGGCACGGTGGCTCACACCTGTGATCCTACCACTTTGGGAGGTCAAGGCCAGTGGATCACCTGAGGAAGGAGTTCCAGACCAGCCTGGCCAACATGGCAAAACTCCGTCTCTACTAAAAATACAAAATTAGCTGGGCCTGGTGGCGAGAGCCTGTAATTCCAGCTACTCTGGAGGCTGAGGCAGGAGAATCACTTGGATCTGGGAGGCAGAGGTTGCAGGGAGCCAAGACTGGACCACTTCACTCCAGCCTGGGCAACAGAGGGAAACTCCATCTAAAGAAAAAAAAAAAGGAAAGAAAAAAGAAATAGGAGCATCTGTAGGCAGGCCTTGATTGAATCAGAGAGGAATGGCAGGGAAGAAGGCATTCAGGCTAATTCCCCACTCGTCAGTTTTTGGCTTTGGAGGCCAAGTTAATGGTGATATCATTTACTGACACAGGAATTACACTACATTTTCACCACTGACTATTTCTCTGTGGGATATGAAATACTTTGAGAAACTCAATTCACTAATGCAGGACCAAATCAAAGAAGTCATAGAGTGTGTATGTGACATGTGTCCCTCATACTACCCTGGTGCAGTACTCTGTCCCAGTAGGCCACCAGAAGAGACAAGTGGCTGTTTCTCTTTCTATTCCATAAGGATGCTACAGCAGGATTTTTTTTTTTTTTTTTTTTTTTTTTTTTTTTTTTTTGAGATGGAGTCTCAGACTGTCGCCTGGGCTGAAGTGCAATGGTGAAATCTTGGCTCACTGCAACCTCCGCCTCCCAGGATCAAGCTGGTTCACGTGATTCTCCTGCCTCAACCTTCTGAGTAGCTGGGATTACAGGTGCACACCACCACACCCAGCTAATTTTTTGTATTTTTAGTAGAGACGGGATTGCACTATGATGACCAGACTGGTTTCGAACTCCTGACCTCGTGATCTGCCAACCTCGGGCTCCAAAAGTCCTGGGATTACAGGCATGAGCCACTGCACCCAGCCTAGGATATTTGCTCTTAAATATGTAGGCTTCTTCAGTCTCCTAGCGCAGTCTTTGTTAAAGTGCCTGAAACACTGCCTCAGAATCCCCTATGAAGCTTGTTAAAAATGCATCTTCTGGCCAGGCGTGGTGGCGCTCATGCCTGTAATTCTAGCACTTTAGGAGGTTGAGACGGGTGTGTAGCTTGAGCCCAGGAGTTCAAGACCAGCCTGGGCAACATGGTGAAACCCTGTCTATACAGAAAATGCAAAATTAGCCGGTTGGGGTGGCACATGCCTCTAGTTCCAAATAGGAGGACAAGATGGGAGAATCATCTGAGTCTAGGAAATTGAGACTGCAGTGAGCTGTGATTGTGCCACTCTATTCCAGCCTGGGTGTCAGAGTAAAACCCTGTCTAAAAAAAACACAAACAAAGAAACAAAAACCATCTTCCAGTACCCTACATCAGACCTACTATTTTTGGTCAGGTCTCTTGTTTGGAAGTAGCAGAAACTGAGCTGCTCACACTACCTTAAGGAATTGTATAGGCTTATATTACAGGAAAGTCCAAGGGTCTGTCTTCAGGATTGAATCCGGAGGCTTCGTTTATTTCATCAGGGCTCCATCTCTCAGATGGATTTGCACGAAAGGTGGCAAAAATGGCTACCATCAGCTCAAAACTGCAGTGGAAAGGCTGTGTCATTTCCCCTTTAGCTCTGAGAAATGTCCTGGGCCAGGACTGATTAGCCTAGCTTGGAGTCAACTCCTACCAAACTACACCAACCAAATATGATTATGAAGGATCTTGTAAAGGCCGTTTCCCAACAGGATAATGGGCAAACAAAACCCATGTCACGACTACAGAATCAGAATCACTGGAAGTGGGAAGATTTTTTCCAGTTTTTAAACTCTCTGGATGTTTCTCACACTGGAATTTGTGAACCGTTGGCTTAAAGGCTGTGTGCTTTCTAAATTCAGATATGCTTTCAGCACACTTAAAATGTGCACCAAACCAAAAGCATTTCGCAACACGTCTGTCACAATAAACAGCTTCTTAAAGTACTTCATTTATTCCCTCAGGAATTCAGAGAAAATAACCAAGGGTAAGTAAACATGGGAATTTCTTTATGTCATCCCAGATGAATGTTCCTCTTCTGCCATCTCATCATTCAGCAGCTGTGAGCTTTTTCAACAGCCTACATTGCCTTTCTGGCCTTTTCTTTAGGAGTCCTTTAGGACCTTCTTTGTTTTATTCACAAATTAGAATCACTAGGCTGAGGAGTGAAATGTTGGTATAGTTTTTAAGCCTCTCAAGTTTTAGGATGATTCTCACAGTTGGAAGACCACGCTTTTTTTTTTTTCTTCTTCTTTTTTTTTTTTTTTTCTTTTTTTTCTGAGACAGAGTCTTACTCTGCCTCCTAGGCTGGAGTGTGATTTTAGCTCACCTCAGTCTCTGCCTCCTGGGATCAAACAATCCTCCCACCTCAGTCTCCTAAGTAGCTAGGACTACAGGCACACACCACCACACCTGGCTAATTTTGCATTTTTTGTAGAGACAGGGTTTCACCATGTTTCCCAGGCTGGTCTTAAACTCCTGGGCTCAAGTGATCCTCCTGTCTCAGCCTCCCAAATAGGTGACTAATCTGGATGGATTGAACACACAATGTGGATGGGGAAGTGGTGGGGCTAAAAAGTTAAGTTGGGACCGGGTTATGAATGGCCTTGAAGTCCATGCTGAGGCAATCGCAATTTGATTCGAAAAACCTGGGGAGTTTGGATGGTGGGGGATAAAGGGAGGGAGAGCATTAGGACAAATACCTAACACATGTGGGCTTAAAACCTGGATGACGAGTTGATAGGTGCAGCAAACCACCATGGCACACGCATACCTATGTAACAAAGCTGCACATTATGCATATGTATCCCGGAACTTAAAGAAATTTTTTAAAAATTAGCCAGGTGCAGTGACTCACACTTGTAATCCCTACAAGGAGGCCGAGGTGGGCAATTCACTTGAGGTCAGGAGTTCGAGACCAGCCTGACCAACATGGCGAAACTCTGGCTCTACTAAAAATATAAAAATTAGCCGGGCATACCGAGACCAGCTCTGCCGTAGAGATTCCCCACCCAGGCGGCCATGAAGGAATTAAGGAGCAGACACAAAGATAGAGTGCAAAGTGGGACTACCAAGGAGCTCACAGCCTTCCAGCTGAGAGCCTTGAGCAGACGCTAACCCATGTAGTTATTCTCTCTAAACAGGTGATTATTATTAACAAACAGATGTTCTGTGTTTTCCCACAGAACCAAGATAAACTAGTCAGGCAGCTGGTGCCTGCTTACCACTGATCAAGGACAAACTAGAAAGCATTCTCCATGAGGGGGCCACAGGGGCAGGGTCACATATCCCATGCTTAAAGAATTGTTTTAACCGATGTATGATATACATATAAATTGTTTTACTACTTTAGAATGCCCCAAGCAGTTTTGGGCCAGCTGGGTTTTCCTTGCCATCGTTCTCAGCAAACTATACCATTTATCATACACGTTAGGACTTGCCCCACATGGACGTGGTGGTGGGCACCTATAATCCCAGCTACTCAGGAGGCTGAAGCAAGAGAATTGATTGAATCCAGGAGACGGAGGTTGCAGTGAGCCGAGATCTTCCCACTGACTTCAGCCTGGGTGACAAAGCAAGCCTCCATGTTCAAAAAAATAATAATGATAAAAATTTTAAAACAAGAAAATTTAGAGCCATAGGAATCCTACTCTGCCTGTTTTCGAATAAACTGGTACAACCACTTTTTTTTTTTTTTTTTTGAGATAGGTTTCACAAAAAGAAAAAAAAAACCTGGGGAGTTACTGTTATGAAATCAAAATCAGTCTTTTGACACCCTGAAGAACTGAGTAGACAGGAGAACCTCTTCTAGATTGCATTGGAATCAGCCATTCTCCTGAACCCTCTTGTTCTTTGGGATTTCCAGGCACCTGACTGAGGTGTGGAGAACGCTGGTGGTGGAGCTGCCCAGCATGACCTGGATTCTGTGGAGGCTCCTGAGGAAGCTGCAGAAATGCCATAATGAGCCTGCACCGGAGAAGATGGCACATGTGGCTGTGGCTGTAAGCCCTTGAGCTCTGCCCCTCTAATGTAACCCCTCCCAGGATGACTGACCCCACAGCCCAGTGGAGAGTGTTCTTTTTGGTCCCTCGCAAAGCCTGCATCTGTCACCCATTGATTAATTGATTGATTGATTGACTGAGATGTTGTTTCACTCTTGTTGCCCAGGCTGGAGTGCAATGGACGCCATCTCTGCTCACCGCAACCTCTGCCTCCCAGGTTGAAGCAGTTCTCCTGCCTCAGCCTCCCAAGTAGGTGGGACTACAGGCGTGTGCCACCACACCAGGCTAATTTTGTATTGTTAGTAGAGATGGGGTTTCTCCATGTTGGTCAGGTCCCGACCTTAGGTGATGGGCCCGTCTCAGCCTTCCAAAGTGCTGGGATTACAGGCATGAGCCACCGTGCCCTGCCCTTCATCCATTTATAAGTCTACAGTGTTTCTACCAAGGGATTGACATGGAGGGAGCTGGGAGAGGGAAGGAGTCAGAATGTTTCATATAAACTTGTCCAACCTGCCTTCTGTTGTTGTTGTTCTGTTCTGTTAAGGTTTAGGCTTTCAGCAGCCTGAAGCCATGGTGTTTAGTTTCTGTCTCTAATGATAAGCGGAAAAGGCGGATAAGGAAGGGGCTTTATTGACCCAACCAGAAGCAGAAACTAAAAACCCATGATTGTCATCTCTCCCTTGGAAATATCCCTAGTTTAATGTGTTTAAAACATTCCTTCCCTCATCCTTTAAAAGCTATGTATCATCATAAAGAGAAATACAAACTCATGAGAAAAAAAGAAAAACTTCAAATGATGTAGAACTGTATAAAATAGAAAGTGCAGGCCGGGTGCAGTGATTCACACCAGTAATTCCAGCACTTCGGGAGGCCAAGGCGGGTGGATCACCTGAGGTTAGGAGTTCAAGACCAGCCTGGCCAACATGGTAAAACCCATCTCTACTAAAAGTACAAAATTAGCCAGGTGTGGTGGTGCATGCCTTTAATTGCAGCTAATTCGTGAGGCTGAGGCAGGAGAATCGCATGAACTCAGGAGGCAGAGGTTGCAGAAAGCTGAGATTGCATGCCACAGTGTGCCACCGCACTCCAGCCTGGGTGACAGAGTGAGACTCCATCTCAAAAAAAGAAAAAAGCCAGACACAGTGGCTCACACCTGTAATCCCAGCACTGTGGGAGGCCGAGATGGGCAGATCACTTGAGGTCAGGAGTTCCAGACCAGCCTGGCCAACATGATGAAACCCCATCTCTAGTAAAATATAAAAATTAGCTAGGCATGGTGGCAGGCGCCTGTAATCCCAGCTACTCAGGAGGCTGAGACAGGAGAATCACTTGAACCTGGGAGGCAGAGGTTGTAGTGAGCTGAGATCACACCACTGCACTCCAGCCTGGGCAACAGAGCAAGACTCCATCTCAAAGAAAAAAAAAAAAGGAAAGTACAGGTCTTCCTGAGCAGAGGTTGGCCAACTTTCTGTAAAAGACCAGATGATAAGTTTTTTAAGCTTTGCAGGCCACATATAGTCTCTGCATCTATTCTTTGGATTTTTTTTCAAGCAATCCTTTTTAAAAATGTAAAAACCATTCTTAGCTCATGGCTGTAACAATCACCCTAAAAACGAACTTTCCAGAAGTCTTTATACATATATAAACTTTTGGTATATCTATTTGGCATAGTTTTTTTTTCATTTTTTCCTTTTACTTTATTTTTTAGAGCAGTTTTAAATTCACAGCAAAATTAAACAAAGTACAGAGTTCCCATAAACTTTCTACCTCCACAGACACACAGACTGCCCTACTATCAACATTTACTTTAACTTTATTTTTTCCCCTACCCGTTTTCTCTGGTCTAAATTATTGTTATTTTTCTTTTTAAGACAGGGTCTCACTGTATTGCCCAGGCTGGACTACATGACCTCAGTTCACCACAACCTCTCCTTCCCGGGCTCAAGTAATCCTCCCACCTCAGCCTCCTGAGGCACTGGGAATACAGGAGAGTGCCACCATGCCCGGCTAATTTTTGTACTTTTTAGTAGAGACAGGGATTCCCCATGTTACCCAGTCTGGTGTTGAACTCCTGGGCTCAAAACAATCCTTCTGCCTCAACCTCCCAAAATACTGGGATTACAGACATGAGCCACCACACCCAGCCTTGTATATGTTTTTAATTGGCCGTTTATATTTCTTCTTTTGTGACTTGTCTGTTCATGTCCTGTATGCCAGTCCTTCTCAGATTTAATATGCACACAAACCACAGTCACTTGGGGATATTATTAAAATGCAGGTTCTAATGTGGCAGGTCTGGGATGGGGCTTGAGATTCTCCCTGTTTAACCATCTCCCTGGTGATGCCAGTGCTGCTGGTGTGTGGCCTACCCTTTGGGTAATAAGCCTTCACATTTTTTTTACTGCTATATAAGAACATTTTTATATATTAAGAACAATACATTGATACAAATACTTCTCCAGGTTGTTATCTCTTTCTTTTTCTTTTTTTTTGAGATGGAGTCTTGCTCTGTCACCCAAGCTAGAGTGCAATGGCACAATCTTGGCTCACTGCAACCTCTACCTCTTAGGTTCATATGATTCTCCTGCCTCTGCCTCCAGAGTAGCTGGGATTACAAGCATGAGCCACCACACTTGGCTAATTTTTTTGTATTTTTAGTAGAGACAGGGGTTTACTATGTTGACCAAGCTGGTCTCGAACTCCTGACCTCAGGTGATCCACCCACCTCGTCCTACCAAAGTGCTGGGATTACAGGCATGAGCCACTGCACCCGGCCTGTTGTCATCTAACTTTGTGATAAATGTTGCCCTGGCTTTATATTTGTATGTAGTCAAATATGTTAATACTTTCCTTCGTGACTTCCGAATTTCAAAAACGGCAGGTGCTTAGTTCTGCTCTGTCTTTTCCACCATAGGCAACAGATGCCTTTTATGAGGGGTTTTTGGGAAACAAGCTTCGAGCAGCTTCATTCCGACTCTTTCCTCAGCTTCTCATGACACTGCTCATCCAAATTCATCATAGCATTGGCCTCACCATGTCTGATGTAGCCATCCCAAGTGGCCTATACGCAGAAGGGGAAGTGTCTTCAGAGATCACCCCTTTGTGGTACTGCCAATCATTATTCCACTGACATTAAGTAACACATACTAAGCACTGGGCACTGTGGTGGACCCAGGGATCGCCAAGATGCAGTCCCAACTGGAGGGGAGCTTACAATCTGCAACCCTCATGAAACATCAAGACGAAATGCCGAGGAATCATTCTAAGCTTTCATTGGTTATCTTTGGTTTTATTAGTAACAAGGTAAATTGGCTAACTGAGTTATCTGGGTTAGCCAAATGTGCTATTGTGTCAGCCCTTTCCTAATAAGTAGAGATGGAAACAAAGCAGCCTAAGCCTCCCTCCCAAACTGTACTGATCCACCGTGCAGTAATTTCTGTTTTCTGTTTTATTGCATGGAGAGATATTTGTAAGTCCCATTAGAGTCTCAGTAGAAATTTCTTAGTGTTGTTGGTTGGGCACAAGGCTAATGCCTGTATTCCCAGCACTTTGGGTGGCCGAGGTGGGGAGATCACCTGAGGTCAGGAGTTTGAGACCAGCCTGGCCAACATGGTGAAACCCTGTTTCTACTAAAAATACAAAAATTAGCTGGGCGTGTTAGCACACGCTTGTAATCCCAGGTACTCAGGGGGCTGAGGCAGGAGAATTGCTTGAACCCGGGAGGTGGAGGTTGCAGCGAGCTAAGAGCTCACCACTGCACTCCAGCCTGGGCCACAAAGTAAGCCTCTGTCAAAAAAAAAAAAAAAAAAACAGACGAAACTAAAAGAAAAAAGAGAAGAGTCTTTTGGGCAATCTGGAAAGGAGAGAAATATAGTCCAGGAGTTGTCAATGCATGGCTCTCCTCAGTGAGAATGGGGCGATTGTGTGCTGTAAGTTGGAGGGACCTATTCAAATCACCCACACTGTTTTTGTTTGATTTATCTTTGCCATGCAGACTATAAAGGCTCTCCTCCTCAGAACATGATGCTGGCAGGAATTCAACATCATGGAAAAGAATATAGGATGGGCTCTCCTGGGAGGAGAAGATTGCCATCTTCAGGGAGTATTTCTCCTTGCCAAGTGAGGCTTCCTTATCATGCCTACACCCGCCTGCTCTAAATCAACCTTGTTTTGAGTAGTTATTTCCCTTCTAGTTACCACAATAATCTCCTTATAAGAGGGTAGGCAGGCCAGGCACCATGGCTCACGCTTAAATCCCAGCATTTTGGGAGGCTGAGGCAGGCGGATCTCGAGATCACGAGTTTGAGACCAGCCTGGTCAACATAGTGAAACCCTGCCTCTACTAAAAATACAAAAATTAGCTGGGCATGGTGGTGGGCGCCTGTAATTCCAGCTACTTGGGAGGCTGAGGCAGAAGAATTGCTTGAACCTTGGAAGGAGAGGTTGCAGTAAGCTGAGATCTCACCACTGCACTCCAGCCTGGGCAACAGAGCAAGACTCCACCTCATTAAAAAAAAAAAAAAAAAAGAGGGTGGGCAAATAACCATAATGCTGGGCAAATTTTTTAGAGGTCCTGGCTCTACCATACTGTCCTGTATACCTGGAGCTGGGCAAGAAATTCCAGAGGGTTCCCAGCCCTGAGAAAATGCCCTCTGGATGGGAGCAGTTCTGAGAGTCGTTCTGTTGCTGTTGTGTTTTGCAGGGCATTGCTGGAAAAAAATCCGCTCCTTGCACAGAAGGTCATGTATCTGCTAGTCCCTCTTCTTAACCAAGGGAATGATAAACATAAACTCACAGCGGCAGGCTTTTTTGTGGAGGTAAGACTCATTCTTTAGAAGCTGGATTCAGGAAGCCTATGAAGCAGCAATGCCTGCTTTCCTAGGCTATGTCTAGTTTGTGGCATGTTGGGATCTGTTTCAAGTGTAGGATAGAAATAATTTTCAGATTCAAGGCCGGGCACAGTGACTCACGTCTGTAATCCCAGCACTTTGAGAGGCTGAGGCAGGTGGATCACCTGAGGTCAGGAGTTCAAAACCAGCCTGGCCAACAGGGTGAAACCCTATCTCTAAAAAATACAAAATAATTAGCTGGGTGTGGTGGCAGGTGCCTGTTAATCTCAGCTACTCTGGAGGCTGAGGCATGGGAATCGCTTGAACCCAGGAGGCAGGGATTGCAATGAGCCAAGATCTCACCTCTGCACTCCAGCCTGGGCTACAGAGCGAGACTCCATCGAAAGAAAGAAAGAAAGAAAGAAAGAAGAAAGAAAGAAAGAAAGAAGAAAGAAAGAAAGAGAGAGGAAGGAAGGAAGGAAGGAAGGAAGGAAGGAAGGAAGGAAGGAAGGAAGGAAGGAGAAGAAAGGAAGGAAGAAGAAAGGAAGAAGGAAGGAAGGAAGGAAAGAAAGAAAAAGAAAAAAGAACTACATACACACACAAAAAGAAAGAATTTTCAGATTCAAGCCTCTCAAAATTCTTCTTTCCACACATGTATGAGTCAGTATTCCTTGTGTACCTATAGGGTAAACATCACCCTGTATGTGCTAAATTGTAGAGATTTAAAAGGAAAATATATACTTTGGCATTGGTGGGAAGGTAGCTCCCCACATGCAAAAGGGCTTAAAGGTCATTTCTTCGGCTGATCTCTGGGTTCTTTCAGCTTCTCCAGAGTCCAGTGGCCAAGAAACTGCCCAACATATACTCTGTTGACTGCTTGAAAGACTGGCTACAAGATGGAAATAATCTCTTTAGAATGATCAGCCTGAGGGGGCTGTACAATCTTGTTGGACACAAGAAGAGGGTAGGAGGGGCCCCAAGACCACTGATTCTTTTCTTTTTTCTTCCCTTTTTTCTTTTTTCGAGATAGCGTCTTGCTTTGTCACCTAGGCGGGAGTTCAGTGACACTATCATGGTGCACTGCAGCCTCAACCTCTTGGGCTCAAGTGATCCTCCCACCTCAGCCTCCTGAGTAGCTGGACCCACAGGCACATGCCACCATGCCCAGCTGATTTTTTAAATGTTTGTAGAGACAGAGTCTCACCATGTTGCCAGGGCTGCTCTCGAACTCCTGGGCTCAAGTGATCCTCCCACCTTGGCCTCCTAAAATATTGGGATTATAGGCATGAGCCACAGTGCCTGGCCCAGGCCACTGATTCCTAAATCACAAATAAATCACCCCAAAAATGACATGTAAGAAACTGAAAACAGCGTAGGAGGACAATTGGATAGCCTGGGGACAACAGTGGGGGGAAGAATTCTTTTTTCCTCCAGATCCTTTTGTACCATTTAAAATTTTATACCTAAAAAATAGGCAAGTACTGACTATTTAAAAATTAATGAAATTGGCAGGGCATGGTGGCTCACGCCTGTAATCCCAGCACTTTGGGAGGCCAAGGCAGGTGGATCATGAGTTCGAGACCAGCTGGACCAAAATGGTAAAACCCCGTCTCCACTAAAAGTACAAAAATTAGCCAGGCATGGTGGCATGCGCCTGTAGTCTCAGCTACTTGGGAGGCTGAGGCAGGAGATTCGCTTGAACCTGTGAGGCAGAGGTTGTAATGAGCTGAGATTGTGTCACTTCAGTCCAGCCTGGACAACAGAGCAAGAGCAAGACTCCATTTCAAAAAAATAATATCTTGGCTAGGCTGGGTGCACTGACTCATGCCTGTAATCCCAGCACTTTGGGAGACTGAGACAGGTAGATTGCTTCAAATCAGCAGTTTGAGAACATCCTGGTCAACATGGTGAAACTGTCTTTACTAAAAACACAAAAATTAGCTGAGCATGATGGTGGGTGCCTGTAATCCCAGCTACTTGGAGATGCAAGGGCTGAGGCAGGAGAATCGCTTGAACCTTAGAGGCAGAGTTTGCAATGACCCAAGATTGCACCATTGCACTCCAGCCTAGATGACAGAGCAAGACTCCATCTCCCAAAAATGTTATGTATACACATACACATATATGTATATAAATTTGAGCTGGGCAAGGTAGCTCATACCTATAATCTTAGCACTTTTGGCTGGATGCAGTGGCTCATGCCTATAATCCCAGCACTTTAGGAGGCCGAGGCAGGTGGATCATGAGTTCAGGAGTTCGAGACCAGCCTGGCCAACACAGTGAAACCCTGTGTCTAAAAATGTACAAAAATTAGCTGGACGTAGTGGCCTATACCTGTAATCCCAGCTACTCAGAGGGCTGAGGCAGGAGAATTGCTTGAACCAAGAGATAGAGGTTGCAGTGAGCCAACATCGTGCCACTGCACTCCAGCTTGGGCAACAGGAGCAAAATTCCATCTCGAAAAAAAAAAAAATCTTAGCACTTTTGAGAAGCTGAGATGAGAGGATCCCTTGAAGCCAGGAGTTCAAGACCAGAAGAACAGCCTGGGCAACAAAGTAAGACCCTGTTTCTATTTTTTTTTTTAATGAAAATTAGCCAGATATAGACTCCATTGCCTGTGTAAAAGACTGGCTTCGTGATGGAATTCTACATCCCTTTAGGAATTGCTGGCTTCAGGAGACTATAATCTTATTGGATGGCACATGCATGTAGTCCCAGCTACTCAGGAGGTTAAGGTGGGAGAATCACTTGAGCCCAGGAGATGAGACCAGCCTGGGCAACGTGGCACAACCCCATCTCTACAAAAAATGCCAAAAACATTAGCTGGCATCATGGCCTATAGTCCCAGCTACGTGGGAGGCTGATGGGAGGATTGCTTGAGCCCGGGAGGTTGAGGCCACAGTGAGCCATGATCATGCCACTACACTCCAGTCTGAGTGACAGAGCGCAATCCTGTCTCAAAAAAAAATGTGTATTTCTGAAGCAAAAATAACAAATGTCAATGTATGTTAATTGCTTTACTCTACTAACTATTCTACTTTTTTTAAAAACTGGCTTCATAACTTGTGTTTATATTCTACTTACTTTTTCATGTGTATGTTTAAACTTTACAATCTTGAGACTGCTTCCTTTCAGTAGTTTCAGAAGAGCAGAATCCCCATTCAGAATGGGAAGAACCCTTAGGTCCTCAGTCAAATTCTGCTTGAATTCCTTCCAGGGGATCCCTTTTCACACTACTATAAAGATACTCCTTAGGCCAGGGACAGCGGCTCATGCCTGTAATCCCAACACTTTGGGAGGCCAAGGCAGGCAGATCACAAGGTCAAGAAATCGAGACCAACGTGGTGAAACCCCTTCTCTGATAAAAATACAAAAATTAGCTAGGCGTAGTGGTATGCACCTATAGTTCCAGCTACTCAGGAGGCTGAGGCAGGAGAATCGCTTGAACTTGGAAGGCGGAGGTTGCTATGAGCCGAGATCACGCCACTGCAATCCAGCCTGGGTGACAGAGTGAGACTCCATCTCAAAAAAAAAAAAAAAAAAAGATACTTCTTAAGGCTGGGTAATTTATAAACAAAGGAGGTTTAATAGACTCACAATTCTGCATGGCTAGGGAGGCCTCAGGAAACTCACAATCATGGCAGAAGGAAAAAGAGAAGCAGGTACATCTTCACAATAGCGGAGCAGGAGAGAGACAGAAAGCAGGAGAAACTGACCCTTTATTTTATTTTTTATTTTTATTTTTTGAGACCGAGTCTTGCTTTGTCACCTAGGGTGGAGTGCAGTGGCATGATCTCAGCTCACTGCAAGCTCCGCCACCCAGGTTCAAGCTCTAGCGACTCTCCCGCCTCAGCCTCCCTAGTAGCTAGGACTGCAAGTGCTCACCACCACGCCCAGCTAAGGTTTGTATTTTTAGTAGAGATGGAGTTTCACCACGCTGGCCAGGCTGGTCTTGAACTCCTGATTTCAAGTGATCCGCCCACCTCGGCCTCCCAAAGTGCTGGTTACAGGCCTAAGCCACCGTGCCCAGCTGAAACTGCCACTTTTAAACCATCAGATCTCCTGAGAACCTCATTCTCATGAGAACAGCAAAGGGGATCCGCCCTCATGATCCAATCTTTTCCCACCAGGTCCTTCCCTCTACATGTGGGAATTACAATTCGGGATGAGATTAGGTGGGGACGCAGAGCCAAACCATATGAGGATCTTTGAGCAGGCTTGTGTGTTTGGGAGCTCATCGTGGCCTGAGCTACCTGCTCCACTTTCCCTTGTTAGCAGAGCTCTTCCTTACAGTGAGCCCAAGCCCATAGCCCTAGATCTTCCCTGCCTGGTCCCACTTTTGCCCTTGAGGCAATTCAAAGCAGCTCTGTCCCTCCTCTATGTAGGGCCATCATATCCCCTTCTCCCTTCTGGATCTGCCACCGCTACTAAAAATCAGTGAGCAGTAGGTCCTGAGTAAAGATGGAGAGCACCCCCTTTGGTACCAGGTGATGTGCTCCCTTTGGCCACACAGAGAGAAGACATCAAGAGCCTGTTGCCGTACATCTTAGGCAGCTTGCGTGAAACCAATGAGAAGATTGTTCAGTCAGCCATCCAGATACTCCTGAAACTTGTTAAAACAATGGATTTCACTACCCTGGCTGCCATGATGAGGACTCTGTTCTCCTTATTTGGTGACGTAAAACAATCAGAGAGGAGAGATTTTCCTAGGAGGAGGGTAATGGGCATAAGAGCAAAGAGAAGTTGGTATAGTAATAAGTATACTCTATTTGGTATAGGACTTTTATTTTCAGAGCTTTTCCAACCTCCTCTCTTAAGACCCTTCTCGGTAACCTGTGATGTTGAAAGGGCTGATGTTATTGTTTTTCAGATTTAACAACAACAACAACAAAATAACTGAATATAGAAACTTGCTAAGGTACTACCTTGATTTGTGATGGGGAAGAAGAAAACACTGTCTTTCCCTTCAAGAACCATCAGAACTGGGTCAAGATGGTAGATGATACTTATGTCCCTGTCCCAAAACCCATGTATTTCTTTTTTTTTTTTTTGAGACGGAGTTTCGCTCTTGTTACCCAGGCTGGAGTGCAATGGCACGATCTCGGCTTACCACAACCTCCACCTCCCAGGTTCAGGCAATTCTCCTGCCTCAGCCTCCTGAGTAGCTGGGATTACAGGCATGCGCCACTGTGCCCAGCTAATTTTTTGTATTTTTAGTAGAGACAGGATTTCACCATGTTGTCCAGAATGGTCTCGATCTCTTGACCTTGTGATCCACCCGCTTCGACCTCCCAAAGTGCTGGGATTACAGGCATGAGCCACCACGCCCAGCCCAACCCATGTATTTCTTAAGAGGAAATACATGGAGCACAATGACCAGCATCCTTGGAAGAGTAAAACATGCCGGCCAGGTACAGTAGCTCACACCTGTAATCCCAGCACTCTGGGAGGCCGAGGCAGGCAGATCACCCGAGGTTAGGAGTTCAAGACCAGCCTAGCCAACATGGTGAAACCCCGTCTCTACGAAAAATACAAAATTAGCTGGGTGTGGTGGCGCATGCCTGTAATCCTAGCTACTCGGGAGGCTGAGTTAGAAGAATCGCTTGAACCTGGGAGGCAGAGGTTGCAGAGAGCTGAGATGGCACCATTTGCACTCAAGCCTGGGCAACAGAGTGAGACTCTGCCCCCCCCCAAAAAAAAGTAAAACATGCCAAGGCTGGGCTTTGGAATTTCAGCAAAACACCCTGTGTGGGCCAGGTACGGTGGCTCACGCCTGTAATCCCAGCACTTTGGGAGGCCAAGGCGGGTGGATCACGAGGTCAACAGATCGAGACCATCCTGGTTAACATGGTGAAACCCCGTCTCTACTAAAAATACAAAAATTGGCTGGGCATGGTGGCGCGTGCCTGTAATCCCAGCTACTCGGGAGGCTGAGGCAGGAGAATTGCCTGAACCTAGGAGGCAGAGGTTGCGGTGGGCCGAGAATGCGCCATTGCACTCCAGCCTGGGTAACAGGAGCAAAACTCCATCTCAAAAAAATAATAATAATTAAAAATAAATAAAAATAAAAATAAAAAATAAATTTTCTGTAGAACATGTAGACAGACTTCAATGCAAGAAGTGAAAGAAACTATAAACTAGTGAAGCGTTAACATTTTGGAAGCAAACAAGATTAATTTAAAGGCAAAACACTGCTTAATAAATAATAAAGCTCCAAACTGTGAAGGTCTTAAGCATTTTTGAGACCTTGAAGAATTATACATAAAAAAGAGAACCTGGCCCAGGGCAGTGGCTCACACCTGTAATCCCAGCACTTTGGGAGGCCGAGGTGGGTAGATTTCTTGAGACCAGCAGTTCGAGACCAGCCTGGCCAACATGGCGAAACCCTGTCTCTACTAAAAATATGAAAATTAGCCAGGCATGGTGGCGGGCACCTGTAATCCCAGCTACTCAGGAGGTTTAGACATAAGAACCGCTTGAACCTGCGAGGCGTTGATTGCAATGAGTACAGAATGCACCACTGCACTCTAGCCTGAGCAACAGAGTGAGGTCTCAAAAACATTAATTAATTAAAATACAAATAAAAAAGAGAACATTTTCTAAGTATGATACCAAAGACATATCCATAAAACAAAAGAATGGTAGATTTTTTTACATAAACATTTTGGAAATCAACTTTGAAAAAGAGAGAAATAGTTAAAAGTGAAATGCAAACAATAATATGGAGGGAAGTATTTGCAACATGATAAAGGGTTAATATCCTTAAAACAAGTTAGAAATTCTCAAAAGAAAAGTGGCAAACAGTATGAATAAGCAGTTTATAGAATAATTACAAGTGGCCAATAAATAGATGAAAGATATTTGATATCACTAGTAATCAGAATTTTGCAAAATAAATCATGATGAGATGCCAGTATGCATTTTCCTGTCAAAATAGCAAATATTACCAGTTAATAAACTTTAGGCCAGGTACAGTGTAATCCCAGCGCTTTGGGAGGCCCAGGTGGGGGGTTAACCTGAAATCAGGAGTTTGAAACCAGTTTGGCCAACGTGGTGAAACTCCGTCTCTACTAAAAATACAAAAATTAGTCAGGTGTGGTGGCGTGCACCTGTAATCCCAGCTACTTGGGAGGCTGAGGCAGGAGAATCGCTTGAACCCAGGAGGCAGAGGTTGCAGTGAGCTGAGATTGCACCACTGCGCTCTAGCCTGGGCAACAGAGCAAGACTTCATCTCAAAAAAAAAAAAAAAAAATTCTCAACTTTGATGTGTTAAGGGAAAACTGACATTATACACTGTGCTTATATGAGCATAAATTTTTATTTACTTATTTATTTTTACTTTATTTTATTTATTGAGATGAAGTCTCTCTCTGCCTCGCCCAGGCTGGAGTGCAGTGACTCAATCTTAGCTCATTGCAGCCTCCGCTTTCTGGGTTCCAGGGATTCTCCTGTCTCAGCCTCCCAAGTAGCAGGGACTATAGGCATGTGCCACCACACCTGGCTAATTTCATATTTTTAAAAGATACGGGGTTTCACCGTGTTGGCCAGGCTGGTCTCCAACTCCTGACTTCAGGTGATCCACCTGCCTCAGCCTCTCAAAGTGCTGGGATTATAGGCATGAGCCACCTCGCCCAGCCAATGAGCATACATTTTTAATAGGAAAGTTTGGCAGTATGTATCAAAATCCTTTAAAAAAAATACTTATTTTATCAATTATTTGTTTTTTTAGCTGTTTGTTTGTTTGAGACTAAGTCTCACTCTGTTGCCCAGGCTGGAGTACAGTGGCATGATCTCAGCTCACTGCAACCTCTGCCTCCCGGGTTCAAGTGATTCTCCTACCTCAGCCTCCTGAGTAGCTGGATTATTGGTGCACACCACCACACCTGACTAATTTTTGTACTTTTAGAAGAGACGGGGTTTCACCATGTTGGTCAGACTGGTCTAGAACTCCTGACCTTGTGATCCACCTGCCTCAGCCTCCCAAAGTGCTGGGATTACAGGCATGAGCCACCGTGCTCAGCCTGACTAATCAATTTCTATTTAGGAATTTAATCTATGAAAATAAGCAGAAATAGTTACAGGAATGTTCATTTTAGTGTTATTTAGAATAACAAAAGTGGGAAACACTAGATTGAAAACAATAGATAATTAAAGAAATTATAACATATTCATATTGTAGAATTATATACAGGTTGAGTATCCCTAATCAAAAAAAATCCAAAATCTGAAATGTTCTCAAACCTGAAACTTTTTGAGTGTTAACATGACATCACAACGGGAAAATTCCACACCTGACCCCATAGAACAAAACAGTCAAAGCCAGGTATGGTGGTTCACTCCTGTAATTCTAGCACTTTGGGAGGCCAAGGCGGACGGGTCACCTGAGGTCAGGAGTTCAAGACCAGTCTGACCAACATGGTGAAGCCCTGTCTCTAGTAAAAATACAAAAATTAGCCAGGTTTAGTGGTGTGCACCTGTAGTGCTAGCTACTTAGGAGCCTGAGGCTGGAGAATTGCTTAAACCTGGGAGGCGGAGGCTGCAGTGAGCCAAGATCGCCTTATTGCACTCCAGCCTGGGCGACAGTGAGACTGTTCAAAAAAACAAACAGGCTGGGTGTGGTGGCTTACACCTGTAATCCCGGCACTTTGGGAGGCCAAGGTGGGTGGATAACAAGGTCAGGAGTTCAAGACCAGACTGGCCAACATGGTGAAACCCCATCTCTACTAAAAAAAAAATACAAAAATTACCTGGGAGGCTGAGGTAGGAAAACTGCTTGAACCGGGACCCAGGAGGCAGAGGCTGCAGTGAGCCAAGATTGTGCCATTGCATTCCACCCTGGGATACAGAGTGAGACTCCATCTCAAAAAACAAGCAAAAAAACACACAGTCAAACCAAAATTATTTAAAATATTTTCTAAAATTACCTTCAGGCCATATGTATAAGGCATATATGAACATAAATGAATTTTGTGTTTAGACTTCAGTCCCATCCCCAAGATACCTCATTACATATAGGCAAATCTTCCAAAACCCAAAATCGTCTGATTTCCAAAACACTTCTGGTACCAAACATTTTGGATAAGGGATCCTCAACCTGAATAGCCATGAAAAATATTATAGAATAATTTTTATTTTATTTATTTATTTTGAAACAAGATCTTGCTCTGCCACCCAGGCTGGAATGCAGTGGCACAATCTCAGTTCACTGCAACCTCCACCTCCCAGGCTGAAGGGATCCTCCTACCTCAGCCTCCCAAGTAGCTGAGCACAATCACCACACCTGCTAATGTTTTATTTTTTGATTTTTTTGTAGGGATAGGGTTTTGCCATGTTGCCTAGGCTGGTTTGAACTCCTGGTGTCAAGTGATCCACCTGCCTAGGCTTCCCAAAGTACTGCAACTACAGGCATGAGTTACTGTGCCCGGCCTAGAATAATTTTTAAATGACTCAGATAAATGATGATGTGGTATCATTAAATAAAACCAGCAATTGCAATTCCTGGGTCATATGGTTCCATTTGGACAAAAAATAAAAGTATACATATGTAAGTAAGTATAAATGTGCAGAAAAAAGACCAGAAAGATACACATTCAAAATGACAGTAGATACCTCTAGATGGTAGGATTATGGGTAACTTTTTCTTCTTGTGCTTACACGTAGTATCTAAATTTTCTACACAGTAAACATGTATTTCTTTTGCAATAAGAAAACATAAAAACCACCAGGCACAGTGGCTCATGCCTGTAATCCCAGCACTTTGGGAGGCCGAGGTGGGTGGATCACTTGAGGTCAGGAGTTTGAGACCAGCCTGGCCAACATGGTGAAACCCCATCTCTACTAAAAATATAAAAAATAGCTGGGCATGGTGGTGGGCACCTTTAATCCTAGCTACTGAGAAGACTGAAGCAGGAGAATCATTTGAACCTCGGAGGCACAGGTTACAGTGAACTGAGACTGCATCACTGTACTTCCAACCTGGGCAAGGAAGGAAGGTAGAGAGGGAGGAAGGGAGGGAGAAAGGGAGGGAGGGAAGGAAAACATAAAAAGTAATTTTTTTAAAATTAACGACATAAGGGTTACATCTAGGACCAACACAGGAACTTAGATGTTAACATTAGACATAGCTTGGGAGGTCTAGATAATTTGACTTTAGAAAGACTACTTGGAATGTGATTACTGCAAAGGAGTGAAATGTTTGTCAACTCAGAAACCAGTAGGTTTTGTGGATTAAAATTGGAGTCCATCCACTGATATATAAACTTTTAGACAGGTTTTAGAAAAACCTGGACCTGCAATCTAAGCTGCTACGGGCATGTAAGCTTTTTGCTGTCTAGACCTGCGTTCATTTCCATAGATCTCAGGGGCTTTTACCTCCAACCTATGTTTTCCTACCACTAGATCTGAGAGGCCCGCTGTGTGACCCTGAGCCCTCGCTGTACATCATCGCCCACCAGACTGTTTCTAGTCCAGATGGTGAGGGCCAAACCAAAACCTGAGCAGAGACTGAGCTGGATGCGGAAGCTCATGGGCAGGTGCCCTACCTAGAAACACAAGGCAAGTAATGTCAGGTAAAAACAAATCCTTTCAGAAACCACAGAAGCCACTGGCGCACTCCCCAACACCTTTTTTCAGACTTAATATTGCCAGTATGAAGTCACCTCTACCCATTTTAATTACCTCCCACGTGTTTTTTGCTTTAAAAACCTTTAAGAAGCTGTAGGGAAGGGCACTTCTTAGTTTAAAATTGCAAATACGGCCGGGTGCGGTGCCTCACGCCTGTAATCCCAGCACTTTGGGAGGCTGAGGCGGGTGGATCATGAGGTCAAGAAATCGAGACCATCCTGATTAACAAGGTGAAACCCCTCTCTACTAAAAATACAAAACTTAGCTGGGCATGGTGGTGTGTGCCTGTAGTCCCAGCTACTCGGGAGGCTGAAGCAGGAGAATTGTTTGAACCCAGGAGGCGGAGGTTGCAGTAAGCCAAGATCGCGCCATTGCACTCCAGCCTGGGTAACAACAGCGAAACGCTGTCTCAAAAAAAAAAAAAAAAAATTGCAAATACAATTTTAAAATCTACAGGGTTTTTGCCTGGGCATGGTGCGTCAGGCCTATAATCCTAGCACTTTGGGAGGTTGAGGTGGGCAGATCACTTGAGATCAGGAGTTCAAGACCAGCCTGGCCAACATGATGAAACTCGATCTCTACTTAAAATACAAAAATTAGCCAGGCATGTGGCAGACACCAGTAATCCCAGCACTTGGGAGGCCGAGGCAGGAGATTCACTTGAACACAGGAAGCAGAGGTTGCAGTGAACCAAGGTTGCACCACTGCAATGGAGCGAGACTATGTCTCAAAAAAAAAAAAAAGTTCACATATTTTTTTTTAATTTAATTTCTTTTAGAGATAGGGTTTCCTGCTGTCACCCAGCTTAGAGTACAGTGGTGTGATCATAACTTACTAACCTCCAAGTCTGGCCTCCTGCCCAGCCTACTAAGTAGTTAGAACTACAGGCACACACAACCATACCTGCTAAATGGCCCTTCATGCTATTGTCTCCACCTCAGAAAGCAAGACAACCCTGAACTTCTAGACATGGTTCTTTGTCAAATGGGAATGACAAAACAGAAACAAGAGCTAACATAAGGTGATGACTTCAGGATTTTTCTGTATCTACATCTTTTGCCTCCATTTAAATCATAAACTGGGTTTTATATTGTACACACTATCTCACCAATTATCAGCACAATTATTTGCTCTGTAAATAGAGATATATTTGGAATAGGCAAATTATGCAGTGGAAATATTATGAAGTTTGGAGTATATAGGCCTGGGATCAAATGCCAGCATTATAGCTGACTTTCTGGAAACATTAAAAAAATTAATTAATTTTTCAACTGCAGGTTCGTGTAAAAAATGGAGATAGTGTTTCCTAACTAAAAGCTCGTTGGAATGCATAAATGAAAGAACGTATGTAAGAGGTACTGCACTGATTGAGCACAGAGTGCATATTTATTGATTGTTAATTCCCCTTCCACCCCCTTGTACTGGACTCACATCAGGGACTGAGAACTAGAGATGAATAAGCTAATGTTTTTTGTTTTATTTGTTTGTTTTTCAGAGACAAGATCTTGCAATGTTGTGCAGGCAGGGTAGTCTTGAACTAATGGCCGCAAGTGATCCTCCTGTGGCAGCCTCCCAAAGTGCTGGGATTACAAGCATGTACCATCATGCCCAATAGAATTCCAGTCTTGAGAAATAGGTCAAGGACAGTTTCAAGAGAGATTCTAAATAAATAATGTTGCAACGTTAGTGTTGTTGGCTCCTTTGTAAAGGACTTTGCTTAATTGCCAACAATCTTAAGAATAAAATAACATTTTGTTTTTGTTTTGAGACAGGGTCTCATTCACCCAGGCTGGATGCAGTGGCGTGATGATGGTTCACTGCAACCTCAGCCTCCTGTGCTCAAGTGATCCTCTCCCTGAGCCTCCCAAGTAGCTGGGACTACAGGTGTGCACCACCATGTCCAGCTAATTTTTTGTATTTTTGGTAGAGATGGGGTTTTGCCACGTTGTTCAGGATAATCTCAAACTCCTGAGTTTAAGTAATTCGCCCACATTGGCCTCCCAAAGTGCTGGGATTACAGAAGTGAGCTACCGTGCCTGGCCAACAATCCATTCTTATAGTTTCATACTTAATGATGTATTTTTGTGAAATCCTTTATGGCCCTGTCTTCTTCCTTTTTCTTTCCCTTAAAAACCTCCACGTGGCCAGGTGCAGTGGCTCATGCCTATGATTCCAGCACTTTGGGAGGCTGAGGCAGGCAGATCACGAGGTCAGGGGTTTGAGACCAGCCTGGCCAACATAGTGAAACCCCATCTCCACTAAAAGTACAAATAACCAGGCATGGTGGCATGTGCCTGTAGTCCCAGCTACTCAGGAGGCTGAGGCAGGAGAATCGCTGGAACCTGGGAGGAGAGGTTGCAGTGAACCAAGATCGCACCACTACACTCCAGTCTGGGCAACAGAGCGAGACTCTATCTAAAAAAACAAAAAACAGGCCAGGCATGGTAGCTCACACCTGTAATCCTAGCACTTTGAGAGGCCAAGGTGGGCAGACCACAAGGTCAGGAGTTCAAGACCAGCCTAACCGACATGGTGAGACACCATCTCTACTAAAAATGCAAAAAATTAGCTGGACATGGTGGTGCATGCCTGTAATCCCAGCTACTCAGGAGGCAGAGGGAGGAGAACTGCTTGAACCCAGAAAGCAGAGGTTGCAGTGAGCCAAGATTGTGCCACTGCATGCCAGCCTGGGCAACAGAGCAAGACTCAATCTTAAACAAAACCTGTAAGCAAGAAAAAAAAAAAATCTCTGAATTGGTGTAATGCTAAATCTGTCCCAATATATTCAAGTTTTCCATTCCTTACTTCTCCCCTTTTTTCCATTTTCTTGATTCCCTCTCCTACAACCGATGTCAGATCCTCAAATGGCTCTAGGATAGGAACTATTATTTGTTGAGTACCCACTGTCTGCTTTAAACATAAATGGATAAAAATTTCTTACAAACAGAAATTTTCTGGGAAAAGAGATTAGTTTGTGCTGGGTGACCACTTTAATAAGTTGCATGTGGAATTGTGGGAGGACCCCAAGAGGCACACTGGACTAATTAGAAATAGTCACCATCAATATGATTCTCAGGCTCTTGTTTGGTTGAAGAATATACACAGAGAACCAGAGCTGAGCTATCTAGGGCAGTGGAGGGACATCTTGGAGGTAAGATGGGAAAAAAGAAAGGAAATGGGATAACCGGCAGGTGAAGAATGGAAATGTCTAATGGTTAACTGCATTAAGGGTTTTTGTTTGTTTGTTTTTGAGACTGAGTCTTGCTCTGTTGCCCAGGCTGGTGGACAGTGGTGAGATCTCGGCTCACTGCAACCTCTGCCTTCCCGGTTCAAGTGATTGTCCTCCTGCCTCCACTTCTGGGACTACAGGCAGCCATCACCACAGCCAACTAATTTTTGTATTTTTAGTATAGATGGGGTTTTGCCATGTTGGCCAGCCTGGCCGTGAACTCCTAGTCTCAAGTGATCTGCCCACCTCAGCCTCCCAAAGTGCTGGGATTACAGGTGTGAGCCACCATGCCCGCCCCCATTTCCCCAATTCTTTGATATCTGGTTCAAGTATTCTTAGCTATTATCTTTTAGCTAGTGATTTGGATGAAATGTTTCACTTTTTTAAAACATTGGGGTTACCACTAAATAAAAAATTGAGTTTGTATTTTTCCAAATTAAAGGGAAAAAAAGCAGCCACAAGGAATCACAAGTATGACCAGCGTAGGGTGAGAAAGGGGAGAGGAGCAAATGAAGGCAGAGTTAGACAGGGGACCACCAGACCCTTAGTGCCTTATAGGCTAGGACAAGAAGCTTGGCTTAACCCTCAAAGAAATGGGGAGTCGCTGCAACATTTTCAAACTTTTGGATTTTTTGACAATTGAATAGCTTCTGATTGGCTGCAGAAACCAACCAATCAGAGGCTAGGGTTAAGTTACAAAGTTATACTTCTATGCAAATGAAGACTCTACAGCAATGAGTCTGATTGGTTGTGGACAGCAACTATTCAGAGACTGAAGTTAAGTTACAAAGTTGCAAACGAAGAAGAGCAAGCACTCAGTGTGGTTTGTTGCGGACAGTTTCACATCTGCCAGGCAAAAAAGGTCCAACAAAATAGCCTCTGGTCATTTTGTTACTTAGGCGTGGAAAGTTGGGGTTTTCGTTTCAATTTTGTTCTAGAAAGTCACGTGAACCAACCATAGGTTCCCTGCCTCCAGACTCTATTCTCCTGCCTCATTACCGCAGTCCTCTCTGCCCGCCTCGTGTGACTAACACGAGATCAGGATCCGTCCCCTAATAACCCTCACTAGTCCTTCCCCTCGGTCATTTAGTGAACCGCTCACTGGCACTGGGCGCTGGGATGTTGGGGAGAGTCCCAAGAGCCCCTCTTCGTCCAGAGGTTACTTTTTTCTAAAAAGGAGCCTGAGGCAGGAGAAACAGTGACAAACCCAGGGCCCATGGATAGAGGAGGTATCTCACTATGCTACACGAGGTACATGGTCAGGCCGCGGGCTTCATCTCCCCGAGATGGACTACACCTCCCAGCAGGCTCTGCGCGCAGGCTGTGGATCCCTCCGCTCTTTTTTTGCCCCGCCGGCTGGGCCCCCAGCGATCCGCCAAGGGCCAAGTCCAGGTCATTCAGGATCTGTGGTCCGTCTTCTTAGCACATTTCCGGAGAGGGAAGGCTAGGAGCTCCGGAGGAAAAACGGACTTTTTTTGAGGAGGAAAAGCGGAGGCAGACGGTGGAAGACAAGGCGCTCCGCAACCGCCGATTTTCGCGCGCTTTGGCGCAGGTGGTTGTGGGTAGCTCGTCCGAGAGAGAGAAAGAAGTTGGGGGCCGTGGCGCGCCGCCCGTGGGGACTGAAAGGATGTTCGAGGACGAGCCCCACGCCGAGGGGGCGGCGGTGGTCGCCGCAGCCGGGGAGGCGCTACAGGCGCTGTGCCAGGAGCTGAATCTGGACGAAGGGAGCGCGGCCGAAGCCCTGGACGACTTCACCGCCATCCGAGGCAACTACAGCCTAGAGGTGAGCGGCGGCAGGTGGGACGGCCGGACCCGACTCTCGCCAGGCCCCACCCCCGCCCCGCCCCTTCCCTGGCCTACGGGGTGGTGGGAGTTTCCCCACCGAGGGTCGCTGCCCAGCCTGACGCCGAGGGGCGGGAAGGCTGGGTGTAACCCAGCCATTCCACCCATCATTTTGAGGCGGGAAACTGAAGCCCCAAAAAAGGAGCGGCCTAGGTCCCGCGCCACTCAGACCCCAGGCTTCCTAACCACACTTCCCTCCACCCTGCCGAGCGCCACAGACGTCGTGGCTGCCCTTAAATAGGTAGGAACAAATATAATGGTAAAAGTGAAAATGAATTTGCACGCCAAGGCGCCACTGCTCAGAGCTTGAAATGGACCCTCTCACTCAGTTCCCTCTGAACCCCTTCTGCGGTCCTCATTCCACGCAAGAGGAAGCCGACAGGTTCCTCTTAAGTTAACCGAACAGCTTCATCCCCAGACAGGTTAAGCTGCGGGCCCGGGGTCATACTTCTACATGGAGCCAGACCCAGAATCTGAGCCATTTAACCTCCACCCTCTGCTTCACCAGGGTGGAGCAGCAGTTTGAGCAGAGCCAATGTGCACACGAAGCTGATCTCAGCCCTCCGTCAGACCATCGTCCTGATGCTTCCTATCAGTGTCTGGCTCTGAAAAAATAAATGTCAGTTATAATTACTCGATTTTCCTCATCATTCTTGCATTTTATCCTCACAAAAGCCCTGTGAACATGGCATGCCAATGAATACTAGACCTACTTTCCAGGTTTTAATAGCAAGGCCCAGAAGGTTGCTTTGCCCAGGGTTATTCTAATATAGAAACCCAGGCCGGGCGTGGTTGGCTCATGCCTGTAGCCCAACACTTGAGGAGGCTGACTGGGGGGCGGATCACTTGAGGGCAGGAGTTAGAGACCAACCTGGGCAACATGGTGAAACTATGTCTCTACTAAAAGTAAAAAAATGAGCTGGGCATGGTGGCACCTGCCTGTAATCACAACTACTCAGGAGGCTTAGGCAGGAGAATCGCTTGAACCCAGGAGGCAGAGGCTGCAGTGAACAACAGAGACCACACCACTGCACTCCAGCCTGGGTGACAGAGCAAGACTCTGTCTCAAAAAAAAAAAAGAGGCCAGGCCCGTTGACCCAGCCCTGTAATCCTAGCACTTTGGGAGGCCGAGGTGACTGGATTGCCTGAGCTCAGGAGTTCAAGACCAGCCTGGGCAACATGGTGAAATGCTGTCTCTACTGAAAAAAATACAAAAAATTAGTGGGCGTGGCAGCATGTGCCTGTAGTCCCAGCTACTTGGGAGGCTGAGACAAGAGAATTGCTTGAACTGGGGAGGGAAAGGTTGGAGTGAGCTGAGATCATGCCACTGTACTCCAGTCTGGGCAACAGAGCAAGACTTTGTCTCCAAAAAAAAAAAAAAAAAAGAAAAAGAAACCCAGGCAAGCATAAGGCCAGTGTAGACAGAATTGTGATGGAGTATATGTCATGTAGCACTCCAGTGGCCTCATGTTCAAAGGCTTTCATGTACCAAGAGGACTGGACCCATGCCCAGGGCTCACTGCTGACTCCCCACCCAGCGAAATCCTTGCTGGGTTCAAAGGCATAGAGTTGGAAATGTGTTGACTGTATGCGTGTCTGTATATGAAGGAAAAGTACCTGAAAAAGACTTGTGTATTTTCAGGACTGGATAGACTGGGTGAAGGACAGTGGTCCGCATCTGTATGTGGCATGACTGGAAAGCTGTGGAAAGAATAAGAAAGTAGGGAAGATTAGAATGAATGGCCTCTCAGTTGAAAACAGGTTGATTTTTGAAAGCCTGAGAAAGCATTTCTGACATCCCAAGTCTCATTTGGTCTCTCCTGCAGAAGGTCTGTCATTGAATAAGCATTTACTGTGTCAAACTATGGTCATGGCATGCACCTGTTTCAGATTCTTGAATATGACAAGCTTGTTCCCAGTTTTGTGCTTTATCCATGCTATTCCCTCTGCCTGGAATCTTTCCTCTCACCCCCAACACTAAGAAAGGTTGAAGAGCTAAATATCTAGGTAGACAGAGTTGAATACGACATCTTTAATGTTTGCTTTATTTCTTTTTTCTTTCTTTCTTTCTTCCTTAGAAACAAGGTCTTGGCCAGGCTCAGTGGCTCATGCCTGTAATTCCAACAGTCATAATGAGTCAGAATCAAGCCAGGGGCCTAATCCCACAGAAAACTTTGGGAAGCCAAGGTGGGCAGAACACCTGAGGTCAGGGGTTCAAAACCAGCCTGGCCAACATGGTGAAACCCTGTCTCTACTAAAAAAATTAGCCAGGTATAGTGATGTACACCTGTAATCCCAGCTACTTGGGAGACCAAGGCAGGAGAATCAATAAAACCTGGGAGGTGGAGGTTGCAGCCAGCCAAGACTGTGCCATTATACTCCACCCTTTACAACAAGAGTGAAACTCCATCTGAAAAAAACAAAACAACACAAAAACAAAATAGGGTCTTGCTCAGGCCCAGGCCTGGAATGCATTGGCACAATCATAGCTCACTGTAAACTTATACTCCTGGGCTCAAGTGATCTTCCTGCTTCAGCCTCTCTAGTAGCTGAGACTGTTGGCATGTACTACCGTGCTCAGCTAATTTTTCAATTTTTTGGAGACAGTATCTGACTCTGTTGCCTGAGCTAGTCTTGAACTGGTCTCAAGTGATTCTTCTGCCTCAGTCTTCCAGAGCATTAGGATTACAGGCATGAGCCACAGTGCCTAGCCCAATGTTTGCTCTAGAAAGCACAAATGGGTTGGGCACGGTGGCTCATGCCTGTAATCCCAGCATTTTGGAAAGCTGAGGCAGGCAGATCACCTGAGGTCAGTAGTTTGAGACCATCCTGGGCAACATGGCAAAACCCCATCTCCACTAAAAATATAAAAATTAGCTGGGTGTGGTGGTGTACGCCTGTAATCCCAGCTACCCAGGAAGTTGAGGCAGGAGAATCACTGGAACCCCGGAGAACGGGCTGCAGTGAGCCGAGATTGCACCACTGTACTTTCGACTAGGTGACAGAGGAAGACTCCATCTCAAAAAAAAAAAAAAAACCCACAAATGTATGAACTGAAATTTTGTGTTTATTCTATCTGGTGTTTTATTTTCCTTCTCTTTTTTAAAAATCAATTTTTTGTTGAAAGGTATTTGGAGTAGTAATTTTTATGTATTTCAGATGCTTCCTAAGAAGTCTTTGGCTGGGCACAGTGACTCAACGCCTGTAGTCCCAGCACTTTGGGAGGCCGAGGCAGGTGGATTGTGAGGTCAGGAGATTGAGACCATCCTGGCCAACATGGTGAAACCCTCTCTCTACTAAAAATACGAAAATTAGCTGGGCTTGGTGGCAAGCACTGGTAGTCTCAGCTACTCAGGAGGCTGAGGCTGGAGAATCTGTTGAACCCAGGAGGCAGAGGTTGCAGTGAGCCAAGATCGTACCACTGTACTGCAGCCTCGCAACACAGCAAGACTCTGCCTCAAAAAAAAAAGTCTTTCTTTAATCCCTACCCCTCTTTAGACTACCTGACAAGCCCCTGCTCACGCTTTTAGTGATTTTTTTAGTGATTTACAAATTTGTCATATTTTGTGAGGCCTTCCCTAAACTCTAGTCTAGGTTGTGGCTTCTGATCTAGTCAAAATCAGTTACTCACTACACTATATTCTCCTACAACACTTTATCTTCAATTCTTACAGCTTCTAAATCTAACCCAATTATAAATAATAGTATCTGTTCGTCTTCTTAGCTCCAGACTTCGAGTTCTATGAGATCAGAAACTATTTATAAAATTTAGAAATATAAAATATAAATTTAAATATAAAATTTAGAAATATAAAAATAGTTTCTGATCTCATAGAACTCGAAGGGCCTGACAAATTGGCCTTAGAAATACAAAAAATGGTTTCTGATCTCATACAATTCATAGAATTTTATGAAATAGGATTTTATAAAATAGAATTATATTCTATTTTATTCTCATGGAATAAAATAGTTGACTTTTTTAAGGAAAGAAAAACAGGCCAGGCACAGTGGCTCATGCCTATAATCCCAGCACTTTGGAAGGCTGAGGCAGGAGGATCACTTAAGCCCAGGAGTTCAAGACCAGCCTGGGCAATATAGTGAAGCCCTATCTCTACAAAAAATAAAATAGGCTGGGTGTGGTGGGTCACACCTGTTATCCCAACATTTTGGGAGACTGAGACAGGTGGATCACTTGAGCCCAGGAGTTTGAGACCAGCTTGGGCAACATGGCAAAACTCCATCTCTACAAAAATTAGCTGGGTGTGGTGGTGTGTGCCTTTAGTCCCAGCTACTCTGGAGGCTAAGCGGCGGGGATTCCTTGAGCCTGGGAGATTGAGGCTGCAGTGGCCCTCATTGCACCACTGCACTCCAGCCTGGGGCAACAGAGTAAGACCCTATTTTAAAAAGTTAAATAATTCAGGTGCAGTGGCTCATGCCTATAATCCCAGTACTTTAGGAGGCCGAGGGAGGCGGATCTCTTGAGATCAGGAGTTTGAGACCAACCTGGCCAACACAGTGAAACCCTATCTCTACTAAAAATACAAAAATTAGCTGGGCAGCTGGGAGCAGTGGCTCACGCTTTTAATCCCAGCACTTTGGGAGGCTGAGGCAGGTGGATCACGAGGTCAGGAGTTCAAGACCAGCCTGGCCAACACCATAAAACCACTGCACTCCAGCCTGGGCGACAGAACTAGACTTTGTCTCAAAAAAGAAAAAAAAAAAAAAGAATTAGTTGGGCATGGTGGCAGGTGCCTATAATCCCAGCTACTCAGGCGGCTGAGGCAGGAGAATCACTTGAACCCGGGAGGCGGAGGTTGCAGTGAGCTGAGATTGCATCATTGCACTCCATCCTAGCCAACAAGAGTGAGACTTCATCTCAAAACAAAAAAAAAGTAAAATAAAAATCAGTGTATCTTTTACGTCTTAAAAAAAAATCAAAATGATAATTTTAGGGCTTGTATTTTTGCCATCTTGCTAGAATTTTTATTTGGTAACCTGTATCCAAAGTTTCCATAATATTTGGATGCTATTCCCTAAAAATTGTCGTTTTCTTTTTCGAGACAGAGTTCTGCTCTGTCTCCCAGGCTGGACTGTAATGGCACAATCAGGGCTCACTGAAGCCACAACCTCCCTGGCTTCAAGCACTTCTCCCATCTCAGCCTCCAGAGTAACTAGGACCATAGGCTCATGCCACCATGTCCTGCTAGGTTTTTTTTAATTTTGTAGAGATAGGGTTTTGCCGTGTTACCCAAGCTAATCTCGAACCCCTGAACTTGAGTAGTCCACTTACACCAGCCTCCCAAAGTGCTGGGACTACATGCGTAAGTCACCACAACCAGCCCCTATTCCCAAACAATTCATCTCAAAACAAAAAAATATTCATCCTTAAGCTTACCTGCCTCATTTAGTGCTTTGAGAAAATAAGACTTCTCATTCCTTCAAGGTAGGAACATTGGATTTATTGAGGGCCACCCATTTCTATCCATCTCTTAGATTATTTCAAGAAGTCTTTTTATCCTTCTAGGGTTTGGTCTTTAAGAGAATCTGTGGAACAGTGAATAATAGCCCTGTTATGTTGTGCTATGAGATTACATCTGTAATTTTTTTTAAATAGAGTCTTGTTCTTTCACCCTTGCTAGAGTCCAACAGGTCAATTATAGCCCTTAACCTTCTGGCTCAAACAATCCTCCCATCTCAGTTCCCCAAGTAGCTGGAATTATAGGCATGTGCCACATGCCCGGCTAATTTTTTCCACTACATTTCCCAGGCTGATCTTGACCTCTTGAGCTCAAGCAATCCTCCGCCTCAGCCTCCCAAAGTGCTGGTATTATGAGCGTGAACCACCATGCCTGGCATTTATCTGTAATTCTTAATTCTTAAACTTCACCTATTGTATTTCGGCAATGAAGTCGTGAAGTGATTCTGGCTTGGAGATGTCTCAAGTCTAATGCAGAAAATTGTTGAATTCCCAAATGTCACCTTTTTGTAGCATTGTAAATTGAAATATGCTGATATGGAGAGCCATGCTTACTACAGTCATGTGCTGCGAAACATTTCAGTCAGTGATGGACCACACATACCACATACTTTATTTTTGCTGTATCTTTTCTGTGTTTAGATACATAAATAATTACCGTTGTGTTGTATTTGCCAACAGTATTCAGTATAGTAACATGCTTCACAGGTTTGTAGCCTAGAAGCAATAAGCTGTACCATCTAGCCTAGGTTTAGTAGGCTATTGGATGATGTTTGTACAACGAAATTGCCTAATATTGCATTTCTCAGAATATATTCCTGTCATTAAGCAATGCATGACTATATTTTAAAGATGACATGTTTTGGGGTAAATAATTCCCCAAATTTTTATCTAAAAAAAAATGACAGTCTCCTTTATGTTGCATAAGATTAGTATTAATTTTTTATGTGTGACTCTGTTGCCAACTTTTTACTCTGTTCTTGCCTTTCCCTGCCAAACTTGTTAAAGAGAAAAATAAAAATGGTATAAAGAAACTTCAGGAGCATCAAGGCCATTTCTTAAAATCGAGAAAGTCATGCTGACAAATTTTAAGAGAACTCTTCTGATAGTTCAATAATGCTTCCCTTAAAGGCAGGGACACATTCTAAGAAATGCAACATTAGGTGATTTTGTTGTGTGAACTTCATAGAGTATACTTACGCAAACCTAGATAGCATAGCCTACTACATTCCTAGGCTGCGTAATGTAGCCTATTGCTCTTAGGCTGCAAACCTGTTCAGCATGTTTTTGTACTGAATACTGTAGACAACTATAATGGTAAGTATTTGTGTATCTAAATATAAGAGAGGTACAGTAAATGATAATTTTTTTTTTTTTTTTTTTTTTTGAGCTGGAGTTTCGCTCTTGTTACCCAGGTTGGAGTGCAATGGCGCCAGCTCGGCTCACCACAACCTCCACCTCCTGGGTTCAGGCAATTCTCCTGCCTCAGCCTCCTGTGTAGCTGGGATTACAGGCACGTGCCACCGTGCCCAGCTAATTTTTTTTGTATTTTTAGTAGAGACGGGGTTTCACCATGTTGACCAGGATGGTCTCGATCTCTTGACCTCATGATCCACCCACCTCGGCCTCCCAAAGTGCTGGGATTACAGGCTTGAGACACTGCACCCGGCAGTTGTGTTATTTCTTAGATGATGTATTGCCTCCCAAAGTGCTGGGATTACAGGTGTGAGCCACCATGCCCAGCCAGTATTATAATCTTAAGTGACTACCATTGTATATGTGGTTCACTGTTGACCAAAATGTTGTTGTGTGTCATATGCCTGTATTAGATTTGGCATGTAGGTGAAAGACTTAACTTTTTTTTTTTTAAAGACGGGATCTCGCCTCAGTTACCTATGCTGGAATGTAGTGACGCAAACATAGCTACTGCAGTCTTGAACTCCTGCACTTAAGCGATCCTCTTGCCTCAGCCACCCAAGTAGCTCGGACTGCAGGCAAGCATCACCGTGCCTGGCTAATTTTTTTATTTTCATTTTTAGAGTCAGGGTCTCACTACATTGCCTTGGCTAGTCTTGAATTCCTGGCCTCAAGTAATACTCCCATCTCAGCCTCCCGAGTCACTGGGATTACAAACATGAGCCACCAAGCCAGGTTTTATCTTTAGATTAATATTAATTTAGCATGTTATAGTTGTAAAAACACAGAACTGGGAGTAAGGAGTTTTATACTCATTGCTGCAACTAACAGCTTTGTGACCTTGGCCAAATGTCTTCACTTCTCTGGCCCTTTGTCTACATAAGGAAAATTGAGACCAGATAATTCTACATATCTTTTGTTTCTAGAATTCAAGCATTTTAACATAATATTATATCTGTTTTCCTGTTTGTCTTTTGCTTGCTAGGGAGAAGTTACACACTGGTTGGCATGTTCATTATATGTTGCATGCCGCAAAAGCGTTATTCCCACAGTTGGAAAGGGTATCATGGAAGGCAACTGTGTTTCACTCACAAGAATACTACGTTCAGCTAAATTAAGGTAAACCACTTCGATGTTTTCAAATGTTGTTATATAAGTTCTAAATTTTAGAATCAGTTTTCTCTTATTTTGAAATCATTTGACTTCATTTAATTCTTTTTTTTTTGAGATGGAGTTTCGCTGTTTTTGCCCAGGCTGGAGTACAATAACACCATCTCGGCTCACTGCAACCTCCACTTACTGGGTTCAAGCCATTCTTCTGCTTCAGCCTCCTGAGTAGGTGGGATTATAGGCACCTACCACCATGCCTGATTAATTTTTATATTTTCAGTAAAGATGGAATTTCACTGCGTTGGCCAGGCTAGTCTTGAACTCCTGACCTCAGGTGATCTGCCTGTCTCAGCCTCCCAAAGTGCTGGGATTAGAGTCATGAGCCTGTAAAAAGGCACCTGGCTTTTTTTTTTTTTTTTTTTGAGATGGAGTCTTGCTGTGTCGCCCAGGCTGGAGTGCAGTGATGCAATCTTGGATTACTGCAACCTCTGCCTCCCGGGTTCAAGTGATTCTTGTGCCTCAGCCTCCCTAGTAGCTGGGATTACAGGAGTGCATCACCACACCCAGCTAATTTTTTTTATTTTTTTAAGTAGAGATGGGGTTTTAGCATGTTACAGGCTGAACTCAAACTCCTGACCTCAAATGATCTGCCCACCTCGGCCTCCCAAAGTGCTAGGATTACAGACATGAGCCACTGCATGACATCATTTAATTCTAAATTTGTTATAACATAGATAATCCTTTCCCAATTTTCGTATTCTTCCTCTGCCTTTCTTTCCTAAATTCTGCTAGAAACCTCTGTGTTAAATTTTTTTTTTTCTGAGACACAGTCTCACTTTGTTACTCACACTGGAGTGCTATATCTAGATCTTGGCTCACTGCAACCTCTGCCTTCTAAGCTCAAGCAATCCTCCCACCTCAGCCTCCCGAGTAGCTGGGACTACAGATGCATTTTACCATGCCCAGATAATTTTTGTATTTTTAGTAGAGACAGGGTTTCACCATGTTGGGCAGGCTGGTCTCAAACTCTTGCCTCAAGTGGTCTACCCGCCTCTGCCTCCCAAAGTGCTAAGATTACAGACATGAGCCATGGCACCCAGCCTCCCCGAAAATGTTAAGTGGATTTTTAATGCTAAAAGAGCAGTTACCCCAATGTGTATTTATTCAAATAAACAAAAATGTCAAATTATATTATTTGCTTTGACTTATAATAATTTGGGCTGTTTTCAACATTTCAACTTAAATATAATTTTTTTTAACTTTTATTACTATTATTATTTGAGAAAAGATCTTACTCTATTGCCCAGGCAAGAGTACAGTAACATGATCTCAGCTCACTGCAACCGCTGCCTCCCAGATTCAAGCAATCCTCCCACCTCACCCTCCAGAGTAACTGGGACTATGGGTGTGTGCCACCATGCCCATGTAATTTTTGTAGCTCTTTTTTTTTTTTAAGAGATGGGGTTTCACCATGTTTTGTAGGCTGGTCTCCAAGTCCTGAGCTCAAGGGATCCACCTGCCTTTGCCTCCCAAAGTGCAGGTATTACAGGCGTGAACCACCACACCTGGTCCCATCTCTGGATTATACCTAATACAATGAAAATACTATGTAAGTAGTTGTTACACTGTATAGTTTAGGGAATAATCACAAGAAATAAAGTTGGTACATGTTCAATACGGACAAAACCATCCTTTTTTTCCAAATATTTTTTGTTGTGTGGTTGATTGAATCCATGGATGTGGAACTCACAGATATGGAGAGTCAACTTGCCTCTGTGTGTGTGTGTGTGTGTGTGTGTGTGTGTGTGTGTTATAGTGGCAGCGGCGGTGGTAGTGGTGGTGGGGTAAAATATACATAACATCAAATTTGTAAAATTGACTATTTTTAAGTTTGGTGACATTTGGGGATTGAACCACCCCTTCACTTGGTTCAATCATCACCACCACCATCTCCTGAACTTTCTTATCTTCCCAAACTATACCCATTAAACAGTAACTCAGCTGCTTAGCTGTTGTCTGGCCCAGCTCAGCCTCAGTAAACTGTGCTGTGCTCTGCTCCACTAAGGTGCAGGGCTGACCCTATCAGCACCAGCAGGGGACATGGCTGGCCCCAGCCTGAGGAGGAGGAAAAGTAGGAGGTAGGCAGGTCCCTGGGGGTTCTGCTTGTGGTGTTCTTGTCCCTATGCCCCTGCGTTGTCCCTTAGTGAGACAGAAACCTTATGACCCTGGCCCAGCCAGACTACTTTTTAGTCTCTACAAAAAATTTTACAAAGAATGTTAGTGAGGTGTGGTGATATGCACCTATAGTCCCAGCTATCTTTGGAGGCTGAGGCAGAAGGATCACTTGAGTCCAGGGGTTCAGACTATAATGAGCTTTGATCATGCCACTATATACTAGCCTAGGTAACAGAGCAAGACCCTTCTTAAAAAAACAAAAAACAAAAAAAAACAATGCTTCAAGCCCAGCATCTAAAAATCTCAACTGGCTGACCCCTGGACTCAAAAACTAAGTGTCTATATCCCGGATAAATTGGATAACATCACTAAGTTAATGGCCATTGCAAAGACCCTAATAAAAGATTGGCGAAACAGCTGGTTTAGATCTTGGGAAACTTGTTAACAAAAAACGTTACTTACTCTAAAAATTATAATCATTTGTTTGTCTACACTGCTGTTATGACATTTGTTTTTTGGGTTTTTTTTTTTTCTTTTTTTTTTTTGCCTGGCCTGAAACAGGGTCTCTGTGGCTTCAGCTAGAATGTAGTGGTGCCATCTCTGCTCACTGCAGTCTCTACCTCCTGGGCTCAGTTGATCCTCCCACCTCACCCTTCTGAGTAGCTGGGACTTACAGATGCACACCACCATGCCAGGCTAATTTTTATAGTTTTTTGTTTCCTTTTTTTTGTTTTTTGTAGAGATGGGGTTTCACCATGTTACCCAGGCTGGTCTTGAACTTCTGAGCTCCAGAGGTCTGCCTACCTTGGCCTCCGGAAGTACTGGGATTATAGGCATGAGCCACCGCACCTGGCTGCATTTGTTTACAATTAAGTCAAGGCACAACTGCAAAACCTGGAATAATGATTGCTCAAAGAATTGTTTTCACTGAAGGGAATGAGACATATTCTCACTCTGTCTTTCTCTGTCTCCCAGGCTGGAGTGCAGTGGCATGATCTTGGCTCACTGCAACCTCTGCTTCCCAGTTTCAAGTGATTCTCCTGCCTCAGCCTCCTGAGTAGCAGGGACTAGAGGTGCATGCCACTACACCCTGCTAATTTTTTGTATTTTTAATAGAGATGGGGTTTCACCATATTAGCCAGGATGGTCTTGATCTTCTGACCTCGTGATCCACCCACCTTGGCCTCCCAAAGTGCTGGGATAACAGGAGTGAGCCACCATGCCTGGCACCTTCTGTGGGTCCTAAAGAGGCTATACATACGGAAAACTTCTGTTTTGTACAAAAATTAGGCCGGGCCTGGTGGCTCACGCCTATAATCCCAGCACTTTGGGAGGCCAAGGCAGGTGGATCACCTGAGGTCAGGAGTTTGATACCATCCTGACCAACATGGAGAAACCTCATCTCTACTAAATATACAAAATTGGCCAGGCATGGTGGTGCATGCCTGTAATCCCAGCTACTCAGGAGGCTGAGACAGGAGAATCACTTGAACCCAGGAAGTGGAGGTTTTGGTGAGTCAAGATCAAGCCATTGCACTCCAGCCTGGGCAACAAGAGCGAAACTCCATCTCAAAAAAAAAAAAATACAAAAATTAGCCAGGCATGGTGGCACATGCCTATAATCCCAGCTACTCAGGAGACTAAGGCAGGAGAATTGCTTGAACCTTAGAGGTGGAGGTTGCAGTGAGCCAAGATGGTGCCACTGCACTCCAACCTGGGAGACAGAGTGAGACTTCAACTCAAAAAAAAAAAGTGAACAGATTAATATTTCTAACATATTTACACATATTTACTGCAACATTTTTGGAGTAGTGTTGTGGGAGGTTTTTTTAATAGCCTTATTGAGATATTGCCACATACCATATAATTCATCCATTTAAACTACACAGTTGCATGATTTTTTGTATTTTCAGAGTTGTGAAATCCATTTTAGAACATTTCATCACCCCCAAAAGAAACCCCTGTTAGCATTCACTTTTTATTAGAACCCCCACACCTACCTCTTGGTAACCATTGATCTAACTTCTGTCTCTATAGAGTTTTCTATTCTGGACATTTTATATAAATGGAATCATATAGTATGTGGTCTTCTATGTTGGCTTCTTTGATTTAGGATAATGGTTTCAGGGTTCATCCATGATGCAGCATGTATCAGCAGTTCTTTTTATGGTTGAATAATATTCCGTTGCATAGATATACCACATTTTGTTTATTCATTTATCAATTATTTCTACCTTTTGGCTATTATGATTAGTGTTGCTATGAACATTTGTATACAACTTTTTATGTGGACATATCTTTTTATTTCTTTCGGGTATACATAGAGAGGAGTGGAATTGCTGAGTCATATGGTGACTCTATGTTTAACCTTTCTTTGAGACAGTCTCACTCTGTCACCTAGGCTAAAGTGCAGTGGCATGATCTCGGCTCACTGCAACCTTTGCCTCTTGGGTTTAAACGATTCTCATGCCTCAGACTCCTGAGTGGCTGGGATTACAGATGTGTACCACCATGCCCAGAGAATTTTTGTATTTTTTAGTAGAGATGGGGTTTCACCATGTTGGCCAGGCTGGTCTCAAATTCCTGGCCTCGAGTGATCTGCCTGCTTCAGCCAACCAAAGTGCTAGGATTACAGGTGTGAGCCACTGCTCTCATCCCTATGTTTAACCTTTTGAGGAACTATCAGGCTGTTTTCCAAGGTGACTGTACCAGTTTACATCCGCACCAGGAGTTTACAAGGCTTCCAGTTTCTCCACATTCTTGCCAGTTCTTGCTATTATCCATCCTTTTTATTGTAGCCATCCCAGTTTTGATTTGCATTTCCCTGATGGATAATGATGTTGAGCATCTTTTCATGTGCTTGCTAGGACAGTGTATTCTCTTTTTTTTCTCTCTCTCTCTTTCTTTCTTAAAAAATTTTGTTTTTTTCTGTGACAGGGTCTTGCTCTGTTACCCAGGCTGGAGTGCAGTGGTGCAGTCATGGCTCACTGCACTCTCAATCTCCCAGGCGATCTGCCCACCTCAGCTCCCCAAGTAGCTAAGACCACAGGTACATGCCACCATGTCAAGCTAATTTTTAAACTTTATGTAGAGACAGTGTCTCTCTATATTACCCAGGCTAGTCTCAAACTCCTGGACTCAAGCTATCCTCCCCTACTCAGCCTCCCAAAGTGCTGCCATTACAGGTGTAAGCTACCATTTTAATATTTTTTTATAAAATGAGATCACACCATGTTCCTCAGACTTATCTTGAATTCCTTAGCTCAGGCAATCTCCCTGCCTAAGACTCCTGAATATCTGGGATTACAGGTGCATGCTGCCACACCCAGCTTGAATAGTGTATTCTTTTTTTTTTTTCTTCTTCGAGACAGGGTCTCGCTGTCACCCAGGCTGGAGTTCAGTGGTATTATCACAGCTCACTGCAGCCTTGACCTCCTGGACTCAAGCAGTCCTCCTACCTAAGCCTCTTGAGTAGCTGGGACTATAGGTGTACACCACCAAGTCTAGCTAATTTTTAAATTTTTTGTAGAAAATAGGTCTCACTGTTTCCCAGGCTGGTTTCAAACTCCTGGGCTTAAGCAGTCCTCCTACCTCAGCCACCCAAAGTGCTAGGATTACAGGTGTGAGCCACTACACCTAGCAGTAGCATATTCTTTATAACAGAATCCCGGGGAATAGAAAGCTCTGAAGTTCACTTTGCTCCTTACTTTAGTCTTAAAAATTGTAATCATGGTTTAAGTGATAACAGTGCTATAAGGTTTTTCTGTTTTTTCCAAGCACTCTGATACATTTTGTTCCAGTCTAGGAAAGCCATTCTTGTGAGAGCAGTATGTACAATGCATTATATGATGATGTAGTAGTCAAGGCTCTTGTTTATAGAAAGCAGGTGTCAGCCTAGGCAACAAAAAGTGAGACCCCATCTCTGAAAAACTTTTAAAAATTGTCTGGGTGTGGTGGCACATTACTGTAGTCCCAACTACTTGGGAAGCTGGGCCGGGAGGATCTATCACTTGAGCCCAGGAAGTCAAGGCTGCAGTGAGCCACGATCACACCACTGTACTCCAGCCTGAGTGACAGAGTGGGACCCTGTTTCAAAAAAATAAAAGATATCACTTACCAACTTTGGCTAACTTAATGAGAAAGGAAGTATTGGACAGGTGATAAAATCTTTAGGGTGACTTAAGAAAACTAGGCTTAGAAAAGGCCAGGAACAAAAGGAGGCTGGCCACACAGCCAAAAAAGCATATCACAGAATCCATCTGGCAAGGACACAGTTTGCATTGCTAGCAGTGCTGTCCCTGGACATTGCCATTTTATTTGCCCCAGGAGCTAAACATTGCTGTTGATCCCACTATAAGGATTTACCACTTCCTCACTTCTCTGCAGCACCAGCTTCAGATCAAAATCTCAAGCAGATGTATCTGATAAAGGATATCAGATTATATGCCTTCATCCTGGCTTCCAGTAAAGCTGATCTGTCTAGTGGTAGACAAGGCTCAAAAGTGGAAATTTCCTCAAAGCAAAGGGTTTCACATGCTGATCATCCAAAAATGAAAACAATTTTTTTTTTTTTTTGAGGAGTTTCACTCTTGTTTCCCAAGCTGGAGTGCAATGGCTCTATTTAGGCTCACCACAACCTCCACCTTCCGGGTTCAAGTGATTTTCCTGCTTTAGCCTCCCAAGTAGTTGGGATCACAGGCACCTGCCACCATGCCTAGCTAATTTTGTATTTTTAGTAGAGGTGGGGTTTCTCCATGTTGGTCAGGCTAGTCTTGAACTCCCTACCTCAGGTGACCAATGCGCCTTGGCCTCGCAAAGTTCTGGGATTACAGGCATGAGCCACCACACCCAGCCAAAAAACAAAAATTTTTAAGTCTTCTATAAGGGATATAATTTTTTGTGAGCCAGAAAATATTTAGTAATCTGGCAAATTTTTCGCTGCTATTGGTAAGAATCTTTTAATGAGATTCTTAAGAGTGTCAGATTTTAATGAGCATATCCAGAGTTTGAATGCTATATTAGGACGTTTTATGTTACTATGAAGGAATACATGAGGCTGGGTGACTTATTTTTTTAAAAAAAGAGATTTAATTGGCCCAGGGTTCTGCAGGCCATATAGGAAGCATGGGGCTGGCATCTGCTCTTGGTGAGGGCCTCAGGAAGTTTACAGTCAGGGTGGAAGGTGAAGCGGGACTAAGCACATTATATGAGAACAGGAGCAATTGAGGGTGGGAAGTGCCGCTCTCTTTTAAACAACCAGATCTCATGTGAGTGAGAACTAAATTCATTACCATGCAGACAGCACCAAGCCATTCATGAGGGATCTGCTCCCAAGACCCAAACACCTCCCACTAGGCCCACCTCCAGCATCGGAGGTCACATTTCTTTTTTATTTTTTTGAGACAGAGCCTTTACTCTGTTGCCCAGGCTGAAGTGCAGTGGCATGATTGTGACTCACTGCAGCTTCCATCCCCCAGGCTCAAGTGATCCTCCTGTCTCAGCTTCCTGAGTAGCTGGGCCCACAAGCATACACCACCATGCTTGATTAACTTAAAATTTTTTTTTTTTAGACAGTCTCATGCTGTTTCCCAGGCTTCAGTGCAGTGGTGCAATCTCAGCTCACTACAACCTCTGCCTCCTGGGTTCAGGCAATTCTCATGCCTCAGCCTCTCGAGTAGCTGGAATACAGGCATGCGCCACCACGCCCGGCTAATTTTTGTATTTTTAGTAGAGATGGGGTTTCACCATGTTAGTCAGGATGATCTCGTGACCCTGACCTCGTGATCCACCTGCCTCGGCCTCCCAAAGTGCTGCGATTATAGGCGTGAGCTATTGCACCCAGCCAACTTTTAAATTTTTTGTAGAGACGAGTTCCGACTATGTTACCCAGGCTGTTCTCAAACTAGTGGGCTCAGGTGATCCTCCATCCTCACCCTCCCAAAGTGTTGGGATTACAGTCATGAGCTACCATGTCCAGCCAAGGAAATTACATTGCAACATGAGATTTGGAGGGGACAAAACATCCAAACCATATTAAATAGCTTAGGATGATTTGCTGTTAATGTCTTCTGTTGCCTTAAAAAAGGAAAAAATTTTAAGTATTGACCAGGCATGGTGGCTCATGCCTGTAATCCAAGCGCTTTGGGAAGCCAAGGCAGGATCATGGATCACCTGAGGTCAGGAGTTCAAGATCAGCCTGGGCAACATGGTGAAACCCCATCTCTATTTAAAATACAAAAATAGCCAGGCGTGGTGGTGTGCACTTGTAGTCCAGCTGTCAGGAGGCTGAGGCAGGAGAATTGCTTGAACTTGGGAGGCGGAGGTTGCAGTGAGCTGAGATCATACCACAGCACTACAGCCAGGGCAACAGAGTGCAACTCCATTTCAAAATATATGTGTATGTGAGTGTATGTGTATATATATACTGTATGATTCTGTATATATTGGTAGATCTTTAATTAAGTGAGCTTTGACATGACAGGTTTTCCATCTAAGACCACGCTAACATAGGGACATAAAAAATGCACCCAGAATTGGGCCAGGCATGGTAGCTTGCTTGAATCCAGGAGGCTGAAGTTGCGATGAACCAAGATGGTGCCACTGCATTTCAGCCTGGGCAGCAGAGCTATTAAGTTTTTTCTGAGTATGTGCTACCTTCTTTACTTTTGGTGGTGGCAACACGCACATTGGAACTCAAACTCTTGAATTTTACTCCCAACCTGTAACAATCTGGTGCTTTGTAATCAAATTCTCATTTGGAAAATGGGATTGTCTTTCCATATGGGAGACTTCTGTTTTTCCCCAAACTAACTTTATAACCTATTCATCTGTTAACTAACATTAACTTTGTAAATTTTGTGCAGAATATTGTCTAGGTGATATAGAGAATAAAGGAATTAGATAGGTGCTTTCACTTCCTCCGTAGAAGTTATGCTTTATGTAATGACCACTAATTAATAACCTGTATTCCCCTGGTGATCCTGGGAACCAAAGTAATTTCTTAGTGAGGATTTTTGTTTGTTTGTTTGTTTTAATTAAATTTAGGCTCGAAGGATGGTATTTAATCATTGCTCATGTGAGACATTGTCTTGCTTTGTCACCCAGGCTAGAGTGCATGATCCACGCTTACTGCAGCCTTGACCTTCTGGGCTCAAGCAATTCTCCTACCTCAGCTTCCCAAGTACCTGGAGCTACAGGTGCATGCCACCATGCCCAGTTAATTTTTTAAATTTCCGTAGAGATGAGGTCTTACTATGTTGCCTGGGAGGTCTGGCTTTTTAATAAAAATCTTAGTAATGAATAGAATGTTTTCTTTACAATCCATTATATAAATGAATTTTAAAGGTACCCTTTTTCTTTTTTTTTAGTTTAATACAGTTTTTTAGTAAAATGAAGAAATGGATGGACATGTCAAACCTACCACAAGAATTTCGTGAACGTATAGAAAGGCTAGAGCGAAATTTTGAGGTGTCTACTGTAATTTTCAAAAAATTTCAGCCAATTTTTTTAGACATATTTCAAAATCCGTATGAAAAACCACCAAAGTTACGAAGCAGGAAGCAGAGGTGAGCTGTTAATCCGTATATAGTAAAGACTGTGACACAAATTAAGAGAATTTACTTTTTTGAAAGTCTACTTTTTATGAAAAGTATTTCTGCAAAGAACTTAATTATTTTCTTTTTAAATTCATGTACAATTATCTATATCTGGAAATTCAGGGTAATATTTTTACTTATTTTTCTATGTTCTGATTTTTTTTTTTTTTTTTTTTTTTTTTTTTTGTTTGGTTTTGCTCCCGTTACCCAGGCAATGGCGCGATCTCGGCTCACTGCAACCTCCACCTCCTAGGTTCAGGCAATTCTCCTGCCTCAGCCTCCTGAGTAGCTGAGATTACAGGCACGCACCACCATGCCCAGCTAATTTTTTGTATTTCGAGTAGAGACGGGGTTTCACCATGTTGACCAGGATGATCTCGATCTCTTGACCTCGCGATCCACCCGCCTCGGCCTCCCAAAGTGCTGGGATTACAGGCTTGAGCCACCGCGCCCGACCTGATTTTTTTTTTTTTTTTTTTGAGACGGAGTCTCAGTCTGCTGCTGAGGCTGGAGTACAGTGGCATGATCTCAGCTCACTGTAACCTCCGTTTTCCGGGTTCAAGCAATTCTGCTGCCCCAGCCTCTGGAGTAGCTGGGATTATAGGCGCATACCACCATACCCAGCTAATTTTTTATATATATTTTTTTGAGACGGAGTTTCGCTCTCGTTGCCTAGGCTGGAGTGCAATGGTGCAATCTCAGCTCACCACAAACTGCCTTCCAGGTTCAGGTGATTCTCCTGCCTCAGCCTCCCGAGTAGCTGGGAATACAGGCATGCACCACCACGCCCAGCTAATTTTGTATTTTTAGTAGAGATGGGGTTTCTCCATGTTGGTCAGACTGATCTCGAACTCCCGACCTCAGGTGATCTGCCTGCCTCAGCCTCCCAAAGTGCTGGGATTACAGGGGTGAGCCACCACGCCCGGTCTGATTTTTTGTATTTTTAGTAGAGACAAGGTTTCACCATGTTGGCCAGAGCTGGTCTTGAACTCCTGACCTCAGGTGATTCACCTGCCTGGGCCTCCCAAAGTGCTGGGATTACAGGTGTAAGCCACTGTACCCGGCCCTATGTTCTGATTATTTTAGCAGATTGGAAAGCCTTACTTAAGTCCATTTCGTAAGTGATAGATTACTTTTCTTCATGAATGGAATTTCATGTGTAATTTGACCTGTTTGATATTTATATTTACTATTTCAATTTATATGATATTTAACAAGCTAGTCAGACACAAAGTATTTTTTTTCCCCCTTTTTAGGAGGATTCCTTGCAGTGTTAAGGATCTGTTTAATTTCTGTTGGACACTCTTTGTTTATACTAAGGGTAAGATGACACTTTCAGTGGTCTTATATTTCTGCTCTGGGAACTTGGTGCTATTTGACATGAGAAGTTTCTGTTTTTGTGTCTTTGTTTTTTTTTTTCTTGTAAAGGTAATTTTCGGATGATTGGGGATGACTTAGTAAACTCTTATCATTTACTTCTGTGCTGCTTGGATCTGATTTTTGCCAATGCCATTATGTGCCCAAATAGACAAGACTTGCTAAATCCATCATTTAAAGGTAAGACCTTTCATTTATTTTTGAAAAATGATTATCAGTTTTTAGAAAAAGACTTTTAAAAGTTGACCATGTTTTTTTCCCCTCTGTTCCTCTTCCTACACTGTCAAACTAGGTTTACCATCTGACTTTCATAGTGCTGACTTTAGGGCTTCTGAGGAGCCACCCTGCATCATTGCTGTACTATGTGAACTGCATGATGGACTTCTAGTAGAAGCAAAAGGAATAAAGGAGCACTACTTTAAGCCGTATATTTCAAAACTCTTTGACAGGAAGGTACTGTACTTATAATTAAATGACTGAAATGCTTACAGGTCAGCAGTAATGTCTAAAGAAAAAAATGTTTTAAGCAAATTCTCAACAATATAGAACTCAGGGTCAGGATTCCCAGGCTTTAGCCTATGCTGTAATTCAGAATTTCCTTATGAGCTTGTGTGATGTGAGAAACTGAGCTGTTGAAAAATGTGACCAACTATTATATGTACTGTTAGGTAAACATACTGTCAGAGGCAACTGTAGGAGGTGCTGATAAAGAATTGTAAAGAACAGAATAAGCTGGGCATGGTGGCTCAGGCCTGTAATCCCAACACTTTGGGAGGCCGAGGCAGGTGGATCACCTGAGGTCAGGAGTTCAAGACCAGCCTGACCAACATGGAGAAACCCCGTCTCTAACAACAACAACAACAAAAAAAACAGAACAGAACATCAGAGTAAAGCTGACAAAGAATTAGGAAAGACAGGAAATCAGAATAGTTTACTGCCGCAATTTGAATAACTGCTGACTGTTTACTAAAAGTAGGATAATGTGTAACAACTACAGTTTTAATTCCATGTAAATCAAGCAGAAAATCCATTATAGTTTTGTAGCTACTTGTAGGCTATCTATGTGCATTCTGGACATTTTCTCCTCAGTCATTAACTTAGCTATTTCTGCATTTATGAATTGGCTTGTTCCTTTGGGTCTCAATTTCTTATTTCCCCAACATCAATCCATTAAATGTAGTAGGCCTCAAACAAACAAAAAAAAAAGTTTGAAAAAATGTTATTTGCATGCTAAATAGGTTTTCGTAGTCTGAAAGAAATATTTAATAATTCTGTTTCGTGTGTGTGTTATAACTAACAATATGGAAATTTAAATAAATTATATGTGTATTAATCTGTAAATTTAGATAAATGTTTTTGTGTATGTATTAATATGCTTAATGATATGGTTATTCAAAATAATTTTTTCTTCACAGATACTAAAAGGAGAATGCCTCCTGGACCTTTCAAGTTTTACTGATAATAGGTAAATATGTAGTACTAATGGTGCCTGGCAAATCACAAGTATTTGCTGATTTGTTAAAATGTGTTAAGCATAACATTGCATCAAAGTAAAACGTCCAAATTCAAGTTCTCTCTGCTTTAGTGACATTGAATGGGTATTATCACTAAGACTTGTTGGCTTTAAATACATTTAGTTTAAGAAATCAAGGCTGGGCACAGTGGCCCACACATGTAATCCCAGCACTTTGGAGGGCCAAGGCAGGCAGATTGCTTGAGCTCAGAAGTTGGAGGCCAGCCTGGACAACATGGTGAAACCCTGTCTCTACAAAAAATACAAAAATCAGAAATCAGCTGGACATAGTGGCGTGAGCCTGTAGTCCCAACTACTTGGGATGCTGAGATAGGGTGGATCATTTGAATCCAGGAGGTCAAGGTTACAGTGAGCTGTGATTGCAGCACTGCACTTCAGCCTAGGTGACAGAGCGAGACCCTGTTTCAAAAAAAAAAAAAAAAAGAAGAAAGGCCAGGCATGGTGGCTCACGCCTATAATCCCAACACTTTGAGAGGCCGAGGCAGGCGGATCACTTCAGGTTAGGAGTTTGAGACCAGCCTGTCCAACATGGTGAAACCCCATCTCTACTAAAAATACAAAAATTAGCCAGATGTGGTGAGGCATGCCTGTAGTCCTAGCTACTCGGGAGGCTGAGGCAGGAGAATTGCTTAAACCTAGGACGCGGAGGTTGCCACATGAGCTGAGATCGTGCCACTGCATTCCAGCCTGGGTGACAGAGTGAGACTCTTTAAAAAAAACAAAAACAAAAACAAACAGACAAAACAGCTACTCTCTTGAGAAACTCATAAATGGACCCAGTCACTCTGTATTTGATGTTACATCATTAGTACATGTTGGCAGTGCCCTTTCTTTTCTTTTCTTTCTTTCTTCTTCTCCTTTTTTTTTTTTTTGATAGAGTCTTGCTCTGTTGCCAGGCTAGAGTGTAGTGGCATGATCTTGGCTCACTGCAACCCCCACCTCCCATAATTCAAAGCAACTATTGTTCTGTTAGTGATCAGAACCCATTGTCATTAATCAGATTCAACTAGTTTTCAGATTAAGTATATGTAGTCTCTTTTTTACTCAGTTTTCAAAGTAATTTATTGGCCATATAAATGAATGTGAAGAACGTGCATAATCAGGTAGGACCCTCTGATATTGTTAGATGGGCAGAGTTAATAAAAATTAGAAAGTTGTCAAGTTTTCTAAGCCATAAACACTAAAGCCATCTTCAAGTCAAGATAAATGCATTGTATAACTTAGTATTATTATTATTATAGTTTAAAATAATTCTCTTTGCAGCAAAGCAGTGAATAAAGAGTATGAAGAGTATGTTCTAACTGTTGGTGATTTTGATGAGAGGATCTTTTTGGGAGCAGATGCAGAAGAGGAAATTGGAACTCCTCGAAAGTTCACTGGTGACACCTCACTAGGGAAAATGGCAGCACAGGCTAATGTGGAGTATAACCTTCAACAACACTTTGAAAAAGTAATATAACCTAGCCTGGCCTCAATCTTGAATGATCTTTTTCTCTGTGTGTATGATTCTACTAACAGCAGAAGCATCTTTCAAGTTAAATCTTGATTTTCTTCTACTAATTCATATTTCCCATGAAAGCCTTAAAAGGTAATTTTTAAAACTGGCATTTAGTATTTTTATCTCATTTCTTACTATTCATGTTTTACATCCATTTTCCCAACATGCCTCGGTTTATTAGTAGAGTATGTTTCTTTTGACATAGAGAGGAAGTTTTGCTTTCTTACCATTCTTTCTTTGCTTCAACTTAGCCTCTATTTCATTGCTTTAAAATTTAGTTTGCTTTCCTACCCATAACACAAACTATGTGTTTTTCTATAACTTCAGCCATAAAGGCTGAAGGACGTGATTGTTAATGGCCAAGGCTTAATTCTGTGTTTATGGGTAAAATGGGTTGGAGGAAGAGATCCAATGGAAAATTCACTTATCTAGAACATAGAAAAACCCAAGTTTTAGTCCAAGCTTTGTCAGCTGAAACAAGTTTTTTAATTTCTCTGTTCTTGTTTCCTCATATATAATATTAAAATATGTATACATTATCTTTCAAATCAGTGATGTGACAATTAAATGAAATTATAGGTAGAAAGTGCTTTAAAATGTTATTTAAATATAAGGATGTTACTAGCATAGTATTGCTAAAAGTTTCATAGATATTATAAATATGAATAGAAAAGATGGTATATATACTGAATTAAACACATAATGAGGAAGACGGTAACTTTTAAAAACTCACAGATCTTTCTTTTCTGACAGAAAAGATCATTTGCACCTTCTACCCCACTGACAGGACGGAGATATTTACGAGAAAAAGAAGCACTCATTACTCCTGTTGCATCAGCCACCCAAAGTGTGAGCCGGTTACAGAGTATTGTGGCTGGTCTGAAAAATGCACCAAGTGAACAACTTCTAAATATTTTTGAGTATGTACAATACTGTTATTTTTCCACATGTCTTTTTAAAATTAGATTTCTTACTCTATTTTTAGTATATTGAGAATTCTCAAGATAGTGGATATTCATCTGGCAGGTTTTACTGCATCATTTCTTTTTTCTTTTTCTTTCTTTTTCTTTTCTTTTTGTTTTTTTTGTTTGTTTTTGAGATGGAGTTTCTCTCTTCTTGCGCAGGCTGGAGTGAATAGTGCGATGTGCAATCGCAGTTCACTGCAACCTCCACCTCCCAGGTTCAAGCAATTCTCCTGCCTCAGCCTCCCAAGTAACTGGTATTACAGGCATGTGTCACCATGCCCAGCAAATTTTTTTTTTTAGTAGAGACAGGGGTCTCCATGTTGGTCAGGCTGGTCTCAAACTTCTGAGCTCGAGTGATCCATCTGCCTCAGCCTTCTGAAGTGCTGGGATTACAGGCATGAGCAGCCATGCCAGGCCAACCTTGTCTTTTTAAAAAAAATTATATATGATGTTATTTCGTGGAAGTATAGACGTTCAGAGATAAGTGTACCTTAAACATTATTTAGCTCTGATATTTCACTCTTGTAACTACTGCTGAGTTATGCATGTTTTTGTTTTGTTTTTAACGTTGACTTTATTTTTCAATTTATTTTTATTTTTGTTTGTTTCTAAAGATCACCTGTATAAGGACAAACATTAACTTTAAATGGAGTCATTCATTAGATAGGGGACTAAATGCATATTGGGGGTACAGCCATAAAATGGAATTATATACACTTTTTTTTTCTTTTTTAAGGAAGCATGACTCCTGGTAAAGCTGGTAGAATGAAGCCAGATCAGAGAACCTTCTTTCCTAATACCTAATAAAAAAAAAGAGAATAGTAAAAACCAGCAAAATATTTATCAGTGGCAACAAAATAAGGAGAGAGATATGATTTCATGACATAAATATCCAAAGTAGAAATCAAAAAGAAAATTGATGATTCGGGTCTGCCCATCCCTAAGAAGTGTTGGGGAAAGAGAGTATATTGATAGATCTTGAGAATGCTCATTAATATTTCATTCTTGGAGAGAAACAAATGAGGGAGTAGGCAGACCGATAAAAAGTCATACAAACCTCCCCAGGTGAAAGTCCCTGTGTACCACCAACAGGATCCCAGCAGAAATATGAACAACTGCCAAGCCTGCTGTTTTCCAACATACTGTGATGATTTGGGGAGATATCCTAATATAACTAGACATCCTTGACTAGGAATAGTGAACCCTGGAATGGGAATATTTAACTAAATCTCAGAAGAGAAAGCAAAGCCCTTGTCCTCCAAGGAAAGCTGAACATAGCTGAGCTCACACCTATTCCTCAAACCTTCAGGATACAAGAAAATAGACAGAAGAGTCTCCAGCCTCAGAAATAGCTCAGAAGAAAAGCATACTGCCAGTAAGGTAGGAAGTTTGTCATGGAGATCTACTCTCCGTAGCATTTGAGTAAATAGATCTGAACTGAACTACTGTTCAAGCATGAATAAGTTGAAAAGCAGTGACAAACCAACTATACATATATGTCAATAAGAAAAAGACGAAAGTATAGAATGCAAAAGAAAAAAAATGTAGACACAAATAAATGGAAAGGCTGAGTGTTGTGGCTCATTCCTGTAATCACAGCACTTTGGGAGGCTGAGGTAGGAGGATCAGTTGAGCTCAGGAGCTCAAGACCAGCCTGACAAACATGGTGAGAACCTGTCTCTACAGAAAAAATTTAAAGATTAGTCATGGTGACATGCATCCCAGCTACTCAGGAGGCTGAGAGGGAAGAATCACTTGAGGCCAGCCATGATCACACCATTATACTCTAGCCTGGACAACAAAGCGAAGCCCTATCTAAAAAAATAAGAATTGAAAAAAGGAAAGACATCTGTGTTTGTGGACTGGAAGACTAATATTGTTAAACTATGTATATTAGAGGCCAACTGCAGTAGCACATGTCTGTAATCCCAGTACTTTGGGAGGCCAGGGTGGGTATATCGCTTGATCTCAGGAGTTCAAGACCAGCTTGGGCAACAAAGCAAGACCTCATCTCTACAAACAAACAAAATAAATAAAATCTGGCCATTGTTTCTTTCTTTTTTTCTTTTGAAACGGAGTTTTGCTCTTGTTGCCCACTCTGGAGTGCAATGGCGTGATCTCAACTCACTGCAACCTCAGTTTCCTGGGTTCAATTGATTATCCTGCGTTCAATTGATAATCCTGCCTCAGCCTCCCAAGTAGCTGGGATTACGGCACCCACCACCACATCTGACTAATTTTTCGTATTTTTAGTAGAGACAGAGTTTCACCATGTTGGCTAGGTTGGTCTTGAGCTGAGATCGTGCCGCTGCACTCCAGCCTGGGCGACAGAGCAAGAAACTATCTAAAAAAAGAAAAAGAAAACAAAAAAGCCATGCTAGTACTCTGGTGTGGGTTTTTTTTTGTTTTGTTTTGTTTTTTGGTAATTAGATTCCTCTTGTGTTTTGTAGATCTTGTGTGCGTAATCCTATGGAAAACATTATGAAAATATTAAAAGGAATAGGAGAAACTTTCTGCCAACACTATACTCAATCAACAGATGAACAGCCAGGATCTCACATAGGTAAGAAAAGAAAACTAAAGTTTTCATAACATTGAAAGTAAGTAACCCACCCCCCAAAATTAGAAATCCAAGTTTTTTCCTGTCCTGCTATTCTTATTTCTTTCTTTCTTTTTTTTTTTTTTTCTTTTGAGACAGAGTTTCACTCTTGTTGCCCAGGCTGGAGTGCAATGGCACGATCTTGACTCACTGCAACCTCCTCCTCCTGGGTTCAAGTGATTCTCCTGCCTCAGTCTCTCAAGTCTTTGGGATTACAGGTGCCTGCTACCACACCCAGCTAATTTTGGATTTTTAGTAGAGTCAGGGTTTCACCATGTTGGTCAGGCTGGTCTCGAACTCCTGACCTCATGTGATCAGCCTGCCTAAGCCTCCCAAAGCATTAGGATTACAGGCATGAGTCACCGCTCCTGATCTGCCCTGCTATTCTTTTTTTTTTTTTTTTGAGATGGGGTCTCATTCCATCTCTCAGACTGGAGTACAGTGGTATGATTTCGGCTCACTGCAACCTCCACCTCCCAGGTTCAAGCGATTCTCCTGCCTTAGCCTCCCAAGTAGCTGGAACTACAGGTGCGTGCCACCACACCTAGCTAAATTTTTTGTATTTTTGGTAGTGACGGGGTTTCACCATTAGCCAAGATGGTCTCGTTCTCCTGACCTTGTGATCTGCCCACCTTGGCCTCCCAAAGTGCTGGGATTACAGGGGTGAGCTACCGCACCCGGACCCAACCATGCCCTGCTATTCTTAACATATCAGATTTAAGTGTATATATAATTTTTACTTTGCAGTCCTTAACAAGTAAAATTCATTAACACATGTTTTGTCTGTATTTCCCCCATAGACTTTGCTGTAAACAGACTAAAGCTGGCCGAAATTTTGTATTATAAAATATTAGAGACTATAATGGTTCAGGAAACACGAAGACTTCATGGAATGGACATGTCAGTAAGTAAATCCACTCTCCAAGATACTGGCAAGGCCCAAAAGTCGTAGCTGGGAAGCAGTGTTTTGAGAGGCACTATATGGCATTGTGGGGGTCAGCAGTCTATGGCAAACTTGACCAGGATGACCTTTAGTTGACTTTAGCACATAAAGCTAATCACATCTAGGCAGAAATGTGAAATAACATGAAGTTCATCTTTGTTACACATCAATGTCCTTTTTTTGTTTTTTTGTCCTTCATTACAAGCTGCTGACAATGAATCCCTCCTCCAGGTGCTAAAGCAGCTGGTAATTAAGACGTTTGTCCATACCTTTAAAGGATTTGGGATTATAAAATGGTGGGGGTTTTTTTGTTGTTTGGGTTTTTTTTGTTTTGTTTTGTTTTGAGACAGAGTTTCATGCTTGTTACCCAGGCTAGAGTGCAATAGTGTGATCTCGGCTGACCACAGCCTCTGCATTCCGAGTTCAAATGATTCTCCTGCTTCAGTCTGCTGGGCAGCTGGGATTACAGGCATGCACCACCATGCCTGGCTAATTTTTGTATTTTTAGTAGAAACAGGGTTTTGCCATGTTGGCCAGGCTGGTTTCAAACTTGCAACCTCAGGTGATCTGTTCACCTCAGCCTCCCAACGTGCTGGGATTACAAGCGTGAGCCACTGGTTTTTTTTTTTCAATTGTTTATTTTTCTTTAACTATTTGACCAAGTCAGACCACTCTCTCCAATAAGCCATGTAAAAGAATTTTTCTACAAATTCAAACCTATCATACGATGTTTGTTTCCTCCTTCATTCTTTTCCTCTATAGTCACTCTTGGAGTCTTCTAACTTTCTATTCCAATAGGAACAACAAGTTGATGTCTTAAGGATGCTGCATATGTATGGTAATAGAATTTCTCTTTGTTTTCACCTGGAAATTTTTTTCATATCTTTTCTGTGTTGGCTTCTCTTTTTACTGGATTCTGTCTTTCTCTTTCATGGTTTACATTAACATATTGATGGTACATACACTCCCATGGCTTCCCAAGAAGTAATTTTGTATTTTTTTGAGAATTCAGTCGTGCTCTAATCGCCCAGGCTGGAGTACAGTGGCACGATCTCAGCTCACTACCACTTCTGCCTCCTGGGTTCCAGTGATTCTCATGCCTCAGCCTCCCAAGTGGCTGGAGTTACAGGTGTCCCCCACCATGCCTGGCTAACTTTTGTATTTTTAGTAGAGATGGAGTTTCACAATGCTGGCCAGGCCGGTCTCGATATCCTGACCCCAAGTGATCTGCCCACCTCGACCTCCCAAAGTGCTCGGATTACAGCCATGAGCCACTGAGCCTGGCCAAAAGAAGTAAATTTTAAACTTTTTATTTTGAAATAATAGATTCCCAGAAAGTTGCAAAAATTCTACAGAGAAGACCCACATATCTTTTATTCAGTTTCCCTGATGGTTACAATTTTATATACTACAGTATCAAAACTGGGGAATTGACATTGAAACAATATATATATGTATATAATTGTTTCATACGTATAGATTATATAACCATCACCAAAATCAAGATACTAAACTGTTAAAGATCTCCCTCCTGTTACCCCTTTATGGTTAGTTATACTTACTCCTCTCAGCCTTTACTGTTTTCCAATTCTACACACTGTATAAATTCAGTTCTTTTCAATTTGTTGAAGTTATTTTGTACCCCAGAATATGGTTTATCTTGGTGAACATTCTGTGGCCACTGGCAAAGAATGTATATGGTAAATCCTCATATTTAACCTTGTCAGTAGGTTCTTGGAAACCGACTTTAAGCAAAATGTCATAATGAAACCAATTTTACCATAGGCTAACTGATATAAACAAGAGTTTAGGTTCGTATGGCATATGTCTGTTCACAAAAACATAACCAAACTTCTAAATAGAGACAAAACACTTATAATGTTAACCATTGAAATAAATAAGAGAAAGATTGATAAAAATAAGGAATATTATTATTTATCCAGTTATTCCTGTTCAGAGTCATAAGTGGCTAGAGCCTATCTCAGCAGCTCAGGACGAAAGGCAAGACCCAGCCCTAGTCAGGACGCCATTTCGTCATAGGACACACTCACACACCCACATTTATACTGTCACAATTTAGATATTTCCAATTAAGCTAATGTACACGTCTTTGGAATCTGAGAAGAAACCAGAGTCCCCAAAGAGAGCTCATGTAGACATGGGAGAATGTGCACATTTCATACAGTGGCCCCATCAGGGAATCCATTATTTTTCATTGTTATAACAAAATGTTGTTGAGCGAAATGTTATTCAAGGACCTGCTGTATTCTGCTATTGAAGGATGGAGCATTCTGTAAATGTCAATTATATCTTGTTGGTTGATGCTGTTATTTTATATTCTTGATGGTTTCCTGTCTAGTTATAATCGTTGTTGACAGAGGATGTTGAAGTGTCCATGTATAATCATAGATTTGTCTATTTCTTTCAAGTCTATCAGCTTTTCTCCACAAATTTTGAAGCTCTGCTGTTTGATGCTTACACGTTTAGGATTGCTCTCTGTCTTCTTGATGAATTGACTCTTTAATCATCATGAAGTGTTCCTCTCTGGCCAGGCCCAGTGGCTCAAACTGTAATCCCAGCGTTTTGGGAGATCAAGGCAGGTGGATCACCTAAGGTCAGGAGTTCAAGACCAGCCTGGCCAACATGGTGAAACACCATCTCTACTAAAAATACAGAAGGCCAGGTGTGGTGGTTCACACTCTAATTCCAACACTTTGGGAGGCTGTGGCGGGTGGATCACCTGAGGTCAGGAGTTTGAGATGAGCCTGACCAACATGGTAAAACCCTGTCTCAACTAAATACAAAAATTAGCTGGACGTGGTGGCACATGCTCATAGTCCTGGATACTCAGGAGGCTGAGACAGGAGAATTGCTTGAACCTAGGAGGCAGAGGTTACAGTGAGTCAAGATCATGCCAGTGTACTCCAGCCTGGCAACAGAGTGAGACTACATCTCAAAAAAAATAAATATAAATAAATAAATAAAACAAACATTAGCTGGGTGTGGTGGCAGGCACCTGTAATCCCATCTACTCGGGAGGCTGAGGCAGGAGAAGCGCATGAGCCAGGGAGGCAGAGGTTACAGTAAGCCGAGATCACACCACTGGAAGACAGAGCAAGACTGCATCTCAAAATAAATAAATAAATAAGGCCATGCGTAGTGGCTCACGCCTGTAATCCCTGCACTTTGGGAGGCCAAGGCGGGCAGATTACGAGGTCAGAAGTTCAAGACAAGCCTGACCAACATAGTGAAATCCCATCTCTACTAAAAATACAAAATTTAGCCAGGCATGGTGGTGCACGCCTGTAGTTCCAGCTACTCGGGAGGTTGAGGCAGGAGAATTGCTTAAACCCAGGAGGCAGAGGTATGGTGAGCTGAGATCTCACCACTGCACTCCAGCCTGGGCAACCAAGTGAGACTCCCATCTCAAAAAATTAAAATAAAATAAAATAAATAAATAAAATGTTCCTCTCTGTCTCTGGTCATTTTCTTTGCTCTGAATCTACCTGATGCCACTCCTACCTTCTTTGTATTAATGTTTACATGGTATATCTTTTTCCATCCTTTTTCAAGTGACTATTGAATTTCTTATAGTCAATATGTAGTTGGGTAATGGTTTTGGGTTTTTTTTTTTTTTTCCCTAATCTCTGCTAATCTCTGTCATTTAATTAGTAAATTTAGATGGCTTACATTTAGTAATTGTTATGTTAGAGTTTAAGTCTAGCATTTTATCTTTGTTTTCTGTTTGTTCTCACTCTTTTTTATTTTGTTTTCTTTTTCCTGCCTTCTTGTGCTTTACTTGAACATTTTTTAGAGCCTTGTAAAGATTTTTTCTGTATAGATGTTTTGTATAGCCATTTTACCAATTTAAGTATAGAAACGTTACCTCACCTAAAGTCCCTTTTTAAAGATTTTGCATAAGTCCTTTTATTTTAGACTCACAATTGGTTGATAGTTGTATGTGTACAAAATTCAAGATTGGTGAGAAAGGCCCAGTACAGTGGCTCATACCTGTAATCCCAGCACTTTAGGAGGCCTTGGCAGATGGATCACCTTAGGTCAGGAATTCCAGACCAGCCTGACCAACATGGTGAAACCCCATCTCTATTAAAAATTATAAAATTAGGTGTGGTGGCACATGCCTGTAATCCCAGCTACTTGGGAGAGGCTGAGGCAGGATCGTTTGAACCCAGGAGACAGAGGTTGCAATTAGCCAACATCTTGCCATTGCACTCCAGCCTGGGCAACAAGAGTGAAACTTTATCTCAGGAAAGAAAAAAAGATTGGTGGGAGGCTGAAGCAAGAGGATTGCTGGAGCCCAGGAGTTTGAGGTTGTAGTACACTGTGTACTGTATAGAATGATTGCACTGTGAATAGCTACTGTACTCCAACCTAGGCAACATAGTAATACCCCATACCTAAAAACAAAAAATTAATTTAAAAAAAAAAAGAAACATTGACAATTATTTTCCTTTATGATTTTGAAGACATTGTTGCATTATTTTCAGTTATAGATTCCACTGTTACTAATGAGAAGTCCAGTGACATTCTCATTCCCATTTAGTACTCTGTGACTTGTTTTTTTGTCTCTGGAATATTTCAGTATCTTTCTTTTATCACTGATGTTCTTACATTTATAAAAAATATGTCTTACTGTGTTTTTTTAATTCATGTGTTTGTCATTCCCACTGAGTTGCTCATTTAGAAATTTAAGTCCTGCAGTTCTTGGTCATTTTATTGTGTTATTTCTTTTCTTTTTTTTTTTTTTTTTTAGGGAGGGAAGGAGGAAGGCAGGAAGGGAGGGAAGGAGGAAGGGAGGGAGGAAGGAAGGGATGAAGGAAGGAAGGGAAGAAGGGGGGGAGGGAGGGAGGGGAGGGGAAGGGAAGGGAAGAGAAGGAAGGAATTCAAGCAATGAGAGAGACATTGCCGACCTGGATCTAGAGGTTTACAAGTTGATTTCT